GGCACTGTGGCTTCTGAGTTTGACATTTCTCAATGTTGTCCAGCAATGCATGCTGGTACTGTATGTATGTGGAGCTTTTAATGTTCAGACTTCATGTTATCTCTATGATGTCCCCTCTGTGTTGTCTCTCCATTGTGCTATACTGAAAAGCAAAAAGAACTTTTAGATTTCGGTGACTTGTGTATGCCACTGATCATTTTCTGGGATTGTTCAATCATTATGAGGAAAAGGGGAAATATACAAGAGTCGAGACATTTCTTTGTCTGTCTCTCACCTCAACGCCATATCAGTCAGAGTCAATGGCTACAATTATTTTTAACATGAAATGTCTTCTGCCCTCAGAGAGAGCCTTCATATGGGGTGGTGTGTGTATGTCTCTCTGTGTATTTCTTAGAGGGGGGGGTGGGGTCGGTTACATCCCAGACGTGTTACCACGGTGACAAGGTGCTCCCTGCCGCCGTCGGGTCTCGGCCAAGTTGGGCGCCATGGTGACTGGGTGGTGACAGACTTTGTGACGAGTCCGCTGGGACACCGTGGTTGGGTCAACCTTAAAAACACATGCATACGCAGACACCCATGCAACGCATGCACGCACACATGCACTTGACATGGGCATGGAACGTAACAAAGTTAGACACAGATAGGATGTGCAGATGCAAGTTTTTCTTTTGCATATTACATGCACACATGTACAGTACATGTATAATGAGAAGTACTCACACATGCAGCATGCACGCTCAACTCCAGCTGGATCTGTCTGTGCTGGTGTGTGTGAATGTGTGTGTGTGTGTTCTTGTTGATGCAGCTGCATGCATTTTGTGTAACTATTGATATTAAATTGAAAATTTGTTTTCAAAAGCAGCAGAACATCATATCACCTGCTTCCCTTTCGCAGTGTGAATGATTCCGCTTTTCTATCACTTATTGCCTCCAGCAAAAACATCCATTAAAACATCCGCAGTACTCATCTATTTTTGTTGATGCTATCAGTGTGTGTGTGTGTGTGTGTGTGTGTGTGTGTGTGTGTGCATGTTAATGACTTGCCTCTGTACTGGGACGGCCTTGTGATTTATATTTCTGTGTTGTTGCATGTGCGCCTGCTTGTCTGTGTGTGTGGGTGTGTGCGTTCTCACATAGACACCCACATAGCAAACAGACACACAAACCTGACAAAACAAAACACAACAAAGGCCGAAAAACAACAAACAAACGTCTGTCATGATGCAGATGTAAGACGCTCACACGCACAGACAAATACACACACAAAAACCTTGACCAGGAGGACAGGAGAAGGCAAGGAGCCACAGTTTGAGCTTCCCGCTGTGAGGGGTCATGACCCCTATCAGACTCTGTGTCAGTCTGCCTATTGTGCTCGGGGTAGCACACAAACACACTCGCACACATACACACACACACGCATTAACTTACATGGTCTCCATGACGATGGTTGGGGCGACAGTAAGGCGGCAGGATGGCGCTGTGGTGTTCGGATGAGAGGACCCAACCTAATCATATTCACTGTATCTGAGTGAAGTCTACAGGTGTAAGAGTCTTAGTAGGGAAGTGTTTACGTATGTGTGAAAAGTGTATGAGGACAACATGGAGGGCGTCATTCAAAAAGTGAGATATATACTGTACATTATATTGATATTTTATTTTGCAAATTGATATTATATGTTGGTATTTTAACAGCGACCAAACCCCAAATGAAATAATGTATTTGTTTTGTTTTATTTTATTTATTTGTGAAATTGTGAAAAGACTAAGAAGTAAATTGTCCGAGGCAGTCAATCTGTGGGTCAATGTGAGTGTGTGGCAGAGGAGGGGGGTGTCTGCCATTGACTTTGACCATCAAGACCAGGCGAAGAAAGGAGGTACAATGGCTGTAGTGGCTTCTGAGGGAAGTAACACATTATTGTGAGTCTGTTACCTTAAAAAAAAAAAAAAAACATTTTAACCCTGATACAGTCCTGTGTGACCGATTGTATTCATTGAACATGTAATCTTTATCAACTTTGACTTTATTACTTTATTACTGACTTACGTTCCTAACATCCAGACATTGGGAGAGCCAAGACAGTCTGGTGGATCATGTGTGAGGTTGCTGTTTTTGAATAAAACTCCTCCTATGTTCTAAAAAATAAAAAAAAAATTGTGTAAAAAAAAATTAAGCCCTACTGCTGCCACGAATTTAAAATATTTGGAATAAGCCTTTGAACAGCTCTTATTAGACCTTTTCCAGGTTAAGAGGAGATTTTCCAGCATTGTTTATGGCTCAACTTCCATACTTATCTGTATACTAATCTACTCTTCAGACACTTATTATATTATTATATTATATTTATAACTCTCAATCATTGCTTAGATTAAGAAGTCTCTGCCCTGCAATGGGGCACAGAGACCCAGCACATTAGCGTTTTTTTCTGTAATGTTCTCAGCAGAATAGGGACAGTTCTTAACACTTGGAGGCAGACCTCATCATGCACCCCAACCCATCTCAGAAAGTGTGTATCTGCTGCCCCCCTTTGATCAGTTAATGTGTGACAGTCTCTGACTCGCTGCTAAAATATGCTCAGTTTCCCATCTGAGTGTGGCATCTAGTGGACAACACACAGACACAGGCAGATTTGACTAAAACAACAGGGAAAAGAAAGTCTGTAACTTGATGAATAGAGTTTATTTGAAAAGTAAATAGATTTTACTCTATACAACTGATGTGTCTTAAACAGGTGGAACTAACAGCATGAATAATATAATAAGGGCTGCATTCCACACCATGGTGTTCTTGCTAAATATGGTTTAGTCTCATACCTAAATGGAATAGAGCCATTGTTGATGTTACTACACTCTAAACTATAACACACTGGTTCAACTTTAAAAAATATGTTAACAATTTGCATGCACCTTTTTCAGTAATTCTAACTCTGAGTCAATCTTTTCAGTTTTTCATAATCTGACAAACTCAATTAGTTTAGTACAACTGACATGATTTGCTTTGACCTCGAAAAATGTAATTAAGTTGAACCAACTTAATATTTATCCAAAAGTTGATATTTAGTGGTTAAACTATTTTATTTAATTTAAATAATAACTTATTAATTTGAATTCTATCCTACTCAATAATGTCAAAAATGTTTTGGATTTTGTCCAACTTACTGAAATGAACATAATTTTTTAATACTGAAAAACTTCTTTATTTTAAGTGTTAACCCCCATGAATAATTTTTTAGAGTGTAGTTACACCCCATGCCTACATGTAATCAGTGTTGAGGAGTAGTGAACTATATGTAATTAAACAAATAGTTAAACTATTTTTCAGGAGCTTGCTAGTAGTTGAGCACAATTCATATGTCCATATAGTGATTTGAGTAGAATACATATCTTTATTTTGCACTTACATGGAAATCTGTCTTTGGCATGACGTACACTTAAAAACCTAACAGACATTCATACACTAACAAACTTTACAGACATATTAACACTTAAAAAATCCTCTGCCATGGGTTGAAATACATTCGATGAAAACAGTTAATAAGTAATAATTAAGAAGGGCCAAACAGTTTGGGTGAAACTGCTTACAATTAATGCATGTCTTAAAGAGACATCATGAAAAACAGTAGTAGTCACTAATATCTAATAAAGTCATTTGTTCAGTAAGATGACAGAGGACGGAATAAAGGATTTCCCATTTTTGTGGGTACACTGTATCATCAGAGGATGTGAAGGGTCCTGAACCACTAATGTTGCTTTCCTCCTGTGGTGTACAGCTCCCCCAGCTGTTTCTCTTTGGGTTTCCTTTAATCTTAGTTAAATTATAGTTATAATTTTTTATTATCATAATTATTTTTTGCCTTTGTGTGTATGGGTAACTACTGAAACTACAACCAATTTTTGGCCATAAAAGACATTATTTTTCATGTTTATTTTATTATTGATTCTCTACTGATCAGCCCCGCCCCTTTTGGCTGCCATCCTGACCGCTATGAAGGCATGCCTAGGCAGTACATCCGCCAGGTAGCCACTGCATTCTTGACCCTCCCGATTACTAGTAACTGTAAGTATTGTTGTTTTATCGTTACTTATGTATTATTGTTATTTATTAGCAAATATTCAGAGAAGTTGTTGCATGCTATTCTAGTGGTTACTTGGCCAACTGAGTAATACTGCTTGGTGCAAACCCCCCACATGGACTCTGTTTATGTAGGCAGGTGACGGAATGATGGGTATGCAAAACCAAAGCTGGCATTCCTGCACTTTAGTGATCCTTTTTTGTTTTGTGTTGCTTTGCTTTATGTATGATCTTTTTACAAGTGGGTCCTTTTTGCAATAAACTCATTTCAGTGGTATGTCTTCACTGGCATCTAACTTTTTTGCTGTAATTTTTTGTATCACATGCACTCTGTCAGTTTGATTGTTTTGTTGAAAGTAGTTTGAACTATATTTTCTTAGTTGCTGCAGTCAACCAAATTAGATTTCTCCCTAAGATAGCTTTGCTGTAGTTAAACTTCTTCCGGTGTAAATTAATACGCAGCTTGCAAGACTTTGTTTTCCAAGAAGCTTCCCCGTCACTGCTATTGATGTGATTACTTTACATCAGTGCTTACCCTGCTTATAAGGCATATTTGGCCCCATGTGTTCCCTTACATCACCACATCACCACATCACAGGTTTCATAAGCGATGTTGGCTCTACCGTCAAGATAGTTCCCCTCCTATTCTTTTCCCCATTCGCGGAATCCATCGTATACCACACTTAAACGCCTTAATGCCATGACACTTTATGTATGATACTACGCTAAGTAAATCATGGGAGTCGTAGGTGGATAATACAAGCTATGAATGTTTCGCTATTGACAATGACAGGCTGTTAAAATAAGTTTATGATTGAGCGCCCTAAATCAGATTTGAGCAGAACCGGAAGTACGCTACAGTGCACTATCTTGATTCACCCGTTAGTTTCCGCCCACCTTTGCCTCTGACCAATGAGCGGAGCCGGCTTAGCATCCTCCAGGGCCGCTGGAGTTCGCGGGAAACCGGCTGTAATCGAGAAACAGCAAGCTTGATAGGCCCCGGGATAAAACAGCCGTGTTTAATACCAAATCAGTATTTCAGTTACTCGTTTTTACCCTTTTTGAACTGTAACGGTTGGAAACGTAGCGGTGACACTGCCTCAAATCGCCGCCTTTCCACGTCTGCTGCCCCGGCTGTTATGCTAACACCCGACGCCTCTAAGCTAGGTTGCCTCGTTGGCTAACAGGAACACTGTGCTTCATGCGACAAGACACAGAAAATACAGCCGACCTGAAAGAGACAAAGGGCTGTCGCTGTCTGACACGGACAGACTGTTGACATGTTCAACTTGGAGCGCTTTCGTTATGACAAGAAGGGAGCGACGACGACAAACAAAGAGCAGGAGAGCGGGTCCAAAAGTCCAGAGTCTGAGAAGGAGAACAAGCCAGGTAACTAACGTTAGCAGATGTTAGCTAGCTTATGGTGCTGTTAGCCAGATGGCAAGTATGCTATCGTTAGCAGTAGTTAAGTAACATGGTTATTATCATCATGCGGGCTTTTGCTGCAGGTTAGACGGACTATTTTCCACAGTAATAGTATGGTACATTTCTATGGAGCCGAAACTGTCATAGTTTCTGATGTGCAACTGCAACATCTTTATCATTGCAGTGAGATTATGTGCATGTGTTGCAGTTACAGTGCGTTTCTAAAATTAAAAAAGATACTGTCTCTGTATATCACAATATTATGATGAGATTTCAGATGTCAGTATGTCATTCTCACGTCACTCTGCTTGCAACATGGACAGTTGCATTAAAATCGTAAGGAAGTCTTAAGTCTGCAGTATCTTAACATCATGATGAAGATATGTATTCATATGAGAGGGAAGCAGTAGAACATCAGCATGCACCACAAAACCAAAGTCACTTTGCAAATGACTAAGACAGCACACTTTAGTTGCGTCCTCCTTATCTTGCATCTTTTACTGCACCGAATGCATCAGCTAACTTGTTTTTTGCATTTTGCTGTCCAGCTAAGATGAAACCTGTGAAAACCCCATCAAAGTCCCATGCCCGAGGAGTGGTGTTCGAGGAAGTCATCTCAATCGACTTGGAGGAGGATGAGCGACTCCCTGAAGTAAAGTCCAAAACACCACACAGCAGGAAGTCCAAGTAAGTGTAAACCGAAATGACAACATTCTCACATTCATGCTGATTCATATTGCTTTTACAGGCTTGTTGTTTGTCTTCTGTAGGAGTCCCAAAGGGAAGTCATCGAACAATGTGGCATCATATCACACAGATGACGAGGACAATGAATTGGAGGAGAAAATGAACAGAATACTGGAGATATTTCCTCATTTGCCAAGGACAGAGCTGCTTGAGGTGAGCTGAGCAGAGGCTTTGCTACTTCTCAGTATCGAACACATAAGTTTGACTCCAGGGACGTCCCGAGCCAATTTGCACGATCTGTATCTTGTAATTGATGACGTTACAGTACACCAACTGTAGGTTTAATTTGTTGACATGACAACATATTTAATTTGTGTAACAAGCAGCTGGAAACAGTCTATTTAAATGTTTTTTTTTTTCAGTTAAAAGCACCTTGTTATGTTCCATTTCCAGATCATTGGGAGCACAAGCACATTGGACGGGGCTGTAGCTGCATGCCTTTTAAAGTTTGGGGATAAAGAAGGTAATGAATTACTTTCTCACAAACACATGATGACAGTCTGTGCTCAGTTTCACATGAACACCTTTCTGTGAGGTGTTTTAGCATTAAGATGGCTTAGTTTGTAGTTGGAGATTAAATCATCAGCATCCCACACAAAACATAAAATAAGTAAGGGGAAAATTGGTCAATTTACTTTTTAAGAAGTTGTTGCTAAGCCTGATGGATAGATGAATAAAAGTAAGACATAAATACAAATATGGGGAAATGTTGCAGTAAAAACAGACGGTCACACAAACATCACTTGGCTACTTTTGAGAACACAAGCTGTTTTGTCTTCCCAGCTCCACACCAAGGCAGGAAGAGAAAGCAGGATGGATCCAGCAGTTCTCAGGACAGTGGTGACATTCAACCCAGCAAGAAGAGTAAGCCATCAGAAGAACTGGTAAGATTACTAATCATAATTTCATTATTTAAAATAGTTACATCACAGGTACACATAACCTGTCATTTTGATTTAAAGTACAACAAATGCAACTGTATGATACACTGCAGAGAAACAGAACTGTTGATTTGTTGTTCCTTATTTCCAAAAGGTTGTTGGAAAAACGTCTTTTCTGTTTTTTTACACAGACAGATTAACGTTTGCAAATATTGATGAGAGAAATACAAATGATTTCTTAATGAAGGCTGAGTCACGTCAGACAAACAACACATTCCACATAAGGCTTTTAAAATTAATCTTTTGTTGAAGATGATGATGTAAATCTGTCTGACTGTTTTAGCTTTCCCATCACTGTTCATGCAAATCTCTGTTGTTTTTTATTTAATTTAAATGGTAAGGGTTTCCTCTCAGTTTTGTAATCACCTTTCTTGTGTTTAAACCAAAAGACTTCTGATGATGAGGATGATGACGACAAAGAGCCAAACTGGGAGAAGCAGGAAGCCATGGTCAGAAAACTGCAGAAAAAGTTTCCTGATCAGGACAAGGAGGTGAGGACACACAGACACTTGTCCCTGTCCCTGTCCATGAAGTCATATTTAAATACATTTTTCCAATTTGATTCAACCCTCTCAAACTGTTTATTCTCTACATAACATGATAACACCACACTGTGTCTGTGACTAAGCATATGAGTATGTGATGTCACATGATACAGGACAATACAAGTCCAGTTCCCAAATTCCTGCAGCTTAAAAAAAAACTCTGGTACATTCAGCTCTTAATGACGACTCACGCACCACTTAAAGGGATATTTCTTAACTTTTTAAAGTGGGGTTGTGTCAGGTCCGTAGTCAGTGTACGTATTACTTACAGTAGTTGTCAGTCGGCATTTTGGAGAAGCAGACAGGAGGACCAACACAGGAGCTAAGCAATTCACTGCTGTGGATGGGCGTTAGCAGCAAAACATATTTTAGCCACTTGACAAACCTAACTTCCCTAAATTCAACAGAATTGTTTTGGAGCAAAAATCTGTCATGTCCAAGGTAATTTGTTTGTTCAATGATGCCTAAGCAAACAGGAATACTTGTCTATCATCTGTTTTACAGCTACACAATAAGAAAAGAAAAAAGTTGTAGATTTTGCAAGGCTGTTTTGTTGAAATGGTGGATCTCAAGTTTTAGTTCTGACCCTTGCTGATGTCCGTCTTGTAGGAGCTGCGGATGGTGCTGCAGGAACACGACTGGAATGTTGAGGATGCTCTGCAGGTTCTACAGATGTTCTCAGACCCAGGTACCCAGACCCAGGCCTCCTTTTCACTGACCTGCTGTTCTTAACTGATCCTGATACAGATTCAGGCTCAAGCCATTTTTTTCTGTCTCTTGTCAGATAATACCAGTTACAGCTCACCTGATACAGAAGAAAAGAAATCCAGTAAAGAAAAGAGCAAAGACAAGACAAGCAAGAACCACAGGAATCTGAAACACCACAAAGTCAGTAAAAGTAGGAGAGGTCAAAAGGACTCTAAATACCACAGAAATGTTAGTGAATCAGAGGAGGACAGTAAAGATGATACAGATGCTACAAAGGACAGCGAAGAAGAGTCAGACTCAGACAACAGTGATGGCCCTGAAAAAAGGAGTAGCACTTCCACTTTGTCCTCATGGCTCAAGAAATGCTCTGATTTCGTACCTTCATCCTCCTCTGTCAAGAAAACAACTACCTCAGCCCCCCCGAAGCCATCCTCTTCTTCCTCTACTGCCCAGATGTTGTCCAGATTTGCCAGTGGGACCAGTATAGCTAAGAAGCAAGCGGCAGAGAGAAAGAGGAAGGCGCGTGCCTCAAACGAACATGTCAGTTCTGAGGGGGAAAATGACGATGAAGAGGACACTGTTAGCACTGAGTTTGAGGACTCTGACGATGAGCTGGACACTGAAAGTGGCATGACAGACCTGAAGAAGGAAATACTGAAGTTCTTCCAGGATGCATCGATCGACGAGCTGACGCTGATTGCGGGGTGCTCTGTTAAAAAGGCCCAGAAGATTGTGGAACTGAGGCCCTTTGACAGTTGGAAGAGTCTGGTGAGTGTGTGTGGTGTGTTTCTAAACAAATGAGACAAGTAAGTAACCTCAAATAGACATCATGCAGTTGATTCTTTTGTGTAAAATAAAACAGTTTGAACACGTTGGCAGTGGCTAAAGTTGTAAAAACAAAGAGCTACAGTCAGTCATAGTCTGAAATCTTCCTGCCGCACACCTGGAACATGACTTTGTGACCTGTAAAGATGTAGACAGACATTCCTTACAAGCTATTGAAAAGTAGAAGTCTTCACCTCCTGACATTTCAACTCAAGCTGCATTTATCAAACATGCCTTTTCATATTCCAAACATCTGTCAACAGAGAGTAAATATTAGCAGTATAGTAAGTATAATAATTATCTCATGTTGCAACAATAGGATGGTGAAATATTTCATATCTTTGTACACACCATACTCAACGATGAGTTAGTGTTGTTGGCACCTTTTTGTTACGTGAGTTTGGCTTTTTGAGGTGTTTTACAAGATGGTCTTAAAACTACACTGCAGATGTGTTTGCCCTGATCGTAGATATATGAGACTTGACAAGGCAGGATAGTCTGATTTTTAAAGCAGTGTCACCAGTGATTTAAGTCAGTGATACCCAAACATTTGGTCCCTTTTCACTGTCAGGTAATTTATTAAATGCTTACTAAAGCCGCGTTTCCGCCAAACACTTTCGGGGTGTTACCAGAAGGTAATAGCCGCGTCACTGCTCCATCCTACTCTCTCTGTATTTCGTCCTCACCTATAATGTACAACTTGCCGATTGTCCATGAAACAGGGTTGTATGACATTTTTAGAGCAAAAAAAAGATCAGGCCGAAGTGTTTAGAGCAGTGGTTTGGTGATGCTGGAGCCATCAGAACGACGCTCCAGGAGGTATATTTTTTTCCATGAGTGAGGGAATCTTCAAGAGCTTTAAGATCCAGTCATCACTGTACAGTCCACTGTACGCATTGTTGAGTAAGAGTTTTGATCCTGTATTAAACCAATCAATGGACTGCAGTGTTTCTAGCTCCACCTTGTAGGGTCAGACCAGTGTGCTAGGTACCTCAACAGAGGAGTGACAAAAAACAGGACAAAATGTAACGTTTCTATTGGTACCATCCAACTTATGACAATGAAAATCGATCTAACAAACTGAATTGAACTGAGCCAGACTGCTTGGTGGAAACAAGGCCCAATAGACTGTGTAATAGTAGTCAATAGGTACTTTTCTAGATGCTCAATACATTGTGTGAATTGTTACAGAATGTTCTGTCCTCTTCAGGTTGACGTCTTCCACAAGGACAATGGACTGTCGGAGAACTTACTGCTGGGCTGCAGAGTCGTCCTCAAAGAGCGGAACATTGTCCTGGGGCTGATGTCCAAATGTGAGACCATTGCATCAAAAATGGTCAAACAGGTTACTCAGCTGACGGACAGGGGCACAGGAGCCACTAAACAGCCCACCCTGCTTAACAGTCAGTAAGTAAAACGCACATTAACACATACTGTAACTAATGGATAGTCCACGAAATGGTTAAACTAGTAAGTCATAAAAAATGAGGACCAGTAATGTAATCAGCCGGCCCGGCCCACGCCATTGTAAGCATTTATACTTGTGCGGTGGTGTGTCTGTGTCACTCTGCAGTTACACCTCCAAAACACTAGCCAGCAGCTGGGTTTCTGTGAAGTGCTGTAAAATTTAGTTGATTCAAAACACACATTAAACATGGCTTAACAGCAACAATTTCAAACACAACAACACAAATCAGCTTCACTATAACTCGCAGCATTCACAGACAAAGTACTTGTCTTTTGCTGGACACATTTTCCCCACAAATACAACATGCTAATGTTTTAAGCATGAGCCTATGGCATTTTACATTGTATAGATTAGCCTAGAGGCTAGCTGACTTTTCCTCTACTCATATAAAGCTGGGGACAACAGCAACATTTAGCAAAGATAATGATACAAAATTCTGCTCCATTACAACTCACAGGGTTCACTGACAAAACAACTGTCTTAAACTAATCACGTTTTCAAAACAAATATTACATGCTTACATTAATAGCACAAGCCTATGGCATTTTACATTGGATAGGTTAGCCTAGCGACAAGCGGAGATTTTTCCTACTCATATGAAGCCAGGATTAATCACACATGAGACTTAAAATACTGTTTTGTGGAGGCTTTATTGTCTTCACAGTTTATTGTTTCTTAGCTGTGAAATTTAAGTAAATAAAAGCCTTGTTTCCACTGAAGGAAATGGTTTCAGCTTACAAAAATAGACAGGAGGACTGCGTCGCTCACTGTGATGTGGAGTTACATTTCTTGGGAGGTGCATGTCAGGCTACGGCGTGGGCTCTGCGTGAATGTAGAGCCTACGCCGTAGGTACGCTGTCAATTCAACGCAGAAGTATAAATCCCACAGTACTCGGCAGCATTCTTGGGTTAAGTAGAAGCTCCCCAGTGCTTGCGTTGAGTGCCAGTTTGCTACTGTACTCATAAACATATATGGTCAGATATAGACATGGTTAAAGGATGCGTTGTTTTTGAATGATAGATAGTTTGCTCAGTTGCAAAACCAGGTTACACAATTAGGAGGTAGCTGCCTTGTTCTGGGCAAACATCTGCCTTTCTAAAGGATTACCTATTGGCCACCTCTTTGTGTTGGTGGGCCTCTCTGAACCACACGAAGAATCCAATCAGCTGTTGAATACCACTGTTAACAGTAACTGAGGCCCATTCAGGTGACAAAATGGTAGCATGATTAAAAATGATATATTTCTGTGTAAAACTATATTTTACAGCAGATCACAAAGTATTCTGTCGGGGGAAGCTATGCTTCAAATATGTGTTTTTTCTTTGTGTGCATTTTTATTTATTTATTTATTTATGGAGGGTCAAGACATAACCCAGTTACAGTTTATCTGATGTTACAACAGTTAAAGTTGTGCTGTTTTGTTTTTATAAGTGATGCATCTGTGTCTTTCTAAAAATGGAGGTCCAGTTCTCGTTCTTAGTCTGTTACTTGTTGTTTTTCAGGTTCCAGTTGAAACCCTACCAGGTGATTGGTCTAAAGTGGCTGCTGCTTCTGCATGAGCACAAACTGAGTGCTATCCTCGCTGATGAAATGGTAAGGCAACCAGCCGAGGGCCTGTGTGAAGTGATAAGGTGCACTACCAACATTTGTGAGGTGTTGATGAAGCCTAAAGTCAAAAACAAAGGAAGTGTAAACATTTAATAAGCAGAGCAGGACAGTGGGTGCTTGCAGCAACTCGATGAGTTACCCTACTGTGCCACTATCAAAGGGTGCTTTGTGCGGATATGTAGCCATCCTGCAGGTGGATAAACATTAAAGTACAGTAAAGAAAAAACAGAACAAGCTGCAGAGAATTAAATTTGTTGATTCAGCCCGAAGATGGTGAGAGAAGTGAGACCTGTGATTTGTATGGTTTAGTAAAGCTGCAGTGCTGTTGAAGTCTGTCAGTATTCTTGCAGTTTATACTGGTAGCATGGGGTCAGAAACACAGATGTTCAAATATCTTTTTTGTGTCTTTCCACCTGGTTCTTTCTTCATCTCTTTGTCTTTGATATCTGACTGACTCTGCACCTCTTCATCACTCATCCTTTTTCACTCTCAGGGTTTGGGGAAAACAATCCAGGCTATTGCATTTCTGGCCCAGCTATATCAGAATGGAATAGAGGGTCCTCACCTCATCATTGTGCCAGCCTCTACATTGGGTAAAGATCTCCAAAAATCACATACTTTGCTACCAAGCTTTATGTCATGTAATTTAACAGACATCTAAATAATCATTGTTAGCACGACAACATGTTTTTAAGGTCATGGTTACATATAGCATTACATTTCGCTGTATTAAATTCTGTATTTTCTCCGACTTTAAAAGAAACGGTCATTCATTTGTTATTTATGCTGATTTCATTCTCTGTGTTGTAGATAACTGGGTCAGAGAGCTGAAGCTTTGGTGTCCAAGCCTCAAAGTGCTCGTCTACTGCGGTACGGCTCTTCTTTCATCTTTTCACATTGAAACAGGGTTTCAATGGGGGAGTGTGACCCACCAGTTGAGAACCACTGCCCTATGGGATAAGGCAATGAGTTCTCTCCTTTGCATTTTGTCCTTGACAACATGCTGCACCTCTACCCATGACAGATGCGTCTTATCCAGGAGACACACCAGCTAGCAGAGCCATTTCTAGCTTTTGGGGGCCCAATGCCTCTTGGCCAAATCTGCTTCATATTCTGTTTGCACATAAGACCAAATGCTACTTTTTATACATAAAAAACAATTTTAATTCAGCGAAAGATATGTGCTACCTGTTCTAAAAACGTTACTCATGTAGTCTTCTTTATGTGAACCCTGCAATTGATCTGGGAACCTTAACTGTTCAGTGGGTGTTCAGTGTACACATAGACAGCTGAAGAGGACTCACTATAATGTTTGTGCAGAACAATGTTTGAGCTAAAGTTCAGACCAACAGCAGCACAATAACAAACCCAGCAAGAGGCTGCGTTGGTATTGGGTGCAGGTAGAACATCAAACATTAACCAGAAAGTCCAGCTGAAGAATACGTATATAAACCCTCAAACACCGCAGTGCAGTTTCTGTTTCTTTGAGGCAAGGCATTCCTCTCTGAAAAGTTATGGTTTTTTTCTCTGTATCAGGTATACTGCCTGGTGTTCATGGCTGGAACTCTCTGACACTATAAATCCTCTTTTAACTGTAATGAGAGAGCATGTGTATCTGATGCTGTGCTGCTGCCTTTACTCTATACATGACCATAGTCTGCGTCTTTACACAGTTTTGAGCAGTGTATACCCATATGTTCCATACAGGATCTGTGGAGGACCGCCGCTACCTCAGACACGACCTCCTCAATGAAGATGTTGAGTGCAACGTCATTGTGACCACGTGAGCAAACGCACGCACACCTTCCATTACATGTTACCTCAGGGCCATGAAGAGCCTGAAGCAACTTGTAAACGAGTACTTTTGTTTTATTCTGTTTTGCTTGTTTGTGTTACAGGTATAACATGGCCATAGGTAATGACAGCGACCGTGGCCTTTTCCGTAAGCTGCCTCTGAAGTATGCAGTGTTTGACGAAGGTCACATGCTGAAGAACATGAACTCTCTGCGCTACCGCCACCTTATGGCTATAAACGTTAGTTCACTGAGTGAAATTTTTTTTATGTACTTTCTACCACCGCCACCACCTGCCTATGTCTGTCCATGTCTGTCATCAGAATTATTTGTATTTCTGTCCAAAGATATTGAACCCAACAGTGAAGGATGTTTCTTTCTGTGTCTCTCGTATTCCCTGTAGGCAGAGCATCGCTTGCTGCTGACAGGAACGCCTTTACAGAACAACCTCTTAGAGCTGATGTCTCTCCTGAACTTCATCATGCCTTCTATGTTCTCTAGCTCCCATTCACAGCTCTCCAAAATGTTTTCTATGGTAAATAATGTGTTAGATGTCCATGCTATTTGAAGCTGGATGTCACCATATAACACACTGAGAGATGGTCATAAGTGATGATTGTCAGTGTTAACTTCTGTATTAGTTTTTCGATTGTTGTTGTATTTTTAGGAAGGTCCTGCATAGCATACCTTTAACATTGTATGTTATTTGCCAGAAATCCCATGAGGAGCAGAGCCGCTTCGAGAGGGATCGTATTTCTCAGGCCAAACTCATCATGAAACCTTTTATCCTGCGAAGAGTCAAGAACGAGGTGAGTTGATGGAGTTAATGTGACAGATTTGCAATGTTTAAATATAGTGTAAGTAGAGATTGTTTTCTGTTTGGAAATCTAGCATCAAAATAATTTTCTCAGTCTCCTAGTTTGGATTATTTAACAATTAGTTTTGCTCCAACAACCTAAAAAAAGAATCAGGAAAAAATTCATTTGGGACTTTTAAATGGTTCACCTGCATCCAACTACGTTAAAACTTTGATAGTAAAGAATCAAATTAACATTTTGATTTATTCTTTTAATTAGAGAAGAACCAGGAATCTCCATTTGACACACAAACTTATTTATGTTATTTATTTCAGTATTCTGCTATAGCACACTTGCAGCATCACACAGATTTTCTCGGCCATTACCATAAATGAAGGGCACAATGAAAGTAACCATAGTTCAAACCCTGTGTTTGGATCGTCAGTAACTAGAGGTTGTGTCATTTTTCCAGGTCCTCAAGCAGCTGCCAGCCAAGGAGGAGAAGGTTGAGTTCTGTCCAATGAGTGAGAAACAGCAGGTTCTTTACCAGACTCTGTTTAAAAAACTCAAGGCCTCCATCAATGGCGAGAGTAAGCCTGATTCACTGCTCCCTGGTTTATATCTTGATATTATTTTGTGCAATTAACAGAAATAAATGTGTTGTTAACAAGTTCCCCCTGTGCATTTTCTCTGCAGAGCGTGAGTTGTGTAATGTGATGATGCAGCTGAGGAAGATGGCCAACCATCCTATGCTTCATAGACAGTACTACACCACAGAAAAGCTCAAAGCCATGAGCAAACTCATGCTCAAGGTCAGTCCTACTCTCGTTTGGTCTTTTGTTTTTGCATGTAAAGTCTTTTGCCAAGAATCTTGTCTGACTTGTACTAACAGGCTTAGCTGACTGGTGACACCAGGTATTTAAATGACTGTCATTTTAAAGAAGCTGTATGAAACATTCAGCACATTCAACCCGAGGCAGACTGATGTCAAAAAGCCTGATGGGTCGATCTGGGTCTGTGCTGAAAAGGTGTGCTGATTGGACAGGTTGGGTAGCACTTGGGCTATGGAAAAAAATCTCTACAAAATATTGAAAGTGCAGGCAGGGAGAAAAGGAAAGGGAGCAGCTAGGCTCCATGCCAAGCTCTCTGTCCTTCCTCCCTGCTGCTACGGGGAGCTTCTCTAGCAGGGAAAAACAGTGTGGAGAGTCAGAGATCCACCAAGCTGGTCGATTTTCACTGCACATGGCTTGTGCCGCCACATGGCCAGTGTGTCCCCAGCATAAGAAGCTGACAAGTCCTTGGTTGGGCACAGTATTTTTTGTGGTAATCTGGGATGGGGCGAGTTCGGGCTTCAGCTCAAATGGGCCGGTTTGGGTTGTAATTTTTTTGGCCTGTTGAGAACTCAATATAGCAGCTAACAGCTATGTGCTATGTGAAGATATATGTGAATATATAGTGGAGTAATGGTGCCCTGAGCAGAGAATGACGTCACACTCTGTGTGTGTGTGTTGTAATCAGAGTTTCTCTGTACTTTTTTGTGGTAGATGTTACGGCTGCATGTGCATGTTGGTGCATGAGCCCCTTGTATATCCCATTGGTCAGCTAATAGCAGCTGCTCTGTACTGCACTCCTACGCAGTTACTGTTGAGAATACTGTCCTGAGTCTCGGTGGTTGAGAGCCATGTGCAGGCAATTCTGGCTCAGACTCTGAATCAAAGATGCTCTGAATGTTGCATACAGCTCTTTCAAAGTATTTGAAAGTGGTGAACTGTATTTTCAGAACATGTCAAATAACATAAATCAACATGGAATTTATTCCACCACACTCCCACCACAGGAGCCAACCCACTTTGACGCAGATGCTGCTCTGATCCAGGAGGACATGGAAGTGATGTCAGACTTTGAGCTGCATCGTCTGTGCCAGCAATACTCCTCCATCAGCTCCTACCAGCTTGAAAACAATGTCCTGCTTGACTCTGGGAAATTCCACCACCTCACAGAGCTGATGGCCTCACTTAAAAACAAGGTAAATACACCAAACATATCTGTGGTACACGCAAGAAGAGCACAGGCTAGATGTACTAAGGAGTTCAACTTTTCTTCCATCCTACAGGGAGACCGAGTGGTATTATTCAGTCAGTTCACCATGATGCTGGACATTGTGGAGGTGCTGCTGAAACATCTTAAGCATCGTTACGTCAGACTGGATGGATCCACCCCCATAGCAGAAAGGTCAGTATTGTGCAGTACATTGAAGACACATCAGTTGTAGCCAACCAAGCAGGATCATGAAGCAAAATCTTATTAATTCAAATTCTATTTAGTCATCCAAGCTGCAAACAGCATTGTTGCTCTAACTACACTGCATCCTTTGCACATAAGTAGGTTGTGCTCAGCTTATTCTTTGAGTCTAGCACATCTATTATTCTATGTGTTAAGTCGAGGTGAAAGATTATTTCAAATGTAGGAAAACAAAAGCACCGTTTTCAACTTCCTCAACATAATTTGTGCCACATCTAATGGCTAAAATGATTTCTTTTTCTTGCAGGATTGTGTTGATCGATGAGTTCAACACAGATCCTGACATATTTGTGTTCCTGTTGTCAACACGTGCTGGCGGCCTGGGCATCAACCTCACCTCAGCCAATGTTGTCATCCTACACGACATCGACTGCAATCCTTACAACGACAAGCAGGCAGAAGACAGGTGTCACCGCGTCGGCCAGACCAAGTAAGATGAAATCCAAAAATGATCATATATGGGATGAATTTTACCCGATTAGGTCTCGTAATTGGAAATGTGAGCAACTGGACAGAAAATACTTGCGCTGTATGTATCAGATTCTGATGGATGTCTCAGAATAATGCTGCAGGTATTCACTGCAATTACAGGACCTCGTCAGGTAAAAATGTTCCCTTTCAGAACAAGGCTTAATGTATTGATTTCCTGTTGTGACTGTGTCAGGACTGTAAAGGTGATTAAGCTGATCAGTAAGGACAGCATAGAGGACTGCATGCTGCAGCTGAGCCAGAAGAAACTAAAGCTGGAGCAGGACATGACGGCTGTTGACGGTAAGGATACCTACACACACATACATACTCTTTCTTGACTGCATGCGCATAATCTCTGAAATAAATACATTGAATTGATTTGAATGTTACTATGCAATCTAAATAATCAAACCAGCGCTACAACAGTGGTGATTTGATTAAACAAATCAATAATAACAAAGATTCAGTATGGAGGTCAAGCAGAGCTGTGTCCAGTTCTGTTTGTGATAGTCCACTGTGTCTAATGCCAATGAAGAGAATTCCCCTGAACGTCCTAAACCCTGCAGAGATGACCTTAAATATTTGTTTTTGAAAGCTAAATAATATATCTAGGTCAAAAGTATAGAAAAAATCCAACAATCACACTAGTTGACTCATCAGTAAGACCTGATGAAAGTCCCAGGAATCGTCCTGTGTAAATGCAGTTTGAACAAAGTTGTAACATTCCTGGGTTAAATGCATAAGAACAACACAAACCAGTTTAAGAAAAGCAAGAGAGGAGAAGCCAATCTTCTTCCTTTCAAGACAGACATGCACTGGATGTTGTGTATACAAAAGTAACTATAGTAGAATTACAATATGGAGAAACAACTCAGAATATTTGGTAAGGAAAGTACAGTTATGTATGAGGAATAAGGATCAGAGGAGATGTAAAGCAACTTCCAGCTGCCAGACACTGGTGTAGAACTTCACGAAGTATATCTGCTGTTTAACGCCAGGTTCACACTGGATGTGGAAGCGCCCCGATATGTATTTTGTCTCGTGGGCTTACGCCTAGAAGTACATTTCTCCGTGCTGGTCCGCAAGTGATTCTGCTCCTCTGTTCTTTTCTAGTGACATGTAGAACATTGTCAGCTTGTGTGTGCGCATCTCTTTCGCTCTCTGTTTAGACACAGCTGTCAAATATGTAGAATAACCAAGCATGGCATGTATTTTTTATACAGTTAATAAGAATCAAATCATTTATATCATATAGAATTTATCCTTTATAGTTTTTCTAATAGATTATCAGTGTATTCTTGCCAGATTTGCCCACGGCTCATTAAAAAAATAGACTAGACGCCAAAACTATTACTGCAGATTGCGAGCTGGCTGCAGAGCTCACTGCTGCGGCGCATCCAGTGTAAACAGCCACATTGGTTAACATGGGCATCAAAAGGTAATTGGCAGAGCTCCACGGAAAATCAGATCGCTTCCCAGTGCTTCCATGTCCAGTGTGTGAACCAGGCGTAAAGCCAGTGACCATTTGTATGTCTGCAAACTCAGTTAGCCATATTTCCGGGCACACAGTGTTTGACCAGTTGATTTGCATTTACCCAACCTTCCTCTTATTTTTTGCAAATGAAAAGAAAAATAAAGCATCATGTGTTCTTTAGGTGATGATGGGACCATTCCTGAAGATATGGCAACTTTGCTCAAAGCCTCACTGGGACTGTGATGCGCAAACACACAAAACTGTAGAGTGTACAAACACATTTTTTGATGGCATTCCTGTGACTCTGGGCAGACTTGAGTGTTCCGACTGAACACACACACTTCTGTGTCTATACTGGAAAACTACTGAGAACCATATGCTGCCAAGTTCTGTTATTGAGATCTGATTTACTCCGTAGTGTGGCAGCTGTGCCTAAAACACTATTTTTTTCATGCATACAGTTACAGTTTTTGCTCCTACTTTGACATGAGATCAATATATAAAGGAAGAACAAAAATGTTGCCTTTAGAATTGTATGCACGCCACACGTTACACACACGTTAAAACTTGAAAGAAAGTGGTGTTTAGAAGTTCAGACCAAACTGTCAGTGATGCAGCATGTGTTGAGACTGCACCATGGCACTTGTTTAAATAAAAGTATCATTGAAGTTCCCATAACTCTGCAGTCTTATATTCACATTCAGATAAAGACATGCAGGAAAGGAAAATGATGCTTACTGGCAGTCTGTGGTGTATGAACTATTCCAAGGTCTTTCTGTGTGAAGAGATGGAGGATGGTAGATTTTTATAACCATCCTTCCTACCTGACACTGTTGCATCTTGCCTAATGTACTTGCTCTTACTTGCCAGGTCTTTAAAAAAAAAAAAAAGAAACTTAACATCAAAGCATTTTTGCTGCTTTATTTTACAGCAACATTTAACAGCAGCCGATATGACAACTATACAGAACATGTTGCTGCTCCTCTGATACCAGAACTAATCAAACATTTTGACAGTTTTGGTTGCCTCACGAAATCAGCCAAGTATCTGGAAAATTGTATCTCTGTAGGTGTTATGTGTTGAGTTTCATCCAAATGATTTAATTTTAAAGGTCTAGTGTGCAGGATTTAGCGGCATCTATTGGAAGAAATGGTGTGTAATATGTTTTTATTAGTTAATAGTCACCAGAAAATACGTATAGTTGTGTTTTCATTGCCTTGTAATGAGCGGTTTATATCTAGATACAGAAAGGGTTCTCCTCCATGGAGTCCGCCATGTTGTTCTACAGTAGCCCAGAATGTAGAAACCAAACACTGGTTCCAACTGGGGCATTGATGTTTTCATGTTTTCACATCAGCCACCGTAGTTGCTCACGCAGAAGAGAAGTTTCAGTTCTGCAACCTCACCTCTAGATGCTTCTAAATCTGACACACTGGACCTTTTAGTCATCTTTTTGGCGAAGGCTGATACATGGTATTGTGGGTGTAGTCAATAAGTTTCGTACACAAATATCCCAGTTTTTCTAGTGTGTAAATCTAGAAAAACTACAGCAAAAATAAAAAAAACAATGTCTTTAGTAAGAACAGTGCTTGAATTGGTTTCCTCACTGTTTCTACTCCTTTCAATATCTCGAGCTGAGCGACACAGAAGATGGTGATTTAATGAAGCAGCTGCAGCATTTATGTACTGTATAAGTGGCTAATGTGTTGTAAGTGTACGTGTAAAAGCTTTTACTATACTTTGTATGTTTTTAAGGTTCCTGTATGAACTGAATAATAAAAGTTGGAATAAATGTTTGTGTGATCATGCCTACAGCGATTTAGCAGGAGGAGCTGCCGGTAAGGAAATTATCTCTCAGTCTTTCATATTATATGAATTATTGTAATATTATGCTGCAAGTGGTTTGGCAAGAGTTGAAATATGTGCACCTTTGTAAAGCCAGGTTGGGCAACAACAGGGTCTGTGATATACATTTGGAATAGGTTTATTAATGAAGTCCATATAAGATATATCTAATGAAGACTGCCCCTTTTGAGTTTCATTATTTATCAGCAGTCTACTGAGACTAATCAAATTGGCTAATTTTAAAGAGATCTAAATAATGTATGTATGTGAAGGATTTTTAAAAAACCTGTGAATATCACTGGTTCCACTAAAGCTTCACGGTGGGTGATGAGGCCTTCCTGATTTTAAGGGGTGTGAGAAAACTTTTTAAATAAATACTCAGTAGAGCTTTATCTCAGATTTTCATTCGTTTCTGTGACAGAAACTAAATGAAATTGTTATTTTTAAAGCTAAGATTATTCTTCAGGATAAAGATTTGCACCCTGGTGGGTATTAAAGATGTTTTCTATTTCATTCTTAACTTTAAAAAAAGCTGACAGGACAAGGGCACAGTGAGACAGAACCTTCCCTGTCAGCTTAACATCCTCGTCCTGCATTAGAAAAGTATGCAGTTAAAACAGCAAGAATTGATCGAACAATGGTCAAGCCTTGGGAAGAAGAAAACACTGAATTTGTCAAAAAAATGATCCTATAAATGATTGTTAAAAATAAAGAATAAATAAATGATACAGAGAATTGAATAAAAAGTTCCTAAAAACAACAGGTAAACTTATCTCTGATATAACACTGTCTGGAAATAATCTGTTTCAAATCTCATTTTACAGAAACCTGCAGTTATTGCACTCTCTGCTTGTGTTAATTGTACAGTTTATCAGTTGTTCTATGCCATTATTGTTATGCACTGAATATAATATGAAGTATTCATGAGATATGTCACATAGTCAGGGGTTGTGAATTTACTCAATGATAGAAAAGACTTCCCTGAAGAAAAAAGGTGGGGAACCATTGGACCAGATGTTGTTGAATTAAACCTAATCCAGTTATTCTGAAAGGAGCCATGAGTTGCTTGCATCTTGCATAGTTTACTTTTTAGTGTATTATTTTATCGTATCGATGTGCAGTAAAAGCCCAGGCTGTTATTTGCTTAAATCACTGAAATCAACACGCCTTTATTTGGGACTGTCATACAAAACTATTGCTCAGCAAAGATCACGAAATACAAATTGTTTATTTAAACCAGTATGAATATTACTTGTATAAAAACTAGGCTATAGAATATATATCAATTATGAATCATTCATTTGATCTAGCTCCGACTGACAGCACATCAGAGAGAGTGAGTTACGGCACTTGAGGATTATGGCACCTGGCGTACCAACACAACCCCACTTTATCCTGTTAAAACAATACTCACAACTTTGATTATTTTTTATTAAAAGCCCTTTTGATATTTTTGTTCTGAGGACCCTGACGCACTACAGAAATATGAATAACTTAGTGGGTATTGGAGGAATGGACACATGATTTAAGGTAGCCAACAACCTGGTTTTATACATCTTAAGAACTGCTTAAAAAAATTAAACTGCTTATCAACCAGACCAGGCCTCTAATTGAGATGGGCCTTCATTTGACACAAATTTTTAGCCACACTGGGTTAGTAAAAGGGACAAGTCGTTTAATTGGGGCTAGGCTTTTGATTGAAGTTTTACAGTACGACACTATCAGACTTAAGACAAGGTAATACACAAATGAAAATGTTCGAAATCAAAATAACTTTATTTCGTGCACTGGATGCACAAGGACTTTAATTTTGGTTTGTTAATACTGATATATTACAAGATATTTACATAGCAAACACTTGAACAACTATTGAGTTTACTAGTTATAGGAAATGACAGTTGACTAGCTCTTACTGAAAAACTAATACTTAAAAGTTTAATATTATGTATAAAGTAAGTACTGAAATCTACATCAAATCATTGTAATCTAATAATCTACTCTGCGTTGGGGGAGTATCGTCCACACCTATAGCCTGTGAGGTGAGCATCACATTTGACTGTGTAGGTGAAATAGAGAACTCCTTTGCTCAGCTGACAGCTCAGAGCACGAGATCCTCGCTCAGGGAAGACAACACATATACCCGCCATGTCATTATAAAGCACATCTCTATCCCAGACTTCAAACCTCAAAGCCCGACCTAGTTCCACCGATCCAAAGTCATAGGACACATTCCACACTGGGTCATTGTTGTCCATCACCGTCTCCGTCTCTTCGTACATACCGTTGTAGAAGATCTTCACATAGGCGTCGGTTTTCGTGAAGGTGTCTGCCCTCAAACCTGCAGCCCTGTGGATCTCTAGTCTGAGAGTTCCTCTGCCAGCCCGCAGAGGACAGCAGTTATGGTCCAGGTTGGGTGTGGGGGAGCAGTTCTTGAAACCAGCCTGCTCCGCCTGCAGCTGGTTATCTTTAATATACTCTGAGATAGTGCTTCTCAGATTAGCACTGATCTGTGTGTCGTCCACCAGTTGATGCAGAGGGAAGATGGCATAAGAAACCACATCAGGGTTGTCGTGGAGGCTGTTCATCCAGCTCTGGTATGCTTCAGACGGGTCCTCCTGGTAGAGGATGTCAGGGAAGTACCTCTCTCCTCCAGTAACCTCAATCTTATGTGTCATAAAGCCTTGGTAGAAGCCCATGCTCATGTTACCCTTCAGGAGGTTGTCACACTTGTTGGACAAGGATGCATTGCCAGGGAGGAAACCAAGAGCCATTCGGAGCTCAAAGTTCAGGCAGTTTTTGATGTCGGACTCTGAGAAACCCTTCAGTGTGGCCAGGCAGGTCCTGAAGGCAGTGATTCGCCTCACCTTACCACCAAGCTGGACCTATAGGAGACAGAACAAATAATGAAATGAAGGCTATGTCATTACCTTCAGCATGATCTTGCACTGAGTAAGAAACTCATATCAAGAAGACCTTCTACAGCATACATGTCAACCACCTGACCTGGTGTATGTAGTGTGTTCCGTAGGTGTCTATCAGCCGTCTGTATAAGGCTTTGTTCTGGCTCGTATTTAAGTTCTGTGGCAGTCTCATCAGATGTTTGGTGAACTCTGTGCTCAGCGGGGGATGATCAGCCAGCCTGTAGCTGAAAAAACAAAAGGCATGCAGAGTTTGACCATAACATGGCAACATAATGCTCACTCTTATGTTAAAAAAAATAAACAAGAAAAAGTAAACAGTCGCGCTTCGGACATTTTTCTCAAATCATCCTCTTTTGAAAGCCCACTTTTCACACAAGCTAAGAAACATTTGCAGGGTATCATCTCGGTTATCTTTCAAATTTTAACCTATTTTGAGATGTGACCAATACGTGCTTTACCTTCTTTACATGGAGGAGATGTCAAGAACAAACTATGAGCTAGTACCTGGAGTTAGAAATTATGCTGCATTCAGATGGAATCAGGCAGATGGTAGATGGCAGACAACACCCAACAACACCTTTTGTACAGTTCGGCACAATCGTAGGACGATAAAACTAGTCATGCATGGCGATATGTTGCGTTGTTGATGCTGTATTGTTTATAAAGAATGGAATGAAATATTTTGTGTCTCTTATTTTATGTAATTTATCCGGTAATGTCCAGTATTTGTCAAGGTCGTTTTCTCCTTGTGTGACAGCTACATAACATTCGGTTGTAAATTCCATCATGGAGGACGGCATAAGCCAAAACGTTTTAACTTTGAATGGAAATGCAATCTACTGTTATCGTTACCGGTATTTTCTGCTACCTAATTTTACGTCCTTCTCTTGTCCACCAAAATGATAGCTGGTTAGCCATCTACTGTCTCCTTGATTCCATGTAAGCAATTACTATTCATCTCGCAACTGGCATCTGTCAAGCCACCATTGAATTTTAGCCCTCTTTTTAAATAATATACAGTTGCAGTTTTGTTATGCCACCTAAAATGGCCACAATAATATCCAGTATGTAGATGTAATGGAGCCAGAATTCCTCATTTGCTCAACTTTGCCTATACTGTATGTGATGATGCTTCATTGCAAGCCATGTACCTCATCGTGACAACATATTTTTGTTGTCGAATCCTCGTTGTACCTAAGTATAATGGCAATAAAAGATCAATAAAAGATTTGTTCAGTCTGATTAATTTAATCATCCCAGTAATCATACATCAATCAGCAAATTACATGCAATTACAAAGCACCATTTTTACCAGCCCTACTCCTTACCTGTAGTAGGTGCAACTGATCTCATGGATGGCAAAAGTGGCCTTGTCCACGCTGTGCTGCGAACGAGCAAACTTTGCCAGGTCTGAGCGGCTTCCTCCCAGCAGTGCCTTGCCAATATTATCTAAACTCAAGCCCACACCCCAGTTGTTGTTAACCAGAGAGTTGGAGCTACGCAGCAGGGAGTCCACAGAGTGGTGGAGGGCACTGGAAAGCTGCTTACTGCAGCGGCTGAAGGGACGCCAGTCGAGCACTGCAGCTGGGAGCCTCTGAATCTGAGGAGGAGAGGAAAGGCAGGATGTTGAGAGGGATGCAGGTGGAGGAAGAAAATAGTTAAAGGAAGTGTGGAATAGTAGAGTGAGGAAAAACACAAGGCAGAAGGAGCAGAAAGTTGTGGTTTGGCTGGAATTAGGTAAAGGGAATTTAGGCTGTTTGAAGACACCATGAAAAAGAGTGAGGTAGACAGTTTTCACCTGTCCTCCTTGGAAGCGGTTTGGACAGAGTGTACAGGTGTTGTTGTCAGCCAGATGAGCTTTGACATTGATGACGTATGCCCCCGTTCGACGCATCCGCACCACATCAAAACCCTCCCCTGCCAGGTTGTGGCCCGGGACAAAGGGGGCTTTCTCACACTCTGACCCTGAGCCAGTCCGGCAGCCCTGGACCCTACAGACCTCCAACATGACTGCCAAAGCTAATGTAAACAGAACGATGTTGCTCCATTGGTTTCCTCCAGATGGCATGGTTACCTAAACAAAACAACAAACGGGGGGTGAGAATGTAGTCACTGAAGTCCATATTTTAAAGATTACTTCTTTGCAATGAAATACTCCCTTTAACATGAAACAAGTGTCTGACATGAAGCTCATAGAAGGTAGTTGCGTTATTTGCCTTATGGTATAATGAATTTTGACAGGTTTATTAGTGAGCAGACTGCAGAGTGGTTGCTGGTACCCAACTAAAAATTAAAGATGAATTATGTTACACAGTAAATACAGATGAGCTTATAATCCTCTCTGCTTTTAAACTGGAGTAATCCTACTGCAGATGTTGTCCAACTCTAAAAACGTGCACAACAGAAACCCACAACAACATGAACATGCACTGACCTTGGATTGTATTCAATGTATCGTTCTTTAGATTGTGTCCTCGTCAGTTGTCCGGCTGTAGCGTTCTCAGCCTACAGAAATTCCTGTTCAGATTTTACCAGCCAAGAAAAACACATTTGTTGTGCCTCACCCTTTTTACAAACCCCATCGATGGCGTTGTTTACCGTAAAAGATGAACTGCAAACTGACTAAACTCCTGATCCTGTTGGAAATGAAATCACGGTTGGCAGAGCTTTAGCCGGTCTAAAAGCCTGCTGGGCGCACTCTTTTGTCTGTCCTCCACCCTATGAAAAAAGACCAAGGAGGGAGTTTCCCTGCTTCAGGGCTGTGTATCTGTCTCTCTTCCTCTCCCGCTCTCTTCCCTGAGGCTTTAACAATTTCCTCAGCATGACTGGGTTTGTTTTTATGTTCATGACCCAGCTCTATGAATCCCTCACAGCTGTGTATGTGTGTGTGCATGTGCATGTGTGGGGGAGGGAGATTCTTGTATAGTCACGAGAGAAAAGATGCACGTTGGTATGAGCAGTCTTTACGGGAAATGGCTCCGTGTATATGTATGTATGTGCATGTGAGTGTACAGTGCATGTGTGTCTGTTGCAGTGACCGCGTGTGTTTTTGTGTATATAATGGCTGAGCCGGCCTGTCTGTGTACTGATAACCTTACCAACACCATGAGGTCAGCTTTGCCTTTGTCTATTTATGGATGTGGGTGGATGTTGGTGGTTTTCTCAGTTAGGTCAGGGAAGATAAAAGTGTCTCTGTGTGCAAGAGGTTTCCTTCAACGGTATTATTTAGACAACCAGTATGTGCTTTGGTGCCACGTTTACAGACCTACAGACTCTAACTGTGGCTTTTGCATTTTGTACCAGCCTCAACACTATATGGTGTAAATATAATTTCTGTCTCAAAAATAGAACTCCAGTTGTTAAAGGGGCAGTTCATCCCACAATCAAAAACACTTAATTTTCCTCTTAACTGTAGTGCTGTTTATCACTTTAGACTGTTTTATTGTGAGTTGCTGAGTGTTGGAGATATCTGCCTTTTGAGAGGTTAATTTAATGCCATCATAATCAAACTAGATGGCGCCAAAGTAAGCATGCATCTACTGCTAGCTCTCCTAGCATCACTGAGCAAACTAATGTTACAGCACAGCTGAGAGCACCATCAATGTTTACATCTCATGCTGTCAGGAGCATGAGCCTTTCATCCATGAGTAGATGCACTCTTCCTTCTGTGCTGTGATACAGTTGGCGGGTGTAGTTCAAGAGAAAGAAAATAGTTCCTACATGAAAAAGCTCACAACAAGGTCTGTGGATTATCATGAGTAACCAGGTCATGAACTCTGGTATGAGACTTTTTTTTCTTAATGTATTGGGTTTTTACAAATATTTTATTTGTATATTTTCAGATTTTAACACAAACAGCACAAATACAAGTCACCCACCCTCACCCTTGAATAAGAACAATACAAAAAGAAATGAAGACCAAAAAATACGCTGCTATAGGCAGAATGACCAGCAAGAAGTTCAGCACCTACTACAGAATGGGTGTCTGTACATCTGCGCATAGGATGACTACACACATGTTGTTTGTCCAACCCATTATGAACAAGTATCTATACTTACGTAATCTGAGTTATTGTATTACATTTATTTTGAGAGGTTGGTTTTGTATTTCACTGTTTGAACTTGACTGTTAGGGTCATTGTGGGGATAGTCATTGTTGTGGGATTGATGTATCATTACTATTATTATAGGGTGATTTTGGTTCCTACCTGTGGGGTGTGTCTGGAGGGACGTTAATGTTTTGGGAACGGAAGTTCTCCAGTGTGCCATGTAAACAACGGATGTGCTGAATGTATGCTACTGCTGTTGCCATTTTGGCCGGAATAAAAGAAAAGAAATTAAAGACAACTGTAGCCGATTATTACCCACAGCTCGTGAGACTGTATTAAAGTAGAGTAGAGTAGAGTATTAAATCTTCAGGTTACACTTATATGCAAACACTTAAGGCCATTCTAGATAAAGAGGACATCAATGGTTGCCATGTTTTATCAAAGATTACAGAGCTGAAGGAGGTGCTGTTTCCAACTCTCTTCATGTGTAACAAGTTGGTGATTTCTGCCAACCAGGTTTTAAAAGAAGTCACATCCCCAGTTTTCCAAAGAATCAAAATATTCCTTTTTGCCACCACCTTGCCATGTTATCTAGTTCCATTACATTCAAGAAAAGGCAGACATCTCTATGACCAATATCTTCAGTGCTTGCAAACTCATACCAAACCAATCTAGACTGATAAACAGCACTACAAGTAGGAGGAACAACATGTATTTTTTAATTGGTGTGAATTCTCCCTTTAAGCGTGCAAGATTAAAAAAAGACGCATACTCATAAGGCAGACCTGTTACAGGACTAATTACTTGAAGTGACCACTGACTGAGGTATTTTCAGAGAATTTAGGGTGTTTTTCATACATCATATATTTTTATATAAATAGCAACAAACAAAGCACAAACCATATAAACACGAAGACATGGATTCATTGAGTTGTTTTACATGACTTTAATAAGTGCAGTGCAGAAGAGTTTAATAGACATACATTTATAAATCATTTTAATTTCATTAACATTAAAAGTAAAGGACAAAAACAGATTAATGGTACGTTCAAAAAAGTCATACAAAGCATTCATGTTCTTAAATGGGATAGAAAATGATTTATACACATGGCATTGTGCATTCTGGCCTCATGAGGGCAGTGTTGGCTCACTGTGGCCTTCTCCTTTGTACCATCTGGTGAATTTGAAGGCAGATTGTTATCTCTTAGATTTAACGTAAAATGATAAATTTTACAATGTTTACTTATTTTAAGAAACATCTTAAAGTTCACAACATACTGTAAGGAAAATAGGTAGACCTAGATGTATTGCTAAAGCTATTACACTCATCAATAGCAGGTGATGGAATGTGACTGTGTGAGTTACTTATTGGTTTCATAAGCACACATAGACAAGGATGATTCACACTAGGAGTGTTTAAACATGAAAATATTCCAATCATGTAAAATGTTGGCAGTGACTGCTGATTTGGCATTGAACAAGGAAGTTAAACACAAAATCTGTCACACCAGACACCGTCTCTGCGTGCCAAGCCTCTAAACCTCACCTTGCTGTGTCTCCCTCTCTCCTTTATCACACTCAACCTCTTCACGTATTTCTTCATAGCCTCTCACTGTCCTAAATCCAGACAGCCTCCTCCTTCTCCTCACCACAATTACTGCCACTATGACCAGTACCATCATACCCATTACCCCAAAGGCTACCCCTGCCTTTTCACCACCTGTCATCTGATTCAACTCTGGGTTAGTCCTACGTATGATCTTGTTGATGTCCTCTGGTTTTGCCAGTTTCCACGCCTTGGTCAGCCCCACTCTGACCCAGTTCTTGTCTCCCTCAGTCATGACCATAACCGTGTTAGTGGCCTGCATACTGACAAGTGGAGGTTTAGTGAAAGGAGGCAGATGGATCGGAAGCAGTTGTCCACCTGTGAACAGTCCTGACTGGACACAGTAAAGAATTTCACAGCCGTCGCTCACTGTAGCGAGGTGCTGACTGAACATAGGAGGACAGCGACGTTGATTCCCTGCCAGCGGGTTGTTTGACTGACAACTGAAGAGACCTCCGAATGGTACTGAGAATCTGGAGCCAGTTTCATAGTCGTTGCTCACGCAGATCACTTGGCCATCTGAGAGAAATTTTACTGGAATGAAGTTTGGGGGGCAGCTTTTGGCGTTGGTGAGGGGGTTCGGGAGAGAGGGGCTGTATATGCCTCCAAACAGAAACCCTGAGTTTTCTGGGGCCTCTCCATTTAGAGAGCACCAGTAAGTGTCGATGCGAGCAGAGCGAACGTAGTACCAGTCCCAACAGAGGTCCTCAAAAATGCAATAGTGCTGAGTGTAACCCTGCTGTCTCACTTCTGATCTGAGTAAAGTGGCCGAATAAGGCGAACGACAGGAGAAGTCGCCTGTGTCAGGGTTTTTCTGGGCCAGAGCATCACATAGTGGACCTGCATCTGAGGTGAGAGGAGTACACACTTGATAGACACCACCAAAACTGAGGTTTGTAGCAGGGCCCTCGCAGGAGGAATCATCAATGTTGGCCTGGAAGTTAAAGTTCTTGGAGCTGACGTCGACACATCCAGGCCGCGTGTTGATCCTGTAGTATCGCTCTATGGCCTGACTCACTGCAACAGCCACTTTGCCAACTGTAGGCTGCGGCAAATCAGGGAAGGTGTTTGTGTTTATAAAGTAGTGGAGGGGAAATCCAGACCGATCAATAGCAATCAGGTTGTTCCTGGTACTTTCCTGCCACTTCTGCAGAGTGATGCCAGGATAGAAAGGTATGCCTCCATGGCTCTGGGTAATAGAGTATGTAATATTGGACTGATACGCTTTGAGTGATGAGCTCTGTTGGGTGTTTTCACTGCTTATGTCAAACTTGAGTTTGTCAAAAAAGCTTAAGCCTGCCTCAGCTTTGACGGAGGAACTTTCTGACGAACTATCCGACACATATGACGAATGGAGGTAGTCTTCCTGCACCAAAGAAGCCCCAGCATCAACACTAGTGATAACATGGGTTCCGTAGTCCAGCACCATCTTCTCTGAGAGATAGTCTGCGTTCCTTGTTTGGTTGTTTTCAATCGCATCAGCAATCTCTTTGGCTTGTTGAGCAAAGCGTGTGTCCAGAGTGAAGTCTGGATAAGCCTTCACTGTGTAGATGAAGTTACGAACCTTTGAGGAAAAAGAGTACATGTCATTATGTTGTAAGGGTTTTTTTCACCTCATTTTTGTTCTATTCATTTTGTTTATTTGCTTTTAACAGTGATGTCTGTAATACCTGTCCAGCAACTACAGTTAAAAAATAGCCTTCCATCTCACACTGACACATTTAGAGACACGTTTAATGAGCACTAGTATGTACAATTTCTAAGTAATCCATGTTAGAGAACTTTTTTCATATATTAACGAAATATTTGCAAAATTATTTTAGCTCTTGATCCATAATTGTTGCCACAATTATTTTTGTTTTATTTTATTTATCCAAACTGTGGAAAAAAGAAACTCACTTGCACTCTGGTTGTGGTTGAAGAGTCTTTGACCTGATGGGTTTTCATCCTCTTGTTCTCTGTAGAGAATTTTGCATTCAGCTTTGAAAGGAATGATACCTCTACATTTATGGAGTGAGATGTAGAGCTTGTCTGCTCCAGCCAGGAGCTGATTATCTCTGAGCTTGTCTCCACGCCTGTCTCCTTGTGCGGGATGACAAACACCTCATCTGGGATCAGGTAGAATCCGTCCTCGGTGGTCTGGCACTGGAAGTAGCTGAGGTTCATGACCCGACCCATGTCCATGTTCCGGAGGTTGTCCCAGCCTCCGCCCGGCAGCACCTCCAGTGCTGTGATGGAGAGGTCGGTGGAGGCGCGACATTGTCTGAGCCAGTTTGTGGGGTGTCTGATGGGAAAAGAAGAGCAGATATGAAGGAGAGCAAGAGCCAGGAGGGTCAGTGCTGCCTTCATGATGACTGAGGCAGACGGGGGTTAGAAGACTGAATATAAAGTTTACTTCAAGTTCCTCCTTCTCTTATGTAGGTTATCATATGACAAACATATGACGGTGTGGTAGGAACTTGTGGGTGAGGATAAGGTTTTACTTTTCTTTTCAGGTCTGCATTTTTATTTCATCCAAAATAAATATATTCAGGATACTTAGTATCAGAGAAAAAGTTTAGTCGGCCAAAAAGATTTTAACCTGAATACTCTTCCAAAGTTCTGACAAAGATTCTTTCTGTATCACAAAAAAATTACTTCAAAGTCTCATGCAACCAATTTAAAGCCAATACTATGAAACCTGCAACAGGAGATGTTTTGGTAAGAGACATAAATCTATGTTTTATAGTCAGCTCCATATGTATTGAGGACAATGATACAATTTATTGTTACTTTGGCCATGTAAACTGCCACAATGGACTTGTAATAAAGCAATTAGTATGTGCTTTCTCTGACTTTCAACTTTATTTAAGGCTAGACTGTAAAATTGGGTGAACCGTGCAGGAATTCCAACCATTGAGTGCTTTGAGTGGTCAGAAGACTAGAAGGGTGCTATGCAAGTGGAGGTCCATTTACTATTTTTATACATAGACCCCACATGTCAGGGTACCCAGAGTAATTGGACAAATTGACATTAACATCGCATTAAACGTATGTATGTAACTTTTTACATGTATCAATTGTTTTTTTATTTCCAATGGGTGAACCCATGGCAGCGTAATCTTAAAATCTGAAACTTTCTGGACTTTCTCAGTTGCCTATAACAGACTATGGAGTCATTTCTATGTAAAAGGCTCAGGGTGATTTTGCAACAAAATCCAAAGTAGAGATACAAAATATTGGATTATTTGTCAATACCCAATATGCCAATATGTAACAACTAATTTGACCAATACAGATATCATTATATCCACTTTTTCCCTACCTACCCTTATCTTATTATGCATGTATACCCCTATCATGACGGTCCACCACCTGGTGGAGACATGAAATGCAGTACTTTTCAATGCATGTGATATTCATTTATTGTGCAGATTAAGAAAAACCATGTTGGCTGATTCTAATAGTTCATTTTAAAGCCAGTTTTGGCCGATATCAATGACGTGCCAATATTATCATGCATTCCTAATCCAAAGGATACTTAACATGCATTCTCGAGTGCTTTACTCCTCAACAGCCCTGCTAAAGCAACAGATTACAAATGAAAATGCCACACTTGGCAGCTAGACTCAAATCTAGCACTTTTATCTGCTGATTTAATCATAAGGTAATGGTGGAATAACATACACCTGTCCAAGGAACATCTGAACAGCCAATTGTCCAAATAATTTTTTGTCTCTTAAAAGGGTGGACGACAAATAAAACTGTAATTCCTTTGCTGTTCATAGATGTAAATACCTTTTAAGTCCAAGCTGAAATCTGCCCTTGAAGCACATACTGATCGTTGCATTTCAGATCTATTGTGGAGATGTACTCAGCCAAAAAACAAACATTGTTTCACTGTCCAAATACATTTGACAACTGACTGTATGCAGTCCCAGTGATTTATGTTAAAAAGTGCTTTGGTTGAGAAATACTGTTTCAAAGTTTATCTACTTTTAAGATAAAAGTCAAATTGTTTACTGACTTCCTCTTGTCAAAAGGAAGAGAAAACAATTCTGATAAGATCCACAAAAAAGGGAAGTGACTGTGTTTTCACATGTTTGAGAACTGTCACGAGTGTATGCCACTGGGTATGTCTGAGGAAGTAACTGACCGGGTCAGCACCTGACATCAACTCCTAACAATCGAGCTTAAACTAATGTTTTGAAAAAGATGGAATATAAGTAAAAACAAAACGAAAAACTTTATTTTAAAAAGTAATCTTTCAAGTGACTGAATTACTAGTCTAATAATACATAAATACCAGTGTGGAGTATGTCAGAGATTATGTTTTTTGAATACAGTAAAATATATTTAACTGCATTTCTTGTTTCATGCTCTATTAGTAATTAGTTCACGAGTGCTTTACCCCTCAACAGCCCAGTTTAAGCAACAGATTACAAATGAAAATGCCACACTTAACATCAAATCTAGCACTTTAATCAGCTGATTTAAAAATGGAGTAATGGTGGAGGAATATAAAGTTGTCCTATGAACAGCTGAACAGCCAATTGTCCAAATACTTTTGGTCTCTACAAAGAATGGACTACAAATATAAATGTCTGCAATTCCATCGCCGTTCATAGATGTAAATGCCCTTAAACTGAAGCTTAAATCTGCACTCGAATCACACACTAATTGTTTTATTTCAAATCTATTGTGCAGACGTACAGAGCCAAAAAACATTGTTTCACTGTCCAAATACATATGGCACTGACTGTTTGCAGTTATAGTGATTTATGTGAATAAATGTTAAAAGGTGCACTGCTTTGGCTGAGAAATACTGTTTCAAAGTTAATCTACTTATAAGGTAACGTCAAATTGTTTACTGACTTCCTTTTATCAAGAGGGACAGAAAACAATTCTGATAAGCAGATCTACAAAAAAAGGGAAGCAGCGGTGTGTTCACAAGTTTGGGAACTGTCACGAGTGTATGCCACTGGGTATGTCTAGGGAAGTTTCTGACCGGGTCAGCACCTGACAACTCCTAACAATCAAGCTTAAGCTAATGTTTAGAAAATGATAGAAGATAAATAAAAACAAAACAGAAAAGTTTATTTTAAAAAGTAATCTTTCAAGTGACTGAATTACTGGTCTAATACACATAGATACCAGTGTGGAGATTATGTTTCTGAATACAGTAAAATATATATTTAACTGCATGACTTGTTTCGTGCTCTGCTAGTTATTTAATATAAATTACTTTTTTTAAAACATACTGCACTACTCATGTTAGACCACTGCTTTGTTTTGTGCATTAAAAAGGATCATAATGAAACATGACCTGAGGTGAACCTTTGTTTCTAGACTGCAGCTACCTGATTCCAGCCAGTAGGGGGCAACACAAAACCATAAATACAATATAAATATGAACACATAGTCATTGTATTGTTTTATGCCACTTTAATTAGTAGTTAGGTGCAGTGCAGAAGAGCTGCATGATACAAAAAATTACAAAACTTAATAAATCTTCCTAAAAGCTTCACAAAACGTTCATCAATTATCTGTAAAAACAATCATAAACAACATATTTTATGAACGATACAATGTACAAAGTTATGCAAATCATACAAGTTCTTAAATGGAGTATAAAATGTTTATATACATGATTTAATGCATCTTGGACTCATGAGGGCAGCATTGGTTCACTGTGGCCTTTGGAAGTACCTCTGCTTTGTGCTATGTGGTTATCTCAAAGACAGATTGCTCTGGAGTCACATTTCTTAGATTTGACATAATATGAGCAGGTTTTAATGTGCAAAATACAAAGCAACATCACTAAGTGCAAATGCTATCAGGAAAAATTACTACCAATAAACGGATTGTTGAAGCTATAGCATTTATCATCCATAGCAGCTGTTAAAATGTGGCTATGTAAATTATTATTTGGTTACAAAGACACCTCAAAACAATAATTACTGATGCAAAGTCCAACTGATTCAAACTCCGAGCCCTTAAAAGTGAAAAATTCCCACTCCTGTAAGTTGTGTCACAGTGATTTCTGATGTGATAATGAACAAGGAAGTTAAAAACAAAATCTGTCACACCAGATTAACCTGTCTCTGCGTGCCAAGCCTCTAAGCCTCACCTTGATGTGTCTCCCTCTCTCCTTCACCATGCTCAACCTCCTCACGTATTTCTTCATAGCCTCTCACTGTCCTAAACCCAGACAGCCTCCTCCTTCTCCTCACCACAATTACTGCCACTATGACCAGTACCATCATACCCATTACCCCAAAGGCTACCCCTGCCTTTTCACCACCTGTCATCTGATTCAATTCTGGGTTAATCTTCCGTACCATCGCCTCAATTTCCTCTGGTTTTGCCAGTTTCCACGCCTTGGTCCGCCCCACTCTGACCCAGTTCTTGTCTCCCTCAGTCATGACCATAACCGTGTTTGTGGCCTGCATGCTGACAAGTGGGGGTTTAGTGAAAGGAGGCAGACGGACTGGAAGCAGTTGCCCACCTGTGAACAGTCCTGACTGGACACAGTAAAGAACTTCACAGCCGTCGCTCACTGTAGCGAGGTGCTGACTGAACTTGGGAGGGCAGCGACGTTGATTCCCTGCCAGCGGGTTGTTTGACTGACAACTGAAGAGACCTCCGAATGGTACTGAAAATCTGGTGCCAGTTTCATAGTCGTTGCTCACGCAGATCACTTGGCCATCTGAGAGAAACTTTTCTGGGATGAAGTTTGGGGGGCAGCTTTTGGTGTTGGTGAGGGGGTTCAGGAGAGAGGGGCTGTATATGCCTCCAAACAGAAACCCTGAGTTTTCTGGGGCCTCTCCACTGACAGAGCACCAGTAAGTGTCGATGCGAGCAGAGCGAACATGGTAGTTGTCCTGGCACACTTGACGATGGCAATGTGATAGCCCCAAAAACCCACAACGATATCTTTCGTCATGACAATCATAGGAAGTGTAACCCTGCTGTCTTGCTTCTGATCTGAGTAAAGTGGCCGAGTAAGGTGAACGACAGGAGAAGTCGCCTGTGTCAGGGTTTTTCTGGGCCAGGGCATCACATAGTGGACCTGCATCTGAGCTGAGAGGAGTACATACTTGGTAGACACCACCAAAACTGAGGTTTGTAGCAGGGCCCTCGCAGGAGGAATCATCAATGTTGGCCTGGAAGTTAAAGTTCTTGGAGTTGACGTCGACACATCCAGGCCGCGTGTTGATCCTGTAGTATCGCTCTATGGCCTGACTCAATGCAACAGCCACTTTGCCAACTGTAGGCTGCGGCAAATCAGGGAAAGTGTTGGTGTTTATAAAGTAGTGGAGGGGAAATCCAGACCGATCAATAGCAACCAGGTTGTTCCTGGTACTTTCTTGCCACTTCTGCAGAGTGATGCCAGGATAGAAAGGTATGCCTCCATGGCTCTGGGTAATAGAGTATGTAATATTGGTCTGATACGCTTTGAGTGATGAGCTCTGTTGGGTGTTTTCACTGCTTATGTCAAACTTGAGTTTGTCAAAAAAGTTTAAGCCTGCCTGAGCTGAGACAGTTGAACTCTCTAACACATTGTCAGACACATATGACGAACGGAGATAGTCTTCCTGCACCAAAGAAGCCCCGGCATCAACACTAGTGATAACATGGGTTCCGTAGTCCAGCACCATCTTCTCTGAGAGATAGTCTGCGTTCCTTGTTTGGTTGTTTTCAATAGCATCAGCAATCTCTTTGGCTTGTTGAGCAAAGCGTGTGTCCAGAGTGAAGTCTGGATAAGCCTTCACTGTGTAGATGAAGTTACGAACCTTTGAGGAAAAAGAGCACATGTCATTATGTTATAAGTTGTTTTTGTTTCAGTTCATTAGTAGTTAAGGTGACATCTGTAACATCTGTTCATCTGTTCAAGCTCCGTAGAACAGACTGGCTTCCTATAATTGCACTCAGTCATCAAAACTTGGAGAGTTCCTTATCTACATTTTTTGTTGTTGTAAATTGCTCTAAAATAGCCAGTGTAGCTGTTAAGTTTCTAAAAATTTCCAATGGGGGGAATTTATGAGTAATCCATGGTGAAGTAGTACTTTCTTTTATACATAAACAAAAAAATTGGAAGATCATTTTAGCTCTTGATCCATAATTGCTGCCACAACTACTATCATCTTTTTATTTTATTCACCCAAACTATGGAAAAAAACTCACTTGCACTCTGGTTGTGGTTGAAGAGTCTTTGACCTGATGGGTTTTCATCCTCTTGTTCTCTGTAGAGAATTTTCCATTCAGCAATGACAGGAAAGATATGTCTGCATTTATGCTGTTAGATGTAGAGCTTTTCTGCTCCATCCAGGAGCTGATTATCTCTGAGTTCGTCTCCACGCCCGTCTCCTTGTTGGGGATGACAAACACCTCATCTGGGATCAGGTAGAGTCCATCCTCGCTGGTCTGGCACTGGAAGTAGCTGAGGTTCATGACCCGACCCATGTCCATGTTCCGGAGGTTGTCCCAGCCTCCGCCCGGCAGCACCTCCAGCGCTGTGATGGAGAGGTTGGTGGAGGCGCGACATTGTCTGAGCCAGTTGGTGGGGCGGCTGATGGGAACAGGGGAGCAGACATGAAGGAGGGAGAGAGTCAGGAGGGTCAGTGCTGCCTTCATGATGACTGAGGCAGACAGGGCTAATACAGCTGCACATAAGGGTCAAAACAAGTTCCTCCTCCTCTTACGCAGTTTATCATGACAAACAGGAAAATCTTGTTTTAGAATAGGTGGGGGAAGATGAGGTTTTACTTTCACTTCCATGTCTGTATTTTATTAACCTCAAAGTATATATGCACTTCAGACTACTTATTAAGAGAAAAAAAGGAACTCAGTTGGCCAAAAATGAGAAGCCCTGACTTTAAGACCCTTTTTAACCTGACTGCGCCTCCTAAGTTATACCTAAGCTTATTTTCTATATCAGAAAAATTACTTCACAGTACAATCTAACAACATTTACAGGCAACATCATAAAACATATAATAAAAGCCATTAAAACTGTGTTTTATACACTGCAATAATTATGATTCATGTTGTCTAAACTTTCAAGTGATTTAAAGATGTGACTTGTCAGTCAGCGTATTCCTGGCATGACCAAAGCTGAGTGCACTGAAATAAACTCTAACATGAGGGTAATAAGCAGAAGTTATGAAAACCTGCCTTAATATGCACAGTTGTAATTATATGAGACCACCGTGCAGCCTGAGGACAAACACCTCAGCCATGATTTGTCAAAAAAACAAAAGACACATATGTCGGCAGTTTTTTTAAACTATACATCAACATGTCATTTACATATTTTGGTTAATTCATTTTACCCCTCCTAACACACTAACTGCTAAAAATCTGAAAGCAATGGGACTGGGAAAGGAAAAAAAAGAGCTAAAGTGCACACGAGAGTGTGTTTGAGTTTAAGGGGAAATTAAACATAAGTTCAACAGAAACCACGCAGACCAGAGCTTAATGGTACACTGCTTTGAATGTGTGTTCTGGTGATATGATCCTTCTACTTTTAAGGTAATGGCACAAGACTTCCTCTTGTCAAAGGGAACAGAAAGCATATAAGAAACAAGATATAAGTTAAAGGAAGTGGCTTTGTTTCCACAATATATGCGAACTGTCACATGAGCGGGTGTCACTGGGAATGTCCGGAAAATTTCTGACTATGAGTCACCTCCCAACATTCACACCAAACAGTCAAGCCTGAGCTTGAATGTTTGACAAGCTACAAAAACAAAAATACGCATGTAGGACAGAACTGAACTGGACTCAGAATTAGAATAAATACAATTTAAATGTAGAACAATACAAGGAGCATAGTATAATGTTTTGACTTGTACCAAGTTTCTCAGTGTTTATTTAGGGTTAATATGTAACATGGCATAAATAAATGACTTTCAAACTTATCTGGCTGCCTGCCTCCCACACTCCACCTCTGGAAAGTATGTTCAGACTAAAACAACCACAGGTGATAAGACTCAAAAATTTGCTGTATCATGTAACAAGTGCACCTTTGTTTAAAAACAGATTCTCAGCTGTTTTTCATCTTTCAAGTGACTGATATATAAGAGGTCCTGTTTTTTAAAACAGCAAAATACATTTAAGTGTATTATTCTTTTTCACTGCATAGTAGGGGAGAGTGGGGTTGGTTGGGACAGAGGGACAGTTGGGTCCAACAAACCACGACTTTCATCCGAGAAAGCGGTGTTTGTGTCCCGTAAGATTATAAAGCCAAACCCTGTTCTTTTTTCCTAAACTTAACCACATGCATTAGTTGTTGAAGGAAAAATTAACGTCAATTTGAGGTGTAGTGCATTTATTTTGAAAGAGACTGTATGTAAACGATAAATTTCCTGTGAAAATGGAAGTGTATCTTGAAATAAGACAATGCATGTAACAGGCAGAACTTGACATGATGTCCCAGAACATCTACAGTCAACGCACCCAGGGTACCTTACACATCGTTTGTGGACGTGGAAACCAAACGTCAATATGTGACGAGGTCGGAGGGAGAATGCAATGTCATTTTCTTTTCTTTTTTTCACTTTTTTGCATTTCGAAGCAGTGCTCAGTGTACGCTCAACTGATACACAGACAAACAGCACTCTATCATAACAAAAACAAACAGCAGACAAAGACTAGACAATGCACCTCACACAACAAAGGGGAAAAGAGTCATACAACAGAAATGTCATATTGGCATAACAATATTCCAGACTAGCTTAACCGCAACAAGTACAAGTTGAGAAAACAAACACACACACACACACACACACACACACACACACACACAAATGCATTCTTGCAGAGATAAGAACAGAAACCAGACACTGTTCTAAGTTAGACCACATATCTTTTCTCACCACCCCTCAGCTTCAATAATTTTTTTCTATCTCAATGACCTTCGTTATTTGTATAATATCCTTCCAAAATAACTGGTGTTTAAGGAAGCCCTTAAATCTATAGATCAGGGGTGTCAAACTCATTTTAGTTCAGGGGCCACATACAGCCTAATTTGATCTCAAGTGGGCCCAACCAGTGAAACCACTGCATGATAATCATATAAATATTAAACCCTTCAAATGTTTCTGTCAATCTGAAAACGTTCATCCATTTACCAAACAAAGAAAGAAAATTATGTGTAATAATTTTTCCGCTTTCAGTCAGTCTGCTACTCACTTTCATTACTTGTTACTTTTGTTTTTCATGATTTCCCACGAAAGTGGAAGGTGTTGTAGAAGCAGGTTAAGTCGTCCCCTGCCTCACAATCTGAAGTTTTGTCAGTGTCAGCATAGTTCCAGTCCAGAAGTCTGATCCAGATTCTTTTGTACTGAAGCTGCTGGTTGACAATATTTTGCACAATGTTCAATATCATTAAATGTGACCACAGAGAGTTTTTATTGTCATATCAGGGAGCTGTGTTCTGGTCTGGGTGAAAAGCCTCTAAGGCAGTATTTTACATGAGGAGATCCAGCTCCATATTTAAACTCATTTTTGAGCACATTGTTTGAACCTAACCCCAAAATGCAGATTCAATATGACAATATCAAAAAGGCAGACTGTTGACTCTGGTTCTGAATCACATAACAGGCATTCATCTGATTCTCTAATACCACATATATTTGGCATTTGTCTAGTAGCCAGAAAGGTATAAATTATTTTCAATTGAAAACACCTTGTGAATGAGTCAACAGTGTTTACCAAAAAAAAAAAAAAAACAGTTTCCATAGTATAGGGAAGTATAAAGTATCAATTATAAACGTTTTTGTTTATCTTCCTGTTTTGCAACCGTCTGTGATTTTTTTATGGCCGGCTGACAAACTAACAGTTTGTAATTTTCATCATTATTTATTTCTCTTCAAGTGCATTCTACAGGCAGGAACCAGTTGATTAAAGGATTGGAGAGAACAGATAGTGCCATAATTTCAGTGAACTGGTTATAACTCACAAGTTGTCCTCCTTCATTGACAAAGTCATTTATATACAGAACACCCTGCAAAGACTCTTCCAAAAACTGGTTTCCCTTCAGTCACAATATTGGAATTAATAATAATAATGCTATTGATAATAATAATAATAATAATAATAATAATAATAATAATAATAATAATAATAATAATTCATTTTATTATAAGTGCCTTTCAAAGGACACCTTACAAGCCACAATAAAATAAATAAATAAAAACAAGCAGCAATGTATCCATGGATCAAAAGTTAAGAAAATTACTAGACAAAAAAAAATTGTAATTATAAATATAAGGTGTAAAATCATCATTATTAAAGCTTTCTAACCTTATAACCATATGACAAAATTAAACCATGTAACCTGCTGCAAAACTTAGTCTCTGCTGTCAAGAGGATTAAACTGAAAGCATAACCAACTCTGTTTTACTTCCTACAAAAACATTGGACCCATATGACAAGGTTGAATTTGCAAAACAGCGGATGAGTATTTTCCAATAACTTGAATAAAACCCAGTCCTTATGCAAGTACATTTTTTGAGCAAAAGCAGCTTTTAAAGTGAGGCCTAATGCCTCAGGATTTAGTAGGTTTTAGTAGATACTGCTTTTTCAATTACTTCTCTTCATGCTGACATTTTTCATTTGATCTTATATTAGAATGTTAAACAGACAAAGTAAATATTTGCTAGTTTACATGGAAATTTGTCCTATTAACTTACTAAATTACAGTTATCTCTCTTGATTACATATTAAAGATTCTGTATATCACGTTTTTTGTTGGAAAAGTAAAATTTGTGTTGAGAACATTTTATGAAAATGATCCATGGTTGCCAAATTATACTTGTTACAGTAAAATATGTCCATATTGAAAAATGACGTGAGTTGAACCTCTCTGGCCAACAGACCCTCCTCACTGTGGCTGCCTCTCTGAATGTATTATTACTGAATCCGACCAGTAGGTGGCAACACGAAACCATACAACTGATGCACTTTACAGCTGTGTGAGTCCCTACATCCTATAGGAAATGCATCCACTTGACGGGCTCAACACCTCACTGCTTCTGCATGTATCAAAAGACTTTACTGGTGTGTGAATGCAGATCATAGCTTCTGCCTTTTTTATTTAGGCTATGTGAATCATTGGAGTTCACCTGTGCTAATTGTCATGGCAAATTAATTCAAAGTAGTCTCTTCTTCGTATGCCGCCAAAATGTCATTATTTTGGATGAGGATGGTTTCCCTAGTCTCATCGCGTCACCCGCGCTGAAACCCCGCCATGTGTTTTGTCTCCTGAAGATAAGAGGAGCACCAACGAACACAGCTGGTCACGCCCGTAAAGCCTAATTTTTGTCAGTGATGATTAGCTGCGAGTGTCACCAGCTGCTGTGTTGCGTCCAGCCTGGCCCCTCACTGTTGTCTGCTGATACCAATCACCGCTTCAAATTGGCGCAAACAATGCAAACAGAAACATCATACATTGTAGTGCAGGGTTTCCAATCAAGGTTACTTTTTTTTCATCAAACTCTGAAAACCGTCTGTTCGCGACAAAAGTTGGCGGAATCAGACGGTGTTTCTTCTTCATTTGGGCCTAATTACAGACGTATAAACACGTTTTATTCAAGGTCATTTGTCACAATAGCCGTTGACACATATTTTAACAGTATTAGTGTTAGAATATGTGGGAATGAGCAGTGCTGGACGCGTTGGTCCCCGTGCGTAACGGTGCGTAAAAGCGCCTCTCCAAAACATTCCCCGCGCTCTTCTGCGCGACTGTAAGTCAATGACTGTGCGAAATCATCCACCTGCTCACTCTGTCACTGCTCCCTACTCAGTAGTAAGCAGTTCATTCAGATTTCCGACACTTAATACTATTAATCATCTTGAGACTTTACTGACAGCTATAGAGGCGCATAGTAATAGTAGTTTCTCACATTGCGCTGTGAGTTTGTCAGCACAAAGTCTTGTAAATGCCATGGACACTGACCCACAGCTTACTTATTTTTCTGCATGAGATATTGGAGTCGGTGGTGCTGACTGACAAGATATTCAGAACTAAATAATGCAACTAGGCACATATGTAAACATTGACTGAAAGGTGATGTAGGCTATACCTGAACTTTTTTCTCAGTTTCATAATGATCAAAGTTCCTGCACAAAGACAGAATATATAAAATGTTCTAGGCTATAAACAGTTTGTCACAGTTAATATCATTTGTTCAAAACTGGGATAAAATCACACGACACACTCTATAAATTAAAATAGGTTTATTATTTTCTACAACTGCTATAACATTCTTTACAAACCACAGCATATGGTGACAAAAACAGCAGGTTCAGTGTTTTCTATTATAGAAAAACTGTAAAATCGCCAAAGCAAGCTCAAGTTCTTGGAATGAATGCAGCATTTTGGTCCACACATAAATTCAGCGCCACCAGAAAGGCGTTTGGTCGCATTCACTGTCCATTAAGAGAGAGTTCACTTCTTGGCAGCAGCCCGTTTGGCAGCCTTAGGTTTGGCGGCAGCCTTGGGTTTGGCAGCCTTAGGCTTGGCAGCAGCCTTGGGCTTGGCAGCCTTGGCGGCCTTGGGTTTGACCTTCTTAGGACTCTTTGCCTTCTTGGACACAGCGGCCTTCTTTTTCTTAGGTGCCTTCTTGGCTTTCTTCTTGGGGCTGGCCTTCTTGACCTTCTTGGTCTTCTTGGGCTTTTTGGCTTTTTTTGGCTTCTTCTTGGTCACCTTCTTCTTGCGAGGTTTGGGGGGGTTCTTGTTCAGCTTGAAGGAGCCCTTGTTTCGGACCAGGGTTTTGCTGGCCACCAAGCGTTTGATGGCGATGAGGAGTCTGGTTTTGTTCTTTTCCACGTCATATCCCCCGGCCTTCAAAGCCTTCTTCAGGCCTGGCAGGGACAGACCGCCACGTCCTGCAGAGGCCGCTGCCTTCAGTATCAGGTCTGACACTGTAGGACTAGCCTTCTTCTGAGACACCTTGGCTTTCTTCTTTGGAGATTTGGCCGGAACCGGAGCCTGGGCTACCACAACGGGCACACCAGGTGCAGCAGAAGCCATTGTTATAGCACTAATGCCAGCTGTGAGTGAGATCCACAACGAGAGAAGGACAGAGTGATATCTCTGCTGGCCCCTTGACAGGTTCACGCCTCATAAAGACCCCATGAGAACCGTGTAGAGTGAGCCTCTCCACCACCGCGCGCCTCTTCTGTCTCTCAAACTTGATAAAGTTTGTGTTTTCTCCAGCTGGATTATCCAATAAAATCCCTGCGTAAAATGTTGGATATCCATATGAAAACCACACCATAAGATCCAATGTCATCTTAAATTTCTTTCTATATATTTTTTATTCAGCAATTTAATATAAACATATCAACATTTGCTGTGTAATTACAAGATGACGGCTGTGAAGTGAAATTTGAGACGCGTATTTTGGGCATTTTAACAAGATTACACCCACTTAACAATCAAGTACAGACTTTTCCAAATGAATACGCTTACATAGTGGTGTGTCTGACATACTGGCTCCAAAACTTGGTTTCATTTCAGCCGTTTTTGTTAATTAACTTCATTTAAAGAAGAGCAAAGAAACACAGTTGCCTTGCAGACCCATCATGTAGTGGTCTCAACATAGATAAGAATTCCCGAGACGCAGAGGCGGGACAGCTTTCATAATAATGTGGGGTAAGAGAAGTTAAAGAACAGAAAGTATAAGTTTTGATATCATATGTTATATAGTAAAAAATAAATGTAAGCTATTGTAAGTCTCCTTTATGGAGGGCGATGGACCTCAGCCAAAATAAGAGTTATCAGTCTGTAAAGAGGAGCGGCACAAAAACGACTTTAAGATTAATTTCCCGGGTCTTTTTCTGACCTTTCTTATCTGTATGAGACCAGTGCGGGATGAATTCACATTAGTGTGTCTGCATTTATATTTTAAAAAAAAAACAGTTTTTGTTTTTTTAAAAGTGCAGTCCATGGTTTGACAACCTCTTATTAATAACTGTATCTAGATTATGATGTCATTTTAAAAAAATCGCGCACTGTCAACTACTTAGAGATAGATTCATTTAAGCAAATAATCAATAAATCAATCAATCAAAGAAAGGATATTATTATTGCTTTTTTTGCAGTCAAACATGTTTTGCTATTAGTAGTTTGTTACCACTTGTATTATTTTATGTATTGTTCTTTATCTTTCTGTACTTTCGAATTCTTCTTCTCCCTGCACTGTATTTATTCAAATTAATTTTTCTTGCCTTTTTGTGTTTTAATTGTGCAAAAATAATAATAAAATATGATAAACTATAATCAGTGGCATCAGTCTGTATATTCATCGGACTCCCTTTATTCAGTCTGTAGAGGTGTTAGTAAATTAACAGCACATAGGATGAAGATAAGATCAACCTTAATTGATATGAAATCCAGTCATATTTCAAACATAAACTATGATTTAATTTATTTTATTTCTATTTTTTTGTGAGGGTTTTTTTTTTCTTTTTTTTGTCACATTTGTGCACAATCAATAATTATGTTTTTTACCCAATTACAAATAGTTTTACATAATTATGTGAATTATATAACAAGATTCAAGAGTTTGAGTTGTTGATGATTAAACCAATTTTTGTGATTTCTTACATTATTATTTGTCTGATGTGTGTGCAAACATTATCAATGAGAACATCTCTTTAACAACAGTAAAAAACACTGAATTTCTTTTTGTCTTTGTCCCCAAAATTCATGAAATGCGCCTTTAAATCACTTTGAGTTGGAAAATAAACTTGAAATCTTGAACTTAAAACGCAACCCGGCACCTGGGCTACACCCTGACATTATTTGTTTTAAACTTTTCTATTCAAACCATAAAGGTTTTATTTTTGTCTCTTTTGTGCCCTCTATTATGTTTTTTAATGTGAGATAAAGTATGTTTGTGTGAGAGAGGGAGAGGGAGGGAGGAGATTGGCAGATGTACTCCTGCCTTCTGTGGTGCAGTGATAGCGCCTCCTCCTGTTACACACAAATACACAAACACACACACAGTACATAACAGAGTGAGTAGAATAAGCTTCAGTAAAAAGTTCTGTTCTGTTTATAAACAGACTGTCGATGGCAAGGCAGTTACCTACATATTAAACTGTCCACTGGAGGTCATAGATGTGTGTGTTTTCTGTGTAGATGAGGAGTGTGTACCTTTTTAAATCCACTCAAACACTGGCCTGACATGTCACATCAGATAAAGTTGTCTGAATCTCAATGGGGAACTTGGACAGAGAGTTAGAGGAACTCCCTTAGACGCACATCTTTATCACTATGCAGCTTGGGTCAGATTTTGTTGTCCCCATAACTACACTGAACAAAAATATAAACGCAACACTTTTGTTTTTGCTCCCATTTTTCATGAGCTGAACTCAAAGATCTAAAACATTTTCTATACACACAAAAGACCATTTCCCTCAAATATTGTTCACAAATCTGTCTAAATCTGTGTTAGTGAGCACTTCTCCTTTGCCGAGATAATCCATCCCATCTCACAGGTGTGGCATATCAAGATGCTGATTAGACAGCATGATTATTGCACAGGTGTGCCTTAGGCTGGCCACAATAAAAGGCCACTCTAAAATGTTCAGTTTTATCACACAGCACAATGCCACAGATGTCGCAAGTTTTGAGTGAGCGTGCAATTGGCATGCTGGCTGCAGGAATGTCCACCAGAGCTGTTGCCCGTGAATTGAATGTTCATTTCTCTACCATTAGCCGTCTCCAAAGGCGTTTCAGACAATTTGGCAGTACATCCAACCGGCCTCACCACACCAGCCCAGAACCTCCACATCCAGTGTGTTCACCTCCAAGATCGTCTGAGACCAGCCACCCGGACAGCTGCTGCAACAATCGGTTTGCATAACCAAAGAATTTCTGCACAAACTGTCAGAAACCGTCTCAGGGAAACTCATCTGCATGCTCATCGTCCTCATCGGGGTCTTGACCTGACTGCAGTTTGTCAATGTTGTGGATAGAGTGGCCCATGGTGGCGGTGGGGTTATGGTATGGGCAGGCGTATGTTATGGACAACGAACACAGGTGCATTTTATTTATGGCATTTTGAATATACAGAGATACCGTGACGAGATCCTGAGGCCCATTGTTGTGCCATTCATCCACGACCATCACCTCATGTTGCAGCATGATAATGCACGGCCCCATGTTGCAAGGGTCTGTACACAATTCCTGGAAGCTGAAAAAATCCCAGTTCTTGCATGGCCAGCATACTCACCGGACATGTCACCCACTGAGCATGTTTGGGATGCTCTGGATCGGCGTATACGACAGTGTATTCCAGTTCCTGCCAATATCCAGCAACTTCGCACAGCCATTAAAGAGGAGTGGACCAACATTCCCCAGGCCACAATCAACAACCTGATCAACTCTATGCGAAGGAGATGTGTTGCACTGCGTGAGGCAAATGGTGGTCACACCAGATACTGACTGGTTTTCTGACCCCCCCCCAATAAAGCAAAACTGCACATTTCAGAGTGGTCTTTTATTGTGGCCAGCCTAAGGCACACCTGTGCAATAATCATGCTGTCTAATCAGTATCTTGATATGCCAAACAATATTTGTGAGAAATGGTCTTTTATGTGTATAGAAAATGTTTTAGATCTTTGAGTTCAGCTCATGAAAAATGGGAGCACAAACAAAAGTGTTGCGTTTATATTTTTGTTCAGTTTAAGTAATCACTTTTACTTCCTTGAGCAAAGAGTCACTGAAATTGTTTCAAATGTGTCTTTATCCATGTCATGGTCAGAATAGCTGCTGTGTTGTGCTCCCTCCAACCTCCTCAGTAAGGAACTTGGGTTAAATGTGGTGTTGGTGGATTAAATCACAAGTATCAACCAGTGTCTGTGAAAGAACTTTGACATTCACTTCAGCAGTTAAAAGGCCTCCAACCTCTCTACAAGTAGTGTTAATGAAACCATTGTTTACTTACATGAAATGTCAACGGTGATTTATTTGATTTATTCTCACAGTCATCTCTTATGTGTCATACCAGACCTTTGCTTTTAACTGCTGGGGGAGGGGGGTGTATTGTCATCCAGTGACCTTTAAGAATGAATCCACAGATTCATGATCGCCTCACAATTCCTGTGAAATGTAAATCATGTGGTTGATAAGACAAAGATTGTGGTACGATTGTTGTGTCATGAATAACTTCCGAAAAAATACAATTTAAAAGCTGAATGAGGGTGCATTTGTAGTTTTATTTTCAAAAACTAACAAAAAACTTGTATTTTATAAACAAAGCAAATCCGATGGCATATTAAATCAAGATAAAAATGTATTCATGGCTCAGAATTAAAGGTCCAGTGTGTGGGATTTAGGGAGATATATTGGCAGAAATGGATTATATTATGATAGGTACATTTTCTTTAGTGTATAATCACCTGAAAAAAGAATCATTGCCATAGAATGAGCCATTTATAAATACATAGGGAGCAGGTCCTCATCCGTGGAGATCGCCAGGTAGCACTGCCATGTTTCTAAGGTGGCCCAGAACAGAAAAGAAATGGGGCTGGATTGGACACACCTTGAGGTAACCTCCCTCCAACACGACCAGACCGTCCTTATCCTGGAACCCACAGGGGAAAAGAAAGCCAGGAAAACCAAAGAACACCTGGAGAAGGTCTGTCGAGGCAGAACTCAAGGAATCAAGAACATCCTGGAAGGAAGGGGAGAAGATTGCCCAACACCGAACCAGCTGGAGGAAGTTCATGAACGACCTATGCTCCCCACGGAGCAAAAGAGTTTATGTCAAGCCAGAACGGAAAAACAACAGTGGCTTTCAAAGGGCCATTAGTGTTTTCACGTTTTCACATCAGCTACTGTGGTTAGCAGCCCCTGTGCAGCAAGCACAGTCAGAAAAACACTGAATTTGTGATGTAAAACTGCTTTACTCAGGGTATTCATTGGTTTAAATCAGCGGGTTCATTTCTTTTAGAGAGGAGGAGACCTCTGCGGATAATTCGGCTCACGGAAAAAACCTCGTGAACGTCTGGATCTTAAGTTATCAGAGAAAAAAAGCAAGCAAACCTTAACATATGTCTGCAATGAGCTGAACAGCATCGGGAAAATTTGTTAAGTTAAATTCCTTTCTCTGTATTTGTTTCTGGTTTAAATCACCTGGCTCATTTATTTTGGAGAGGGATGTTACGTTCAATAACTTGCAGACTGCATTTTCAGCTAAGCGTCAACTTTAATGTGCTTTAACACACCTCTTGACTTCTTCCACCACACATTATTTCCGGCAGTTGTTGTAAAAATGTGCCCACTGCTGGCTCATACACATGACAACAACAAGTAGTACGTGCACTTGAACTTGCAACCTAACTAGGTAATCTGAGTAGACTGACAGTTACCAGTATAGTCTTGTGGATTATTCTGCCACATGACAGACTTCGCTCTGAACACCAGTTTAGAAAGTCTTTGAGGTAAGTTAACGTGACCCTGACCTGGACCTGGGCAGGCTTCTGGTTCAGCCAGGGGGTCTTCTTGCTTAGGTGGGTCCCCAGCTGGAGCCCGCAGCTGCTCAGCAGGGAAGTCGAGGTCCCCAACCACAGAGCCTGAGTCCTCGTCAGCTCCTGGGTCTGTGATGGGGGGTGGTCCCACCTTTGGAAGTCGGCTTGCACGCCAACGTGATCCATCAGACAGGCGGAAGGTGGCGGGCACCAGCTGGTCGGAGACCTAATCAGCATCTGTAGCTTCAAACTGCTTTAATCTGTATTTTTTCTGGTTAAAATCACCTGCTTAATTTGTTTTGGAGAGGGATAGACCTCTGAGGATAATTCATCTGCTGGTAAAAACCTCCTGAACAATGAAAACTAAAGGAACTCTAACTGGGAGAAGTTTCAGCTGGTTGCAATCTGCAGTCTCCACCACTAGGTGCCACTAAATCCCACATACTGCTCCTTTAATAAATCATGATAAAAGTGTGTCCATAGCTTAGTATTAAAATGTTTTGCCAGCATGTTGTCAAAGTGATAAAACCAGTTTCATGTCTGTTGTTGAATCATTTATGTCTGTGGGATTTCCCCCCCTCTTCCTCCTCTGTGGGAGTGGTGTGTGATGTGATGCAGCCTCCCAGCAGAGGGGTGGAGGAGCTGAGAGGCTGTAGGACCTGCTCTGCTACATCGCTCTCCTCCCCAAATCATGTGACCATGTGATCACACTCACTGCAGCCAGAACTTGTGACCAAAACAGGAGAAGCAGCTCGGTGAGGTCTGCCAGCCATAAACTGCGCTTCAACGACTCCACGGTCCTTCTCCAGTGTCCTCATCTCCGCCAGACAACATGGACTGCGGGATTTTCACGTCTAAGAGCGTCCTCCTCTTCCTCAGCTTGATATTTTGGGTAAGGGCGCGGTGTTGTTTTCACCTGCAGAGATTTGAATTGAGGCTGTATAGGGATTGAAACATGTTTGGTTAATTGTTACAGCACCGCTTTGCGTTTTTGTGTCAATCCTAGTTATGTGTTGTTATTCCGTGCGCTCTTGCGCGCTTTAATCTTTACATCCCTCAAATCACAGTGAGGACTTGATAAACACCCTGGTAGCCTGCCCTAGTTTCAGGCCATCACTATACTTCCTCATTTTACTGCATCCTAAAATAGTTTAACTCTGCAAAGGTCATTTATTTAAAAGTCAAATAATTTCTGGAAAGCAGTGAGTAACAGTTCCCAGTAATGTGACTCTTGGGGTCAGGGGACACTGAATGAGCTGTAATGGTGTCAACCAACCAGCCTGAACTCTGACTCCTTATCAGAGTTTAACCAGAGTAAATATTTAGCCTTGTATCAAAGTGAACTTTGGCTGTGTTGCCTCATATTAACAAAGTCACCATGTCTGTCCATAGCTGTCAGCTCTCCTCTGTGTCCATCACAGGAAATGGATTTTGAGGAGAAACTTTATCGGCTGTTTGTGGCTGATGTGTAATTTGATTACTGTGAGAGAGAGAGCTGGCCTGTGGGTGTTTGTATTTGCAACACAGTCATGGTTTGTTTCTTTAATTCCAGTGTCTACATCCACTTTTCACTTCCTTGTTCTTTCTATTCTAAAGCTTTTTCCTGTTTGTTGTTTCACACTTGTGGTTTTCTTCTTTCTAACATGTACATGAGTCTGATTTGTAATGTGTGTGTGGTCATCGAGTATGTTCCTCCATCCATCCCAGAATCAGTTTTTCTTGTTTTTGTCACCAGCTAGGCATTGCACACAATACACTTGACGAAATCAACAAACATTAAATTTGATGGGGCGTCGGTGGCTTGGTGGTAGAGCAGGCGCCCCATGTACAAGGCTGTTACCGCAGCGGCTGGGGTTCGAGTCCAGCCTGTGGCCCTTTGCTGCATCTCATCCCCTCTCTCTCTCTCTCTCCCCCCTTCACACTTACCTGTCCTGTCCATTAAAGGCAAAATAATATCTTTAAAAAAAAAAAAGCATTAAATTTGATCACCTCTCATATATTAACACGTATCTTAAAACATCACACATCTGGATTTGTGCTGTTTTCTCAAACAGCTGCAGCTTAGTCATGCATATGAACGGATTATGAGACACAGGGCCCACGACTCTCCTACACAGGAATGGAAACACACACACATACACACACACACACACACACACACACACACACACACACACATTGTCTCTTCATATTGTGGTTTTTCTGTCTCTGTAGTCATTTTGTTTCTCTTCTCTGCTTGCTTTACCCCTTTTTGTTGTTACTTTGTGTCTCTTTGTGGTAATTTTGTGTTTTTGTTTTGTTTTTTGTTTGTTTGTTTGGGGGGTTTAGATAGTTTTTTTGTATTTTGTGTTCATTTTCTGTCTCTGTAGTTATTTTGTTTCTCTTTGAGGTCATTTGTGTATTTTTGGGTTATTTTGTGTCTCTTTGTAGTTGTTTGCCCCTCAGTAGTTGTTTTGTGTCTCTTTGAAGTCATTTAGTATTTTTTTTGTGACTTTGTAGGCTTTTTTTGTTTGTTTGTTTTTCCTCCATGTGGTCATTTTGTGTCTCTTTGAGGTAACTGTGTTTTGTTTTTGTAGATGGTTTTGTGTCTTTTGAGGCCATTTTCTGTCTCTTTGTAGTTATTTTGTGTCTCTTTGTAGTTATTGTTTTGTGTCCTTTTTTTTGATTTTTTTTTGTTACTTTTTCTTGTCATTTTCTGTCTCGTTGGTGTCATTTCATTTCTCTTTCTGGTTTTCCCATTTTTGTTGTTATTTTGTGGCTTTGAGGTCTTTTTTATGTCTTTTTTGGTTATTTTGTGTTTCTTAATAGGTTTTTTGTGTGTATTTGTAGTTATTTTGTTTCTCTTTTTGATTGTTTTCCCCCTTCTACTTGTTGTTTTGTGTCTTTTTCGGACAATTGTGTGTTTGGTTTTGGTTTTGTCAATTGTTTTGTGGTCATTTTCTGTTTCTTTGTAGTTATTTTGTGTCTCTTTGGGGTCTTCTGGTGTCTTTTTTATTTGTTTTTGTGTTTCTTTATAGTTATTTCTCTTTGCAGTTATTTTTCTCTTAGTAGTTGTTTAGTGTCTCTTTGGGGTAATTTTGTAGGGGATTTTCTTACATAGTTTTGTGACTTTTTGGTCATTTTCTGTCTCGTTGTAGTTGTTTTGTGTCTCTTTGAGGTAATTGGGTGTTTGGTTTTGTAGATAGTTTTGCGTCTTTTGCGGTCACATTCTGCTTATTTGTAGTTTGTAGGTCAGTTTGTGTCTCTTGTGGTGGTTTTGCCCCTTTTATAGTAATTTTGTGTCCCTGCAGATCCCTTGCATCTCTTAGTCGTCTTTTCATGGCTCCTTTTGGCTGTTACATCTCAATTTTGAATGCTGGGGGGGGGACTCTTTGAGCCCCTGGGCCTGTGCCCGGTAGGCTCCTTCAGTAATCCATCCATGTGGTTATGTACTCTGTCAAGCCTGCTAAACTAAACAAGCCAAGTCCATTTAGTAGAATATAACAGTGAGCATCCAGCTTTGATTCATCCTCTGATTCATCAGGCCTAGACTCAAAGTGTGAGCTAGATTTCCTGTATTCTCTACAACCAGTAAGGAATGTTCCTAAGAATTTTGCCTACCCTTTGTTTGGTCGTCCCTTTGCATCTTTTTTTTCAGCATCAGCTTCCACTTAATTTCCTGATAAATCAAGTGTCTCAAAGATATCAGTGAACAGTGCTGATTTTCACTGTGATAAAACACATTTTGAGCAAGATCACGTAACAGTAACCTGGGTACAGAGATGTTGAGAATTATTTGAAGAAAATCAAACAAATGATCAAATTACCTGAGGATTATCTCTTCATATCCCACTGGTTGGAACTGTCTTGTCCAAATCATATAATGCAATTAACCACTGTACCCATGGAAAGTTTATTTGACGTTTTATGAAGATCCCACAATCTCAATACAATCCAGTAGAGTAATAAAAAAGCTTTATTTTTTATCAAAGTGGGTGATTGAAGGAGGAAATCACAAGTTTAAACGTGTTCTGAATCTTTCCAAGCTCATGAGCAGAAATATCGTCGCTGGCTTGGAAAACTTACATCATGTCTGACCATTGAAACCTCTCTAGGATACAGTGCTCGTACATTTCTCATGCAGGACCCTGCTAAAATCATCCCCACAGACCAAGAGACATCGCCTCAGAGGTTTCTCACATTCCAGGGAGGTGGCACCGTGCATGAGTGCTATACGTTGTGTAAGCCTCTTTGTGCTGCTTCTTAGGCACAAGATCAGAATTTCTGGAAAGATTAGGGGTGAGCGGTGGAGGGGGGGGGGCATGTAGAGTAACTACCCCAGAGGGATCCCGTGACTATGGAGTGATTAAGAGAAGTGAGTCATGAGGCTGAAGTGGAGGATGAATGATTGTTTAGCCGTATGAACAAAGACAAGCACACACAATCTATGATTCACACCGTTACAGGGGAAGTGATACAGAAAATGATGCTGATCTGCAGAGGGGATTTCGAGAGGTTGTGGTGTCGTCTTTTTGCCACAAATTTTCCATCTATCGTGCAAAGGGAGATTTAATTGACACAATATTATTGTAGTCTGGCTGCGTATAAAGGCAGAATTTACACAAACAGCTATATTTGGGTGTAATCTCATTTGTAGGCTAGACTCTGAAGTGTTATTTATGAAGCCTTCCTCACTCAGTAATTGATTTATTGCCCTTTTTCCCTACAATTGGGCTTGTTTTATCACAGACTGGAGTTTGAATCAAGCCAGAAACAGTTTCAAAGGGCAAATGGAAGCCAAGAATGCTGATGATGGGATAAATACTGTAGAGACTTTGTTTTTAAAAAGCTGTTCTTGAAGTTTCTGTAGTTTTGACCATCAAGACCAGTGGTTCTCAACCACAGGTCCTTGAGGGAATTCCAGGGGGTCCCCAGAAAAATGAGGAATAGTTTATTTTCACTACATAGGGGAGTCCAATGTGAGTAAGAGTCATAGGAGTAACTAAACTAATCATAGGTTTTACTTCCTCCACAGTCTCATCTGTCATTGACAAGTAAAGAATCCTGCTCTTACTCATATCTGACAACCAAAATCTTTTAGATGGAGGTCCCTTGAAGCAAAATCTTTATACGTACAGTACAGGCCAAAAGTATGGACACACCTTCTCATTGAATGCATTTTCTTTATTTTCATGACTATTTACATTGTAGATTCTCACTAAAGGCATCAAAACTATGAATGAACACATGTGGAGTTATGTACTTAACAAAAAAAGGTGAAATAACTGAAAACATGTTTTATATTCTAGTTTCTTCAAAATAGCCACCCTTTGCTCTGATTACTGCTTTGCACACTCTTGGCATTCTCTCCATGAGCTTCAAGAGGTAGTCACCTGAAATGGTTTTCCAACAGTCTTGAAGGAGTTCCCAGAGGTGTTTAGCACTTGTTGGCCCCTTTGCCTTCACTCTGCGGTCCAGCTCAACCCAAACCATCTCGATTGGGTTCAGGTCCGGTGACTGTGGAGGCCAGGTCATCTGCCGCAGCACTCCATCACTCTCCTTCTTGGTCAAATAGCCCTTACACAGCCTGGAGGTGTGTTTGGGGTCATTGTCCTGTTGAAAAATAAATGATCGTCCAACTAAACGCAAACTGGATGGGATGGCATGTCGCTGCAGGATGCTGTGGTAGCCATGCTGGTTCAGTGTGCCTTCAATTTTGAATAAATCCCCAACAGTGTCACCAGCAAAACACCCCCACACCATCACACCTCCTCCTCCATGCTTCACAGTGGGAACCAGGCATGTGGAATCCATCCGTTCACCTTTTCTGCGTCTCACAAAGACACGGCGGTTGGAACCAAAGATCTCAAATTTGGACTCATCAGACCAAAGCACAGATTTCCACTGGTCTAATGTCAATTCCTTGTGTTTCTTGGCCCAAACAAATCTCTTCTGCTTGTTGCCTCTCCTTAGCAGTGGTTTCCTAGCAGCTATTTGACCATGAAGGCCTGATTGGCGCAGTCTCCTCTTAACAGTTGTTCTAGAGATGGGTCTGCTGCTAGAACTCTGTGTGGCATTCATCTGGTCTCTGATCTGAGCTGCTGTTAACTTGCGATTTCTGAGGCTGGTGACTCGGATGAACTTATCCTCAGAAGCAGAGGTGACTCTTGGTCTTCCTTTCCTGGGTCGGTCCTCATGTGTGCCAGTTTCGTTGTAGCACTTGATGGTTTTTGCGACTCCACTTAGGGACACATTTAAAGTTTTTGCAATTTTCCGGACTGACTGACCTTCATTTCTTAAAGTAATGATGGCCACTCGTTTTTCTTTAGTTAGCTGATTGGTTCTTGCCATAATATGAATTTTAACAGTTGTCCAATAGGGCTGTCGGCTGTGTATTAACCTGACTTCTGCACAACACAACTGATGGTCCCAACCCCATTGATAAAGCAAGAAATTCCACTAATTAACCCCGATAAGGCACACCTGTGAAGTGGAAACCATTTCAGGTGACTACCTCTTGAAGCTCATGGAGAGAATGCCAAGAGTGTGCAAAGCAGTAATCAGAGCAAAGGGTGGCTATTTTGAAGAAACTAGAATATAAAACATGTTTTCAGTTATTTCACCTTTTTTTGTTAAGTACATAACTCCACATGTGTTCATTCATAGTTTTGATGCCTTCAGTGAGAATCTACAATGTAAATAGTCATAAAAATAAAGAAAACGCATTGAATGAGAAGGTGTGTCCAAACTTTTGGCCTGTACTGTATATATTTAGGGGTTCCTCTACACAATCAATTTCAAGAACCACTGTTCTAGACTTATGGGTTTTTAGACTAGAATCATAAAGGTATACGATGCAGGATTGTCGGTTATGGTTAGTCAGCACGCTCACCAGCAAAAGTAAAAGTAAAAGCCAACTCCAGTTTCACTCATTTGGCATTCCCCCTTGCTGTATTTGCATTTTTTCCGTGCTGTGTCTCTTTGATGCCTGTTGCTGATGGTTCGGCACCTGGTCGCTACCTTTTCATAAAGCCCCAACCTCACCTAAGAGCTGTGGAGGTACACGCACATAAATGTCCCAGGCACAGAAAAACCCTCAGTGTCTGCAGAAAGATAAGCCACCACTCACTTCTAGTGGGTCATAAGTGATGTTTGAGAGGGATTACCTCTGTATGAGTCTATACACTGTTTCATAGGAAAATCTTGCTTAGTATATTTTTAAACAGAATAAAAAATGAAGTGAGAAATTCTTTTTAAAACAGTCGCTGTGATTCCAGTGTGTACTGTGTGTGCACAAAATCGTGCTATATACATGCAGTCTTGTGATTAGTGAGATCATTGCTCAAGCTTGTGGAAAATTCATGACAACGGTGTGACTTAATGCCTAATTCACATCTGACAGATCATCAGTGACCTTCACAGCCTTTGTTCGTCACATAAGATCACAGCGGATAGTAAAGGGAAAACTAATTTCTTTGTGCTGAACAAGCAACTGTTCAAAGTTACGGTATACTTACACCTCAGCCAAGGAAGTTATGTGTTCTGTTAGGTTTGTCTGTCAACCTGAGTACAGAAAAGCTTCTGGCCCGATTTTCATGAAACTTGGTGCAAGGACAAAGCGTGGGTCAAGAAAGAACCCATTTAAGTTTGGAGCAGATCCAAAGCCCAGGGTGGATCATGAATCATTTTTCACTTTCATTAACACTGTAAGATCGGGCACTTGGCCTTGGCTGAGGTCTGCGCTCTCTGAGTACCCTGTCAGTGCTTACAGTTTTTAACAAACTTTGTTATGTTGACAGAACAAGACCTAACTAGAGATGCACCGATCCAGCTTTTTCAGTTTCGATATCGATCCCGATGCTGTGGCTTTGAGTATCAGCCGATACCCGATACCGATCAGATACCATGGTTGACCTAAAAAGCTAAATACCTTTACAAGTAGAACAGAAAAGACTAGAGGCATCAGGCATTGATGGCTACACAGTTCTTTTCTAAGATAAAATGAAACAAGATGAAACAGATTAATGCAATGATGAACTACTAACATTTGTGCAACAGCAGTTGAAATAATGTGAAATGCCTCCACACAGCAGATTCTCTCCTTCGCTCCATGACGTATGACGTAGCTTGCGTTGCAATAGATTTAAAGTGAAAGGATCGCCTCAGGTATAGGTGGCATTTTCCGATACCCAATCCATCTGTTTTGGTGATATCGGGGCGATATTCGATCCAGATATCGGATCGGTGCATCCCTAGACCTAACTTACCTACTCAAATCTTGATGAATGAAGATTTAAAAACAGCCCCTTTGCTCTCAGTTTTTGGTTGTTTACTTTACAGAATATGAACATGAAAGTCCCTTTAATTGTATCAGTGTGTGTTTGTTTTTGCAGTACCTTGCTTTGTTAACTATAAAGTGAAGTATGTGGAGGTTGGATATTCCCAGAATAATGTCAAATATCTTTCACTCTCTGCTCTCAACTCTTTAATGCTTATATATGAACTAATATAAGTATTCTGATCTGTATGTGGACATTTTAAATGTTAATTTCTTACAGTAGCTATATTGCTCACATGTTTTCTCCTCCCTGCAGGCTGCAGGAGCGGCATTGGCCTATGTCGGTGCCTACGTGATCAAGAGCTATAACAACTTTGACAGTTTCATCCAGGACAAGTACACGTTGATCCCAGCAGCTATCATCATCGGCGTCAGTGTTTTGATGTTCATTTTCGGTCTGATTGGATGCTGCGCCACAATCCGGGAGTCCAAAGTCGGCCTTAGCTTTGTAAGTGTGTGTCATCCTCTGTGTTTGACACCTGTTTGTTGTCAGACTCGACAGATGCTCAGCTGTGGAGTCTGAAGCTGAAAATGAGACAGCATTTAAGTGTTAGTTATCATTGTTACTGTTTCATTTTTGATTCACCTGAGCTTTTGTTTATCTTTTGACTCGTTTTCTTTCTCTCCAGTTCTTCGTGATCATCATGGTGATCTTTGCAGCTGAAGTGGCAGCTTTGGTATTTAGCTTCATCTACCAAGGCAAGGTGAGTCGCAGGTAGTTGTTTCTCTGTCATGCAATGTTTGCTGTTGACACAACTATATTCAGAATTTAATCTCCATTTTAAATCTGCTGTGACACATTACTATACTCTGTGAGCTCTTAGGTAAAGTACACTGCTTCCAACATTGATTTTCTTTTTGTCCAGATAAATAAAGACCTGGAGCGCTCTATGAACGAAGTCTTCATGAAGTACGACGGACAGGGCGCTGAGACCGCAGCTGTGGACTACCTGCAGACTCAGGTTGGTGTTATATTCTACTGTGTATAAATAGCTTTGTTTTCACAGTTGTACTTTCCCTCTCTTTCAACCTCTTCTGCTTTACTTGCACACTCGCTCCTGTGCTTGCTTTCATTTCCTTCTCTTGTTCTTTCAATTTGCGACTCAGCCTGTGTCTCTCTCAAGTGAAACTGCATCTTAAAACAGCAAGAGATGAAACACTGTATACTGTTCATTTTGTTGGTGGTGTGTTTCTGTTATTGCTTTGAAAAACTGCACAGATGCAGACGATATCAGGGTGTCTGCAGCTCCTTAAAAAGTCTTAAATTGCCTTAAATTCAGATTCGATGGGTCTTAAATATTTTCGGTCACATTACCACGAAAATGTCTCCAGCCTGACAGACCCAATGACTGTTCATGGGACTTTTTACATTTAACACATTAAACGTAAGTTCACCGTATTGTTGTCATTTTTAAAGTTTTTTTATATATATTTCCATTGCAGGTTTTGTCTTAAATTTCATATAAGGTTTTAAAAAGGTCTTAAAATGTCTTAAACTTGGTTTTAACTGTAGGCACCCAGAATATACAGACAATATTGTGTATCACTGTCAGAATATGTAGTCAAAAGCTTCACGGTGGATTGTTAATGCCGACCTGCCCCAGAGTTGCGGTATTTGTATCACAGCTAAAATTAATGATGAAATAAAAGTCCAATGTGATTTTTTCATATTGCCTCATGGACGTTTGGGGCGTGACGACCTTCCTCAGCATGTGTCCAGGCAACGTCCCAAACAATAAACACAGTGTGCTTTAATTATAGGTAACCACAACCAACACAACAAGTACATCCCAGCAGAGGGAGACACAACTGTTCATTGCACAGCATCTCATAGTATATGAAATACCAAGGAAACAGTACAAATATGTTCACTTCATAAGGAACTAGTAAATTAATTTGCCTCATTCTGGAGGGTATCGAGCAAAATGTGGTTAACGTGATTAGGGTTAGGCACAAAAAACACTCAGTTATGGTCAGGAAAACGTGTTTTGGCTTAAAATACTCGGCTAGACATGTCCCGAGCTAGTGCTTTTCTTGGTCTCAAAAAGTGGTCTGCTGCTGTCTGCTGCTCAACAACCGTCTCGCCAAGGTGTCAAACCATTCACCACCCCCTCCTCCTTCTGATGAGACACTCACCCGATAGAAATCTGAACTACGTCACTATGTAAATGTTGAAGCATACAAATGAAGCAATGACATTTTTTTTCTGGTGGCTAGGGTGATAATACAGACAAGTAAATATAACATCCATAAGCGACTGCTGCACCAAATTCACACCTCTGAGTCTGGTAAAAGTTGTTCTGAGAGATGCAGGAAATGGCTGACAAACAGTGTGCAAGTCAGCTTCACACACGCCTAAATAAGCTCTGCATTATAACTCTCTCAATGTGAAAGGATAATGATAAAATGTCTCTCTTTCCTTTTTCTCTTTTTTCCTGATAAATATGTATTTTGTGCTGCTCTTGAGTTCAGTATTAACTCCAGTCTGTTCCGTCTTTGTCTCTGTGCAGTTGCAGTGCTGCGGTGTGACAAATTACACCAGCTGGTCCAACACTACCTGGTTTAGCAACAACAACAACACAGTGCCTCATTCCTGCTGTAAGAACAGTACAGGCACACAGTGCACCGGCAGACTCGACCAATCAGACCTGCTCAACGTACAGGTACACCACACACAACGTCGCTCTATATACCTGCATGGTTACATGTGTTTATATTGTCATTGTGCTTGGGATTGTGAGCTGTTTATTTGGCGTTATTTTACAGATGCTTTAAAGTGCTTCATTGAATGATTTTTATGCTTTTATGACTCAAAATATAAAGTCTGCAAAATCATATTATCTCCCCTTCTGAGGCAGTAGAGCAGCAGCTACTTTTCTGCTTATACATTACAGGCACTCACTGTAGTTATGAATGTATTTCAGGGCTGTGAAGTGAAGCTGGATCGCCTCCTACAGGATGTTTTGGGTTATGCCATGCTGGTCATTCTGGGCTTTGCCATTATCAAGGTAAAGACGATCACATGCAGTTCAGCAGCTGCTGATGAGTGTTGCTGTATATCCCACCCTCTGTTATCACAATCTAAAGGCAGGGTGTCTACAGGTCCTTTAAAGGTCTTTAAAGTCCTTAAAAAAGGTCTTAAAGTCATTAAACAGTCTTACATTTGAAGTTGTGAGGTTTTAACTACTATCTAATTTAATTTATCCATTTTTAATTTCTTTTTGAGAAAATGAGTGAAGACTTTCTATGTGAAAGCCCACATTTCTAATGTTACACATCTTTAAAATGCTATACTTTTACTTCATACTTGCACTTACCTGTTGGCAAAATATTCCTACACAACATCTTCCTCTGTACAAGACCACATATATACTTCTTGCCTGCAATGCTTAAACAAGTAAAACATGATTTGTCCAAAAATCTGTCCTAAATTTGGTTAAAAGGTGTCTTGTACAGGTCTAAAAAGCATTCAGTTTAACTGTCTTATACCTGAAGACACCCTGAAACAGCCGCACATCAGTCAGGGCAACATAGGGTGTCTTTTTAAAGGAATAGTAAGCTTCATATTATATGGGTACAGATGCAAAAATAACCTGTCAGGTATAGCAGTCAAAGTACTTTCGCTTGTCCCATCACATAATACATTTTTCAGAGCTCATGTCTGATAACCTTTATCTCCCCTGTTGCAGTTCTTTGGGATGCTGAGCGTATGTGTGATCACCTGTAAAGCCGGCAGCAGGAGGAGTGGCTACCAGCCTCTGTACGCCTGAGCCACTTCCTGCAACAACCGACCACCTCCTCATTTTGCTTGACTAGGTTTGCTGTCCACTCACTCAACAGTGTACCGAAGCATCCGGGCCGACCAGTGTACAAATCCTAAACTCTATTTAAACAACATATGCACAGGTGGCAGACCATGTCTCTGCGATACCAGAGCATTCCTCCACGTATTAAATCAACACAGATGTTTCTCTGACTTGTTAATAATTTGCTGAATGTGGCTTTCAGGTTTGAGTTGTTGTCTAAGTTTCCATCTTTGCAGATTTTTATTATATAGTTTTCCACATGGCCGAGGTGTATGTACTGTCTCAGCCCAGCTACTGTGTTATTCTTTGGAATGATAGTGACGGACTTAAGATTATATTTTAAGGTTTTTGTGATTGTGAATGAAAGAACAGTGGTTTAATGCCTTATTTAGGGGTACACTATTTATAACCAACTGAACATGGTATACACACACACACACACACACACACACACACACATATATATATATATATATATATATATGAATAATTTTATGGTCAGTTAACTGTATGGAATTAAGTGACAGTTCTTCATAGCTTGACTTTGGTTGTGTTTATTATGTTTCTAAATTAAAAAGGTGAAAAATTCACAATAATTTGGAGTTTGGTGCAGTTATATCACATTATTGTATTTCCTGTTTTTTTGTGTGTGTGTGTGTGTTTTTATGCCTCTGCGCTGGAGACATGGAGGCATTATGTTTTCACGTTGTCCTTATGTCCATCCTGCACTCATGAATACAATATCTCAAGAACGCCTTGAAGGAATTTCCTTAAATTTGGCACAAACATCCACCTGGATTCAGGAATGAACATGTTTTTGGCCATAACTCAAGAATTCATATGTTAAATATAATTAAACATCACAGAAATGTCTACTAGGATATATTTATATTCCAAAGGTCAAAGATCAACTTCATTGTAACATCATAATGTTTTTGCAAAAACACTTTTGGGGCCATTAATCTATGTCATAACTCAGGAACAGATGGGGCCACGTTTGGTCAGATACTGACTTGGTGACACTAATCTTGGGTGTCCACCTTTAAACTGTGTTCATGGTATAGTTCTTCTCTGTATGAGGCATCCATGTTTGAGAATGTGCAGCATCTTTTGCAGCAGCATCCATTTTTGAATCATTGTCGACAGCCATGACTTTATATAAGTCTGGACAGACATGGAAGTAAACTGCAACTCGACTTATTGTCGGAGCCATACAATCAGTAACTCTAGCTTAATATTTTTGATTTACACATTAAATTGTTACAGATGAGACATACTGACAGGTGCACACACACTACTTTGCAATATTATGAACAAAGTAAAATAAAGATAAGGGTAAAACAACAAACAGTTGCAGAGTGTCTATTCAGAGCATCACATTAAACGTGTCCCGTGGTGGTTATCTCTCTTCTCTCACATCCTGACACTGCTGATAAAGAGGCCCTTGAGTGCCGCACGTACAGAAGATGGGAGTGTTCATCTTACATCAGCCTTGTCGGTGTTAAATAAGACAAATGAGAATATCATGTCCAGGTTCATCATAGTCATCAATCTTCACAGAGCGCAGATTAAAGGATGGGCCACCTGTTGATGAGGCCGCAGATACGAAAAATGAACCATAAGTTTAATTAGAAATAAAGTATCACTTTTTAATTGATGACACACTGAAGACAAACTAAGTGTCTCCCCCTTTGCCCATCCCAATCCTTGTAATCACAAAAAATCTGTCAGCATAAACTGCAAAACTTTCTATGTATATCAGGTGTGTTTTTGTATGTGTAGCTGCAGTAGCAAAGAAAATCCTGCAGGTGGTGTTAATGATCCTGCTCTGAGTTAGACGTACAAACCAGCAGTTGTAGTGGTGAAAAGGCCTAAAAACAATGTATGTGTTCTCACTACAGAGGTGGTAAGAGGTAAATGAGTTGTTATATATGTATATTAATGGATGAAAGCAGGATTTCTGTTTTCAAACAATGGAATAAATCTGATTTTCAGATGGTTTAAAGCTTGACGAGACACATAACAGTGATCTACTTCATATTGGCAAAACTTAATGACACTTGTTTCCTGTATTGGAGTTTCATTGAATTGATCTACATGTGATTAACATCCCTCTGTTGTATTAACGACCTCCACTGATGTAAACGACCCTTCTGTCCTGTCTCAGTCTGTGTCCCTCTCATATCTCCCCACTGCATATCTTATTCACCGCATATCCGCGCCGCTCAGGGCTGTGTTGACATTTAGACAGGCCGGTCCTTTCTCAGAGGGAACTGTTGGCACACACACACACACGGATAGATAACCTTGTCAGCTCCCTCCTTCCTTAAGCTGTCTGTTACTCCTGTCTGTTTATCTCTGTGTGTCTGTTTCTCAGCTCACCTTTTCTCTCTTGTCATGCATCTTTATTTACCAGTTTCCTTTTTTTATTTTACATTTGAGGCGCATTTGCATCTCTATCTCCCACCAAGACCACCCATCTGTTTTTGTTCTGTGCTCTTGTGTTTTTTAAAGAACTTCCCTGGCTCTGCAGTATCTCAAGTGTTAACCCTCGGTATCAGCAGGTGCAGCGAGGAAGATTGTGCTGGTTCTCAGTAACGCCGCGTGCTACTGTGTATAGTACAAATCACTCTGAACAGAGCAGCTGTCTTTTGAAGTATCAGTAAATAATGCAAGAACAGACGCCACAAAGATCTGTATTGATTATTAGAGTCTGTTGTCACTGGAGGTTTGCTCTATATGGGCCAGTGTGGGAAGTGCTTTCTTGGTTTTGACAAAGAAAGATGAAGCATCCCATCACAAACACATCATTGAGCTTTGTGTAAAGTGAAACAATGAGATGGTTTTGTGTGTTTTTGCTGTTTTGTTAATCGTTTTTTGCTCCAGATTTTACATTTGCTTTTTAAATTTCTCTCCACTTGTATTAGTTTTGTCCTTTCGAGGTGTAGATCTGGGTGGTCATGGATGTTGGGATGTAGAATAATGTCATGTTTTGATGTCTTTCTTGGTTTGTTGTGTAACTGGAAAGCTATAAATAAGAAAAAAAAAGTGGTTAGCATTGTCACCTCACAGCAAGAGGGTTCCTGGTTTGAACCAAGGGTAGAGAGTTCAAACCCTGGGGTGGGGAAGCCCTTCTGTGTGGAGTCTGCATGTTCTTCCTGTGTCAGCGTGGGTTTTCTCTGGGTACTCCAGCATCCTCCCACAGTCCAAAGACATGCAGGTTAATTGGTGACTCTTAATTGCCCCATAGGTGTGAACGTGAGTGTGAATGGTTGTCTGTCTCTATGTGTCAGCCCTGTGATAGTCTGGTGACCTGTCCAGAGTGTACCCTGCCTCTCGCCCAATGTCAGCTGGGATAGGCTCCAGCCCCCCGCGACCCCCAACAGGATAAGCAGTTACGGAAAATGAGTGAATGACCTCAATAAATTAGCAGGACTCACAAGTCGCTCGAATGGGTCAAGCCCCTGAAACGCTGTGCTGTTTTGGGAGCCTAATGAACCTAATGAATCCTGATGACATCATCAACAGGACCGTTACTTGTGACGAGTCAGTCTTGGAACCGGAATCGGTCTTACGACAATTTAGCGCTGGGGAAAACAGCCAGTAGTTCAGGGTTCCAGTGTGCGATATTTTTTTTCCTACTATGGTGAAATTATGGCCTGCCCTCCTCTCCCCTTCTCTGCCTCTGATTGGCTTACACCTCTTCCTAACTGGACATAATGCCAACAAGCAAACATTAGATGGTGTTATGTTTCCCAGTGAAGATGTCCTAACCTGCTCCATACTTCACCGAACAGGCTAAGCAACATTCGCTTGGTTGCAAAACCACTCGCTCTGGCTCCATTTTGGCGAAGATTTGCACACCTCCAGTCTGTTATAAAGCAACAGCTAGTCACTCCCTTAATATTGAACCAAAGCCCCCTCAGTTGTGATTGGTCGATACTACTTGGACTACAAACGTAAACGAGAATGTTTCCAATACCAAAATCCCATCGTGTTGCTGACAAATTCTGCATTCATGTACAGATATATGTCCATAGAGATTAGTGATGAGTAAACTGAGCTGAATATATGTAAAGTGGAGTGCACCTTTAAACACTGGCTTTGTATCATGAGCTTTGAATCCCCTGTTTTTAAGCAACCACTGCATTCAGCCGTCACTGTCTGTCACCTTAAATATAAAATCAAAGGTGTTGAATTCACCAGGGTAACAGCTGCTTGTGCGTATACCATTGTAGCATTTGCTATTCCCTCATGAGTCATCTCTGCACACCTACAGATGTGCCCTTGTCTGTCTGTCTGTCTGTCTGTCGCTCTCCTCTTTGGGCCATCACAGCTCTGGAAAAAAACAGTCATCCCACATCGTGCTAGCGGGCTGAGCCAGATGTTGTCACGTGGAAATTTCAGCCTGACCTCTAATTTATTTATTTCCTTTCCTACTTAGACAGGGATCTGTTGGAGGGAGGTAATCTGAGGAGCACACACGCACACACACACACACACACACACACACACACACACACACACAATGCTGCTGCTCACTCTGTGCTGCTGAGGGCAGATCAACAGAAGGGCAAACAGGCCGTTTCTGTGCGTCTGCGTCCAGTGAATTCCTTCATGACTCGCATAACATTTCTAATACTACAAGTATTTTCTGGATTTGGTTTGTTCTGCCAGATTTCACATCAAACAAGTAGCAGAGAGCCCTGCGTACCACACAAACAGTTTGCTTTGAACTGTATCGCATGGTGGATAATAGGGAATGTCTGTTTTATAGATATGATACGAAAAAGCAGGGACTTTTTTTTCTACTTTTTATGAAACAATATCAAACAGGAAACCAGTGTGGTGTCAAGGTTTTAAATGGATTTCTTCCTTTTAGCTTTCTTTTCAGGGCTGAACCATAAATAATAACCACACATTGTCAAGATCAGGAGCAGGTGCTGCTGAAAGTGTGTGTGTATGAGTGTGTGTGTGTGTCTGTAAATAGCCACCCACCAGCGACACTGTGATGTCTCCATTTGTCAGATGCTATCAGTGTTAATTAGAGAGGGCGGAAACACAGCACAGACACAGAAAACAGAGAATCAAATGAGCAGCAGCAGCATCATAATATTCCCCATAACATCTATAGTTTTATAATCTTATGAGGCTCACGTAGCCTGACTGCTTTTTTTCCCGTCTTGTCTTTCTGTGCTTGTATTTTCCTCCTTTTTTCACTGTTTCTTGAGAGCAGTTATTTAGAAGATGCCAGTGATTGTATCTATTTTTTGGCTAACCTCCAGTAGCTAATGACTTCCCCTCTACCTCCAGCTACTAATGCATTCGCAGTACTTATAAAGGAATCTGTGTTATTCATAAAAGAACCCATGTTATGCCTCCCCTGGAAATAGTTTCAGGGAATTTAAATCACAGACGTCAGGAAGGGTACAAGAATGATAATAGGAGGTTGTTTTTGTTACTTGTTGTCAATAACAGCTGTTTGTGATGTTTCAGAGGCTGTGTGAGTGCAGTAAAATATTACAGTGAAATACATGTGAGATATTCTGATGTGAGCTGGTGATTTTGATGTAAATAACCACGTTGGATGCTCAGAACACGAAGCACTTTTGAAAGGGAATGAAAAGATTTTATCTCTTATTGCAAATCGACTCACTACATTTTCTGACAGCCTCCCTGTCACCGCATAAAAGTATCTAAAGAAAGAGACTTCGCTCTGACGCAACAGCAACAAAGGTATTTGGCAATTTCCTCTTCACTTCATTCCACTTGTAACCCCGTCTCATCTCGCCGACACACAGGAGAGGGAGCAGATACACACCTGGGTGATGTAAAGTCTCTTTGAATCCAAGGAGCTTCACTTCAGGTGCACCATACAGGGCAAACAGGGCTTTTACACAGTTATTATTTGGGAAGGGATGAACGATTCTGTGTCACTTTCATTTCTGTAACAGCACCAGCTTTCTGATTACAGCCTCCGCTCTGTGATCACAAAGGAATCACTGACCCATCATCTAATGGCTCGCATTTAGCAAATTATTCATCAGATACCTGCATCAGACACATTTAACTAAAAGTCTCCAATGAAATTTAGTAAAAAGACTGTGAGGTCTCCGAAGTCACGACTGTCAAGGTCACAGGATTAGATCTCCCCTAGATGTCTCCTACTCTGTTTTGATTTTCACCTACGTGAGTCATCTAATGAAGTGGAAATGGTACACAAAATCCAGAACCATCCTTGTAACGCTTCTCTGCTCTTCTCATTGACAGAGCCATAAGATCAGAGTGTCGCTTTACACTGGTTCATTATATTAGGGTGACATGTGGGTCTCTTAACTCTAGCCTCTCTGTTAATCCTGTAGCCAGGGGCGGAGGAGAGGAGGTGGCTTCTGAGGCTTTAGCCTCATTGTTTTCTCAAAACACATTCTCACTCCGACCTCATCACATATTAAGGTTTGATCATGGACCGTCCACTTCCACGTACGACATGTAAGGTACCCTGGGTGCGTTGGTTGTTGATGTTCTGGGACGCCGTGTCAAGTTCTGCCTGTTACACGCATTGCCTTCTTTCAAAATACACTTCTGTTTTCACAGGAAATTTACCATTTACGTTAGTAAGGAGGCAAGGGTGTGGCTGCCTAGAAGGTGCTTGTGATTGGGAAATGCAAGTAGATTTAGGGGGAAAGCATGTTGTTCCCCAGGAAATAGTTTGTACCAAGCAGAGGCCTGACATAGTGTTGCGGTCAGTGAGTCAAGGAATATAGTTTATTTCATTGAGCTGACAGTTCCTTGGGAAGACTCAGTGGAAGAAGCCTATGAAAGAAAAAAGCTTAGATATGCAGACTTAGGAGCAGAAGCTGAGCAGCGAGGATGGAAGACTAGGATTTGTCCAGTGGAAGTGGGGTGTAGGGGATTCATAGCAAGATCAGCTGTCTCGCTCCTGAAGGAACTCGGAGTGCGGGGACAGAGTTTGAGGAAGACAGTGAAGGAAATGTCAGATGAAGCAGTTAGATGTAGCCAATGGATCTGGAAGCGAAGAAATAATGTCAGCTAGGGGCCAGCAGGAGGAACTGCTAAGCAGGGCACATAACTCCTTGAGATCAGGTGGAGAGATCCAGTTCCTCTCAGGAGAAATCCAGGAAGAGGAAGGTTATTTAAGTGTGGGAGTGGCCTATTTGAATCCCTTTTGTTTGAGACCATGCTGCAAGGTGAGTGTGTTTGCTGATCCTGTAAGTTTATTTATCTCCTTTAACTTTAGCTTATATTGGAGTTATGATATGTAGCATGTGAAATAGAGTGTGGTGAATGTGCTAGGAAAGGTAGTATCAGCACTGCTTCTACCTGGAGCTCACATGTACGGTGCTGTTTGGGCTGAGAAAGCCATGTGTAAGTAAGGTGAAGGTTATTGGGTTGGTGCAGGGAGGGGAGCAGTGAGACCTGGCATTAGGGGAGTGCCTCTGGGAAACCAGAGATCACTGTCTAGCAACCTGGAGGTGTCGTGGGACCAACTAGACGAAACACTGGTGAAAGGAGGTTCCCACCTGATGACCCCAAAGACCGGGTTACACAGTTTGTTGGTGGGGTCTGTCCTTTGTAATGGCAGCAACAGAAAGTTTGCTGCTGTTACACAGGCTGGCTGGATTCAGCTTGCTGCTGCAGCACACTTGCATTTTTCTTCATCGGAAAGAGTAGAGAGAGAGCATTATTTGTTCATGCCCATGTTTCCCAGCTTTCTATCACCCATTCCATGATTAAGAGTCATGTTTTTTTAGCTTAAATATGTGTCTGCACTGCATATGTGTGTCCATAACTTTTGTTTGTGTCCTGTCACATTTTCCCCTGACGCTGCCGAGTGCCATTAAACGATAACAGCCACCGGCTGCGTATCATGTCGCCTTAAAGGATGGCTTTTTCCTCAGTGTCTGACACCGCAAGTCACTGCCCAAGCGCCGGATTTTGACGACTTTGGAGTGAGACTTGTGTCTCAAAAGCCTCAATCGATTCCCTGAAGAAATCTAATATAATTGAGGAAATGTTCTTCAGTTGGCCTAATATTCAATTCGGAGTATTGTCGACCACATTTACTTGGCGCTGTTGGGGATCCTTGCTTAGTAGCTCAGATTATTGTGGCACAGACTCAGATGTAGCAGATTTGTCAGCTAAGCATTCATGCTGTGATTTCTGCTCCAACATAGTGTAACAAAAATAGGTTTCAAGATCAGTTATGTTGTTTATGCCAAATTCCTACCCTACCTATGTTATGTAACCTAAAATTAGTAACATCAGATCATTTGTGTTTCTTTTTAGGTGGCAGGAGTGAAAATCATCCTCAACACTTGTTGTGTTTTGGTTCCAGAATGATGAAGACAGTTGGAGAATAAACTTGGCAACTATGGTGTTTTTCCCAAATGATGATGTACAGATTTTTAGGCATTCTATTATCTCAACTGGCTTGAAAAACCTGTGCATATAGCTACTGTAAATGGGGAAAAAAGACTCCCCCCCCCCCCCATCCCCAGGTTTGGGCTGATCCCTGAATGTTTGCAAGGTCTGGCTCCACCCCTGCCTGGAGAACCTCTGCATAATCATTATTACAGCCTCCATGACCTGCCTTCTGTTTCTCTAACTGCACTGACTGTCATAACCACTCTCCACTCACCACAGGCTATGGGAATTTGTAAGTCAACAGATACAATACGCCCATATGAAATCCGCAAACACTGGAGAAACTTTTGTTTTTGTTGTGCTCCTGTTGTGCTCTCTCCATCTTCAGGAGGACCACCAGCCCACACAGTGCACAAGGTTACACAGTTTTCTGGGGTTGTCAGAAGTTGTTTGTGGAAAAGTAAGAAATCATAAACTGAATCGAAAGACTTCATCACAAAACTACTCTCATACGCTAATATGGAATATGACAAACCAGTTGTATATCAGATTGTAGCAGTGGATTTTATTTGGCTGAACTGACTTGGTTAGGGATTCTGCAGTTATCTCATGACACCTTTAAACTGGGGTTTTGGCCAGTAAAGTGTAAAATGGTTTAATTTCAACACGACTAAAAATAATTACAGATAACACACAAAATTGCTGTTTTTAATTTCTTTCTTTTTTCTTTTTATGTTAATGAAAAAGTGGCATATGTTACAATATAAACTGTAATTTCCAGTTAAATCAGCCTCCTGTTTTTGAGCACAAGCACATCATCTCAACCTTTAACAGGTTTATATATCTCACTTACACACCCCCGGTGCCGCCTCGGTTGAAAACGCTGCGCTACTAAAGTACCCTCTTGAGTGGCGAAAATGAGAGGATGTGCCCTATCAGCTGCCCTCTTGAATGATAAAAACAAGCAGATGTGCCCTTTTGGTTGCCCTCTTGATTAACAAAAAATGAGCGGATGTGCCCTTTTGGCTGCCCTCTTGAGTGGTGAAAACGAGAGGATGGTCCCTTTTGGCTGCCCTCTTGAGTGATCAAAACAAGACGATGTGCCCTATTGGATGAAAACGAGCGGATGTGCCCTTTTGGCTGCCCTCTTGTCCCCATGTCATGCAGTAGGTGCCCTTTTTTCCTTTTCGCCCCTGCCCTTCAAACATCCTGAGTCCGTCTCTGCAAACGATCATCTCTAGCTTTCTAGATGAATCTCAAAGGCACAGATTCTGCACATGTCAGGATAGTTGATGATCAGGCTATAATAATCCAGATAGAAGAAGATGGAGGATGGATTGGGCTGTCCTCAAATAGAGTTAGATTGACTTTTTTCCCCATTTAACCTTATTCTTTGATATGTAGGTTTGGAGAGCAGTGAGTCCAGCATCCTGCAATACCGACCCACATTTGAAACTGGGTAAGGAGGATAAGCATGTTTTTGAGTACATGTCTACCTTTACCAAGGTTATACGTTCCGTGTTTACTCCTTCTATGACTGTATCTCCCAACGATGTAGATTTTCTTTAATCATTTTTTTTTGTACTTGAAGAAACTACTTTTTGTCAGTGGGGATCCTTGACATGAGATGGCATCCTTGCAGCTGTGAAAATATTCATTCACTGTGAACAAAGGATCAAACTCCCTCTATGACTGTATCTCCCTACAATGTAGATTTTCTTTTGTATTTGAAGAAACTATTATTTTTCAGTGGGGGTCCTTGACATGCGATGACATCCCTGCAACTGTAAAAAAAATATCCATTCACCATGAACAAAAGATCATCTCTGGCTTTCTCTTTTGATGAATCTCAAAGGCACAAATTCTGCACATGTCAGGATGGTAGATGATCAGGCTATAATAATCCAGCTAGGAGAAGATGGCGGCTGGATGGGGCTATCCTCATAGAGTTAGACTGACCTTTTATGTAGGTTTGGAGAGCAGTGAGTCCAGCATCCTGCAAAATCGACCTATGTTTGAAACAGGTTAAGGAGGGTAAGGGTGTTTTTAAATACAGGCATGTCATCTCTACCTTTATCAAGCTTACACATTTCATTTTTACTCCCTCCTTAATTTAAACACCCTACAATGTAGATTTCCCTCAACAGATCTCTTGTAGTGGAAGACCCTATCTTGTTATTTGGGGTCCTTGACATGGGATGGCATCCTTGGGGCTGTAAAAACATGCATTCACTGTGAACAAAGGATCATCTCTAGCTTTCTCTCTAGATGAATCTCAAATCCAGCACATGTCAGGATGGCAGATGATCGGGCTATAATAATCCAGAAGAAGCTGGAGGCTGGATTGGGCTGAGTTAGATTGACTTTTTTCCATTTAACTTTCATGTATTCTTTTATATGTAGGTTTGGAGAGCAGTGAGTCCAGCATCCTGCAAAACCGACCCACGTTTGAAATCGGGTAAGCAGGGTAAGGGTGCTGCTGGGAGTCCTCGATCGAGAGAGACAGGGGTAGAGAGATACTTCATCATCCATGGTGCAGTGTGTGTGTGTGTGTGTGTGTGTGTGTGTGAGTGTGAGTGTGTGTGAAGCCACTCAGGGTCTGCGAGATGTATCTGAATCGGGGTGATCCCTCCTCTTCTCCCTCTCTCACATCACTCCTCTGACAGAGAGCGGACAGTCGTCCACAATAACCGGCTCTATAGCAGCCTCTGGCTTATCTCATCTCCGCGGATCGCCCCCGGTGCCGACCCGTACCGGCTGCTTCCCCCCGCTGTATCATCTAAATCACACACACACAGAAGCAAAAGAAAAAGAGAGAATGAGAGATGCGGTCGTGTTTCACTTTCTTTGCTTCCAAGGAGCCGTATCTCTCACATCTTTCCCCCGGATCTTTGTTTCTGGACGGCAGGCTGCGGCTGCGTAATGCTCCGGTGAGTACTGATGGTTGCTGCTGTTATCTTTTCTTTCTTCTTCCTCTTGTTATTGCACACCGAGCAGATAGTGGCAGAGATAAAGATAACGTGGAGCTAGTTAGGGGAGAAAGGGAAGCACGGGCCTGATTGTCGTTAATACTTTCTTTTCATTTCTTTCTTTTTTTTTTTTTTGTTGGAAATAAATGGGGCTTTATGTTTTATGAGATGCACTTCAACCTCAGTGTTTTTGTTCTGTCAGAGGGGCGTTACTGGAGTGTATGGAGACACACAAAGACAGCCGCATGAAGCCAGTGTGCAGAGAGGATGCAGCGTTTCCCATCTTAACTAAAACTGCCTTACTGCCTTATGGGAAGTAAATAATATAATAAAAAGAGAGAGAGAGAGAAGCAGCTGCACAAAGAGCACAACCCTTCTCTGCTCCCATCTCCATCATATTGCCTCTGTGTGGAGTGTTCTTCTGCCTTAACCTATATTAAAGGGCGTTTTAAGCAAGTGTGATATCTTGTTCTAAAAATGTTGACAATAGGATTCATAATTCAAATTTAATCTATTTTACTGCACTGCATCAACACACTGCAGTTTATTCTCATTCATGACATGTACTCTGGCTGCACAGCCCTGAAGAAATATGAAGAATAAACGATCAGAGAGAACACCAAGCGCCATCTCCAGTGGTTATGCATTATATATAAAGTTAGCCCAGTGCTGCACCTCCCACCCAGCAACACTGTCAATGCTCCCCCCCCCTCTCTCTCAGTCTCTCTGTTCTCCCCTTACACTCTCCCAGCCTCTGACAGTCAGCCCGACCGAGGCTCACATGAACACTGACTGTAAGTATTTTGAAAGCTGATAAAGAGCAAGTTATTGAGTGCACATCACCACCCATTCTGGGGAGAGAAAGGGGAGCTAATGCTCGAGCCTGCCCCGAGGCCTTTGACAGCAAAGAGATTTGTTTTATGGATTGATGGATTGTTTGAGTTCTTGCAGCCCAGGGATCTAGGGGTGCGATAAAGTCAATGCTTTTGTTTTCTACCACTACATGACCTTTCAAGGGGGTGGAAATAGAACTGAAATGTCAGGTAGACACTTTTAATCAGGCAAAGTTATGCTGTGTGATGCAATCAGAGCCCAGAACTAGGAAAGTCCTTTTCATTTAAAACAATGCCACCATGATAATTCCACCCTGTCTTTGTCTCTCTGCTCTGAAATGTCAGCAGCATCATGTTGCAGATATTGAAGCAACACTGAATTGAGGTGATTATCTTCTGTAAGCACATTAAGTTGCTGGTGTAGATTAGCTCACACTGCCATGCAGGGTTATGCAATGGCAACTTCTGCGACACTAACACACTGGCTCTGTTGCTGTATAACTTTCATCTCTGTCTTCTGTTTTGTTCACCCCATTTCCTCTTTTCTTCCCCAGCAGCAGTGGAGGCAGCAGATGCGTTGAGCAACCCAGCTCATAGATGTATCTCTCCACGGTGACCACGGCCTGATGCTGAAATCCCTACATTCATGAGAAGGCAACAGGAAGCAGATTACTGAGGGATTAAACGCATGCACACTTATGCACATGCACACACAGAGAGAACCACAGTTCCGGGATTTGTCCGCTGTCCAACTGTGGATGTCTCACTGAATGAACTTGTCTGACTGACTGACTCTGGTACCATGGAAGAAGAGGAGGAGCTGATAGAGACTCATTGAATTTAACTTACGTAACCCCACCTCCTTTCCCCTGCCTCACCATCGAAAGGCTTTGACTGGTCGATAAGGATTACAGATTTATTACAAAGACAGTGGAGACAGAGAGGAGTGCAGAGCCAGGCGTCCGCCTGCTGCTGTCCCATGATGCATCTACACATGTAAGAGCAGGATCAGCCACACAGAGGGCTGTTTCTATGGATACCCCTGCCCTGGGTAGTATTAATAAGACTCACTGATATCCTGACTATCTGCGCGTGAACAAAATACAGTGAGAGATTAGAAGTGCATCGCTGTGGCAGACTAAAGCATCAAATAGCGTCTTTGGAGCAGAGAGAGACATCATCAAAAGCAGAAAAATGTTGAAGGAGAATATGTTATTTTTAAACATGTAGGCTCGACTGTAGACGCTTTACACTCCTTGTCCTAAACACCTCAAAGGGTTTTTTTAAATGTGATACCTCAGCAGGTTCAGTAAAAGGATGATTTAATAAGAATCTGCCCACACAGGACCAGAAGAGGAGGTGAACATGATGCACAAAGACACTTCTTAGGCCTGAAGGAAATATCTTCTCCTCTAACCCGCTCATGATTCTGACCACAGCTCAAAATTCTGGATAAAATACTGGAACTTTTGTGGGCTCCTAAAACTGCCACCACCTTTCACCAAACTAGCTGTGTGACTGAATTTTGGTCTTGTCTACATGAGAACAAACATCTACATGCACCAGCTACCTAGACAAAAATCAGGTCTTTATTTAAGGTTCTGGACTCACCAGCAAAATGTGACATCATGTGTACAAGACAATAGCAAAGCACTTTTAGTCAAGCTTAAGGTACCTGGAATCATCTGTCATCTCTCCCTAACACATCCACACTGAGCTATCATGGCCCGACAAGACATCCCCCTCTTCCTTCACGGCTTCGACCTGGGCGGCCACTTTGTTGACCTCCGACCTCTCGGCACAGGTGTTACAGGCCTGGTTCTCTCAGCTGTGGACCAGCGCAAAGGACAACGTGTGGCAATCAAGAAGCTGGTGATGCGTGATGCCGTGACGGTGAAGCACGCTCTGCGGGAGGTCAGAATCACTCACCGGCTGCACCATGAGAATGTAGTGAGGGTTCATGAGGTGTTGGCGCCGTACGGACGACCGCTGCCCAGAGACCCGGCCCAGCTGAGCGCCCTGTACATCGTTCAGGAGTGCATGGAGACGGATCTGGCTCGGCTGCTGGAGCAAGGACCGCTATCCACAGGTATGGGAAATGAAATGGAAATAGAACAAAGTATATTCTTTGAATTTGGACAGTTAAAGTCACATATTTTACGACAGTGTGGTTCTTCATGTTGAACACTGCTGTTGTGTTGCTGCACTGCTGGCTTTGTTTACACTGTGATTTAGGGGATTTAGTGGCAGCCCTTTGGAGACACTCTTTTACTGAGAGAGTACTTTATCCACAAATCACATATTTGAAAATTACTTTACACAATCATTTATATTGTCTGTTTCCTCTTCATAAACATGCTCTGGAAGTACTGGAGTGATACAACCCAGATATTTTTTAACATATTTGTCTAAATAGCTTTGCCCATATCCACAAGCTACACATTAGAAGATCAGAATTTCTCCAGAATGTGCTCATTCATTGAGTCATTTTTTCACGTTGTGGTTTAAATTATCTCACTTTTGACAGGTTCGAATCAGGGCGATGGTATGGAGAAAATTAAATATTCAATTCAATTCAATTCAATAGAATTTTATTTATCCCAAAGGGAATCATTGTACCAGAGAGTGCTTCAAATTACAGTAACACTAAGTGCAGTAACCACAATTTCAATGATTCATGGGTTCCCCGAGTCAGGGTCACTCACTGGGCCCAGCTTTATAACAGTAGTTTTAAATATCAGGCAAAATATACAACTACACAAGATGGAAGCATTTTCCAGGAGCAAAAGCAAAAACCAGTGCCTGATAGAGTAACAGTAGGAGCATGATAAGTACAAGAGTTACTAAACATGAACTAAAATGGTGGAAAAAAACAGACTGTGCCTGATTATCAATGTTATATTGGGTCTGATATACAACAAGGAGTAATATTGCACATGACTGAGAAAATGATATTGCACTACATTGACAAATGATCATGATTTTGAAGAATAATACTGCACATGATTTTGTCAAAAATATTGCACAAAATATAAGTCATGTGCATCACGTTATTTTTGACCAGATACCTTGACAGTGGTATTGCAATGACACTGTGGGGTTGATCCCGATTTTATATATTAGTTTTGCAGTACATTTTGTACAATTTATTTATTTATCACAGTTTGCAAAAAAACAAAAACTGACCCATTATAAATGATTAACTTAAAAAAAAAATAGCTTAAACCAATTTCCTGTCCAATGTACAGTTAGCAATTGAAAGTTAGTTTTGAGTTTGCATGTTACTGTTAAATGCCAGTTTTATGTTTTAAGTTTTTCAATTCACTTTCAACAAACAAACCTTAAAATACATTTAAAGGTCCAGTGTGTGGGATTCAGTGGCATCTAATGGTGAGGTTGCACACTGCAAACAGCTGAATCCTCTCCTATGTGCCAAGCATATAGGAGAAGAACTGCAGTGGCTAATGCAAAAACAGAAATGACTCCATATAGAACCAGTGTTTGGTTTGTCTCTTCTGGGCTACTGTAGAGACAACATGGTTGGACTCCATGGTCGAGGACCTGCTATGTATGCAGCTATAAATGGTTCATTCTGAGGTAATGAAAACACAATGATTCTTGATTTCAGGTGATTATAAACTAATAAAAAAGTAGTTAGTAATATTATATTCCATTTCTGTTGATATGTCCCCCTGAATCCTGCACACTGGACCTGTGAAATACATGCACACATAGTATAAATATGCAGTATATATTAGTTGCATTTGCACCATACTTGTTATTTGGGTTGGGTGATATGGAAAAATAGATATGTAAATAGATATTTACACAGTGAGATTTTTTTATTAATAATAATCAGTAATTTGGTTAAGTGGCAAATAATGGAACAGAACAGTCTGGTAAGTTCAGAAAATGACGCCACTTTACTGTAATGCAGCCTTTAAAACCAGGAAAAGACAACACTAACAATATTATGGTATCCAAAGACATCTAGTCTCATATCACGATTGGTATAATCTCGATACATTGCCCAGCCCTAAATTCAAATGTGGATTAACCTATCCTTACTAGCTTTACTCAGAGATACACAACTTAACATGTTCAGTGCATTAGTAGAAACCATTCTTATGTTTATTACATGAAAGAGAATAGCAGCGGTGTGGTGTATCCTGATATGTGACTTTACCCTTGAACAGGTCATGCTACTCTGCTGTTCTACCAGCTGCTGAGGGGACTGAAGTTCATCCATTCAGCCAACGTCCTGCACAGAGATCTGAAGCCTGCCAACATATTCATCAACACCGACCAACTGCTGCTCAAGATAGGAGACTTCGGGCTGGCCAGGATAGTCGACCCTCATTATTCTCACAAGGTAAGGAAGGAAGGAAACCCACCATGCACAAACACGTATACTGCAAGGACGTCTGTGATCATTGGCTTGGTTAGATGTATATACAAGCAGTTGGATGTCTTATCTGAAGACTTTGATGACTAAATGTCATATAAGCTGGAAGTTTGTAATAACCACTAACACTTGTACAAACATTTCCAGCCCTAACCCAATTACTCATCTTTTTTGGGGCATGTAAATGTAGCAAATGTGCCAAGTGTTCTTTTGACCAGAGGCCAATGAATGCTTGTGATCATTATTCTCTTTGGGCTCGTGCTCTCTTAACAAGTTTTAGATTCGTTTTAAAAACCCATAATCTTCAGAGGACAAGCCAGCGTGAGAGTTTAGATCTCCGTCCACATTATATTGGCTGTGTTCTTCTCTCTGGGTGCTTTTTTGATACTCGTTCTACAAAAAAATGAATCATACAACTGGTTTAAATATTCAAGCCAGGAAAGTTGATGAAGTTGGGAGGATTTTTCACTCTCTGCGTTGCAGTCTGACGCAGTGTGGGCTGTTCTTGTGCTGATGGATGAATCTAGGGAGAGTATTGTAATATTAAACATTATCTCTGCTCCCTCTTATTGAGGTAGGGCTGTTATCGAGGAAGAGATAGCAACTCCTCAAGCCCTGGCCCTGTGTGGTTATCAGGAAGCTGTGCACAAATTCCCTGTGTAGCAATGGATAGGATGGGATCCAGTTGCAAAAGAATCTTCCTATAGGAAATCAAACACAGAATAATTAATGTCTGTCAGTGTGGCGTCTCAGGTGATATCATTAATTTGATTCTGACAAAGATGCAGATTTTAGAAAATACAGCCCGAACTTCAAAATGTCTTACTTGAAACTGAAACATGTTTGTAGCTGCTACGCCTCATTGAGGATTATACGTGTTGCGATTGCAGTACAGTCAAGCCGTCTTTTCTTCCATGACAGACATCTCCGATTACACACCCCCAAGTCTGATGCTGCCGACCTGTCTTTCACACAAGGCCTCCTCTCAAGCCCAAACCCTGCTATTAACGTCTTCTTCTTGGTATCAAGTTTTGGGCTAATCAAACCCTGTGATTAGTCTGTCCATTGTAGATAAAGGCTTCTGAGAGATTAATGTGACAATTTACTGCTCCATTGTGCTGCTTCATTATGCACGGAGATCCCACAGCAAAACTGTAACACTAGCAGGGCAGGATGTGTGTGTGCCTGTGTGTGTGTGTGTGTGTGTGTGTTTGTATGTTTGTGTGTTTTTTCGGTCTGTGCATGCGGAGAGGAGCTCTTGTGAAAGGCGATCTTTGTCAGCTCAGAACACGGGACTGGGGATCAGCTGGGTGCAGACACAGGGGTTGCGTTTGGAGGGGAGGAGGTGGAGGAGGGAGGGGAAGGGGTTGGCGAGGGGGGAGGCAGAGAACAGATGAGGAACAAGGGTGAGAAGTATTGAGTCACAGAAGGTGGAAAGTACAAAGAAGGAGGGCAAAGAAGAGAAACAAGTAAAGGGGGTGCAAAAGAGAGATCAAACAGAGAGGAGAAGTGAGAGATGAAGGTAGTTTGGGTCGTGCAGGACAGCAAAAACAAGGTTTACCTCTTTCTCACTGTGTGTGTGTGTGTGTGTGTGTGTGTGTGTGTGTGTGTTTGGGCGCAAATTTGCTCTCACACTGTGTACCTACAGACAGAGAGAGAACACAATGTTCAGGCTTGAACTACTCTGTACTGTCACAAGGTAGGATAGATAGATAGATTAGATAGATAGATAGATAGATAGATAGATAGATAGATAGATGGTTGTGATTGTTGTGAAACCAAACATCTCATGCTGATGTCATCTTGGCATAGAATGACGACATTTAGTCATAAGGTATGGACAAGCAGTGACCTCCAGAGGGATGACGCCAACACAGAGGTGCCAAAAACTGCAGTTCCTCTAATGACCACTTGAGGCTGGCTCCAAAGGCCAATCAATCCCCATAGACACCCATGTTAAAATGCCCAACTTTACAGCAGAAATAAACCTGTTTACAGCCTGGTACAAAAACGGTTTTAGTCTCTAAAGCTAATTTCCCTTTTTGTGACAACTGTACAAGGGGTGCATTTTTATGTAACTCACCTGTTTGCATTTTATTAAGGCCCAATGTTACGCATAATTAAGACAGTGTCCTCAGCTTCTCAGTCAAATCCACCCCTGGCTCCTTCACAGCACCAGCCTCTCACCTAAATATGGTCACCTCTGGAAAGAAAGAGACGACTAGTTGCTCTGTAAACACAAATGTAGATCAAAATCTTGTGTCGGGCACTTGTGGAGAACAGGAAACAACAGGATCGACAGAAAGGCAATCCAGGCACTCTGAAAAAATACAGAAAAACGAGGGGAATATTAAAAAGCCCTGATTGTAGTGGCTAAATCATTAAAAGAGCCAACATGTTTCGACCGCTGCAGGTCTTTGTCAGGACTTTCAAAAGTAGTGATTTTTCATGACCCATATAATGGCATGACAGGTGAAACAAATAGACAATAATGAAAAAATAAGTAAATAAAAAACAGTGACAGAGTGACAATTTGAATATATACACACATATCTTAACCCATAGGCTGTGAGAAAAATGTCGAAGCTTGTAGAGAACAATGACAAATTACAAAAACATGTGAAGTCTATAACCTCATTGAGACCAGGATACTTAAAGCATCCAGTTGATGGATCCAAAAAGCTTCCCTTGGATTAAGTTTCTGTATTCCGTCACTCGTCCTGACCAATGGTCACTTGTGGCTCTAAAAAATCCAAGATGGCGACCGAAATGCCGAACCCCAGGTGTCAAAACCAGAGTCTACAGACTAATGGGTGACGTCATGGTAGCTACGTCCGTTATTTTTACGGTCCATGGGTATGGAGGACAAATACCAACATCTGAAAATTGTCATAAAGTTAACATTGCCACAGCATGAAATTCTATCATCCTAAGGCATTTAAAGAATCGTAGACCTGATTTGCCTTCCAACCAAAATGAAGCTAGACTGTACTATGCAAGATTTGACTGAAAAACAATGTATAGACTCACAAGAAGTAATCCTTCTCAATCATCACTTATGAGCCACTAGAAGCCATCCATCTATCCATCCATCCATCCATCCATCCATTTTCATCAACCTATCCATGGGCAGGGTCGCGGGGGCAGCAGGCCAAGCAAAGCATCCCAGACGTCCCTCTACCCAGCAATGCTTTCCAGGGACCCCAAGGTGTTTCCAGGCCAGATGAGATATGTAATCCCTCCAGCGTGTTCTGGGTCTGCCCCGGGGCCTCCTACCAGTTGGACGTGCTTGAAACACCTCCAGTGGGAGGCACCCAGGAAGCATCCTGATCAGATGCCCAAACCACCTCAACTGACCTCTTTCGATGTGAAGGAGCAGTGGCTCTACTCCGAGCTCCGTATGTCAGAGCTCTTTACCCTATCTCTAAGGCTGAGCCCAGCCAACCCACGGAGGAAACTCATTCTGGCCGCTTGTTTCTGCAATCTCATTCTTTCAGTCACTACCCAGAGCTCATGACGATAGGTGAGGGTTGGGAGCTAGAAGCACTAGAAGCCTTGTGGTGTATTTTACTGCAAAGACTCTGTCCTCTGACTGTATTTTCTTACTTAGTCCCTTTTTTTCTGTGCTTCTGATGTTTATGGATTTACCTCTACCTTTATGAAAAGGTAACGACTACGTGCCAGATCATAAGCAGCAGGCATCCAAGAGACACAGCACCGAAAAATAAAATATAGTGAGTCTGATACTGGTTGAGATAGATAGATAGATAGATAGATAAATAGATAGATAGATCAAAGTAGTAAATCCTATGGTATAATGTGTCATGTGTCATATTTAATCTATAAACACATGCATAATTCATGCAATGCCATCACTGATTCTTTTTAGAATTGATGCCACAACAAGTGCTCTATTTCAGCTCATACAGAGAGCATTTCCCCCGTCTGCTGCTGCAGTATCAGCCTCTTCTCTTTGCAGTCGTTAGCCTCAATGCTTTGATAACAGGAATGCATTAATAACCAATAAGAGAGCTGGCTGCACATTACCCTCTAATTTTATATTGAGTGCTGACACGGTTTGAATTGCTCTGAGGTGGATATTGGGAGTTAGTTAGGAGTCTGCAGCTGGTGTCTCCGTTAGCCGGCAGAACATCAGTTTGTCATTGTTCATTAGCATTAAGATTGTATTACCAGAGTTGTGTGTGTGTGTGTGTGTGTGTGTGTGTGTGTGTGTGTGTGTGTGTGTGCATGACGATGTGTGTGTAAGATGATGCTTGGCTATTTGCGATGCAGTGTTGACACCAAAGCAGATGCCTGCAGTGAATGTGCTAGCATCCTCGCTCATATTTAATAATACAGAGCCAAAGTGCTGCTTTTTCAGACATTTTTTGCGGTAATGGACGTGGGCAGTGTTGACTTCAGCTGTGACGTGAAATTCACAAGTAGTATTAACTTTCATATCGAGCCGTGAAACAAGACTGGTGGCTTTGTTTTTGTTTTTTATGACTCATTTTTCACTTTCAAATATCACACTTGTCTTTTTTTTCCTGGGTTCTCACCAATGAATGACCTCTTTTCACTGCACTGTAATGGCTCCAAAGAAATCCCTACCTCCTTTTTATTGCTTCTACAGTATCTTACATGGTCCGCGTGTTATCACAGAGGTTGTGTCAGCACGCTGTGACTCTGCGGTGCATCGAAATGAGGCTGTTTGACGAGCTGTCTAGATGTGCGCCTCCGACTACACAGACAAACATTTACTCAGGTGAAAAGAGATGACAGAAAGGTTGAGGGGGGAGAGAGAGGGGGAACAGTGGCCGAGGAAACATTATTTGTGATGTTGTTTACTGTCAGCACCAGTATGAACTTGGAGTGTGTATGTGTGAATGTCACCTGCTGATGCAGGGCTGGATCTGCCCAGAAATAATTCATGACCTGGATGAAGGAGACAGAAGTAGAGGAAAGGGGAATAAGGAGGGAGTGTTGGAAAAGGAAGAGAAAAGAAGGGAAGGAGTAGAGGGGTAAAAATAAGCAGAGCGGATCTGTAACTGACAAGAGGAGACGGAGGGATGAAACAGGCAAGAAAGGAGGTGAAGCAAGGAGGGCAGTGAAAAGGGAGAGATGGGGTGAAGTGTGAAGAAAAGAGGAAGGGTAAGGGAGGCAAACGTAGCTGCTGATGGTGATGTAGAGAAGCGCTGAGGTGAGTTGAGATTAAGGGAACGGGTGGAGAGGAAAGTGGGAGGTGATGACAGCGGGGGAGAAGGCTGAGAGTAAAGGAAGGGAGTGAAGGAAGCCAACAAATATTTTATAATGGTTAATAGCTGAACATGGCAGACAGATTTCTTCGATGTTCTTTCCGTGCCAGTGTGTGTGACATGCATAATCGACTATCTTGGCTGACTGTGGAGACTTGGTTTGGTGATAAACTAGTATCCTCCTGAGACTCTGTGTCCTCATATGTGGACATCACATTTTGGTTTACTTGACCTTATACTTCAATCTGCTTAACTTAGACCTGTTGTCCTTGTTCATGGACACTTTTTTTGTGCCATCTAGTGGTAGTAAGAGCGCAGTACACTAATCCATGTAAAAACAAGATGGCAGCCATCTCTGCCAAGTCAGTCTGCAGCTGACCCTGACACAAAAGTGGACCAGGTCCAAAACTTGATCACATTTTATGGTTGAAACTTGTTTATTTATGATAAATAATGTTTGTAGTTTGATATGGCAACAAATTTGACCAATTTCAGCAACAGTAACAAGCTAAGCAACTGTTAATTAGGAAGTAGGCTACTTGTTGGCGACTATTGTGTTTGGACTATTGTTGTCTCATTTGAGGATCTTGGGACTTTACAAGCTCCGTTTCCCCTGAGGGAAATGGTGTCAGTAAATGTCAACTATAAAATGCGTGTCAGTCTGCAGCCGATCCCGGCACAAAAGTGAACAAAGTCCAAAACCGGGGGAAATTTTATGGTTCAAACTTGTTTATTTATGATTAATACTGTTTGTAGTTTGACATGGCAACAAAATTGACCAATTTTAGCAACTGTAACAAGCCAAGATGCTGTTAATTAGGAAGTATTCGTTTAAGGACGCTGGGACTTAATTATTGTTGACGATGTTAAGGTTTTATATTTATCGGGTCCTACTGATCCCAAATAGCCCCAGGAAGACTAGTGACCACTTTTCTGGAAGCTAATGGGGAGCCATATAAAGAATTAAGAATAAAGAATAGCTGTGATACGTTGTTAAAATACAGTTTAAATATAGCTACAATATGAAATCTGAGGCAACATCTGTGCATCGTTTTGTGAGACTGTTCAAAGCAGTTTCCAAAGCCACTCTATGATTATCATCAAATGATATTCCAATATAAAAATGAATACTTTTGACACAAAACCTGACCACTCCTTCAAAGACAGTCCATCAAATGCTTTTGCAAGGCAAGGCATCTTTTTTTGTAAAGCACAGTTCATACACAAGGGCAATTCAAGGTGCTTTACAGTGCTAAATGATTTCCTATTTTTTTTTAATCATCTTAAAAAAAGCAAAAGTGCAGACAAGAGGTGCAAAGATAAAACTTTTATTTAAAATGATTTAAAACTGAGAAGCAAAGATGAACTTCAGGCACTCATGTGTGGAGCAGCAATTAAGTGAAGAAGCCTTTATTTCAAAACATGGCTGCTCATATTAAAACACGGACCGGTTTCGACCCAAAAGTCTTTGTCAGGGTGTAAAAGGGTGGACAGGACTCAAGTAAACATTTTATAAGCTTGGTAGGGGGTGTCACCCAATCATCACCCAATAAGTGAGCACAAGTGACGGCAGTGGGTTACAATGAGAAGCCATTTTGAAAGTGACACGCCTTTACAAGGAAAAAAAATCCCTGTACTAACATAAAAAAATCAATAACTAAATTTGAAATATATGCATGTTAAAAATAAATAGAAAGAAAGAAAGTTACTAAAACAAACATCAAAAATACATACATAAAAAAGGGGAAGGAAAGATTACTTAATTTTTATCTGTACAGAAAACATAAAAAAAGGTTATGATAAAGACGATCCTTGAGAACACTACTATCTCGTTCTTCAAAGTGTGATTTGAAATTGAGTTTTAAATAAGGTTGCGGTCATTTCTATCAGAAGGTAGAAACGAGAGCTCAGATGTAGAGACTGATCAGCAAAGACGGTCAGACTGATAGAAGACAAGGTGAGAGTATGTTTGTTAGATCATGACTGAGCACTCAGCATCAGTTTCTGCTCTGTCATCTGCTGACACATGGGAAGCGATGAGTGAGGTCACTGAGGGGAAGGGGAGGCAGTGAGTAAGGTGCAGTGAGGACAGACGTAGGCATGGAGAGAGGGAGTAGAGAGCATAAAAGGGTTCACATGATGCAAGGGTGAAGAGGAAACTGAGAGGAGAGCAAAGTAGAGGAATAGTAAGGCTGAAGTAGAGCTGGAGTCACTTCCAAATTCATAACGTCTTATTCATTTAATAGATTGAATTCTAGAAGTAACTCCTAAGAAGGCTGACCCAAAAAACTCACAGAGCCGTTTTGACATTTAAAATAAATTCTATCTGTAAGGACACATTGCTGGAAGGGATGTATAAGAGTGAACATCGGTGTGGGAGGTCCACGGCGAATAAAGGCTCTGAGTCATGCCCTGAACCTGCTGATCGAGACAAAACTTACCATCTTCAAATATGAGGAGCACATTTCGGCTGTCAAGTACAATATAAAACCATTCTGGGCCAGACCTAAAATGTAATCATCAGAGGGGCTGTGTCCTGCTTAGAGGGATGTTATGCTGGTCTTACAGGTGGCCGCAGATAATTTCACTGGTGTGAAAAAAAAGGAGCTCACAGAGCAATTTCTGACATCCATTTTAAGTCTGAAAACTCATCTGGGGCAGGATGAATCCCATGCTGTTGTTACAGCGTGAGGCAAGATAGAGTGATTCTGCAAGAAGTTCCAGATAAAGAGGGAGATAGGGTAATGGTGGGATGGAAAGTGGAAAGGGCTGATGGGAAGGAGACGATAGGAGAAGGACCCCTGCCTGATTTTAGGGCCCCTTTTCCCAACCATGCAAATTAGCCACAGTTTTTTGGGGACAAAAGTGAAATGAAAAACAGTATGCCTGCAAGAAAAACTGAACTCTATATGTCCACACTCTCCTTATTATGTCTGTCATCATGTCGCAATTTGCAACATGTCAGAGCCTCGAAATAAAATCAGCCAGCAGCTGCCAAGAAACATAAAAATGTGTGAGAATGTGTAAACCTAATTATAAGCATATTTTGCTGTGCAGTCTATAGTATCCTAATGTCATTAGTGTGAGAGCCGAGGCGGTAAGATTTGGCTCAGGAGAGACGCGCAGCCAGGGAAAGAATAGAAATATAATGTGGTAAGTGCAGGGATTTGGAGATTTTGTAAGGTTGGAGAGCGGAGGAATTACAGCAAGTGAGAAGGGGAGTGAAATATAAGAGAATTAATGATAGCAATAGGCAAAAGCGTCTCATTATACTGTAGATAAATCTGGTTTGCATGTAAATACGCTTGCCTGCGCCTCATCTCCATGCGCGTCGTCATCAGTGTTATTCACAAGGTGAACATTTACCAAAGGAAAAAGCAGAAGGGAGCCTTGTCGGAGCAACCCTAATGAGAGGACGTGTGTTGTTGAACAGCAGAGCATCAAAGGCTTGATGAAACTCAGTAACTGCAGGTAGAGAAATTCAGGGGAATGTATCCGACTGCAGAATGTATCCAGGAGCAAGTTTCCATCCTCGTGTAGCTGATGCAAAATGATCAAGTCTTTGTGGGTGTAAATAAAAATATCCCTTGTGAGCTCAGATGTCTGACTTCACCATGCTTCCACTCCAACAACATAACTACCAGCAAACTGCCAGCGAGATTGTGATTAATATGTGCAACTTAAACGCCTCATACATATGCAAATGCATGCAGATTTACAAGTACACAACTGGTAACAAGCCAATCTGTTACATACTCACCACTAATATAACTACAGTATCATTCTATTGCTCTGTGTTTTAACTCTCTTTCTCTTTCTCCTATTTTTCTCTCTCTCACGCCTGCTTCTCTAGGGCTATCTGTCCGAGGGTCTGGTAACTAAGTGGTACTGTTCCCCCCGTCTGCTCCTGTCCCCCAACAACTACACCAAGGCCATCGACATGTGGGCCGCTGGCTGCATACTGGCTGAGATGCTAACTGGACGCATGCTGTTTGCAGGTACCTCTGCTGTTTGGTAATGCAGTGTCTGCTAAAACACTAATGACCTTGATGCCCTGTGGGAACATAATGATATTGCAGATCATTAACTGGATGGCATGATGAAATACGATAATGGCATTAATATTCAGCAGAAGCATCTCATTACTTAAAGTCCTATAAGATCTTTACAGGAAATGTGTTTCTAGGAACTGGCAGTTTTTACAGTTTATTTGAAATAGAGCTACAGGACATGAAAAAAAAAGTATCACATAGCAGTTATTTTGAGTCACGATTTGAGTGGGAAAGGTAATTTTTGTATTTCATTTACACCAAAGTATAAAAAATGAAGGTGATGATGATGTGATTTCTGCCGTACAAGCATGTTCCCTTAAGCCTGCAGTATGATCTGTAGGCTGGGCACCTTTATAACACCACAGTGCTTCATTTATTATGGTATGTCGTGACACATTTTACCTTTAGCAAAAGTATTTTGGATATTGCATTTGGCCATATTGCGATTTTAATAGTAGTTCAATTAACTGTGCAGCCCTAATTTAAATTGTAAAAAAATAAACTTTATTTGCACAGCTTTTATTGTTATATAAGAAAGACAGACATGCACAGTTTTTAAGGGTGAACTTTGCATGTGCATATGCATTTGTAGCATCAATATTTGCAGTATTTGTATGCACAGTATGAGAAAGTAACACTGGACCATCTTAGCAACTGTAGCCTACATAAAGCGGGATTCATACTTGTGCTTTTACAGTCTATGCTACACACATGGCCTTGAAAGCATTTATACTTGTGCAGTGGTATGTCTGTGTCACTCTGCAGTCGGCGGCAGGGTTTCTGTGAAGTGCTGTAAAGTTTAGTTGATTCAAAACACACCTAAACACACATTAAACATGGCTTAATAGAGACAGTTTCAAACACAAATGCACAAATCAGCTTCACTATAACTCGCAGCATTCACAGACAAACACTTGTCTTTATCTGGACACATTTTCCCCTCAAATACAACATGCTAATGCTTTTAGCACAAGCCTATGGCATTTTACATTGTATAAATTAGCATAGCAGCTAGAGGACTTTTCCTCTACTCATATGAAGCCAGGAATAACAGCAACATTTAACAAAGGTAACGTTGCAACGTTGTTTGGCTCCATTACAACTCACAAGGTTCACTGACAAAACAACTGTCTTATACTAAACACGTTTTTGAAACAAATATAACATGCTAACATTATTAGCACAAGTCTATGGCATTCTACATTGTATAAACTAGCCTGGCAATGAGCATAGATTTCCTCTGCTCATATGAAGCCAGGATAAATCACAGACAAGTCTTACAATGGTATTTTGTGGAGGCTTTATTGTCTATCTGTGAAAGTAAAGTAAATAAAAGCTTCGCTTCTACTGACGAAAAAGTTTCAGCTTACAAAATAGAAAGGAGGTCTGTGTTGCCATGAAGTATAGTTACATTTATGGGGAGGTGCACGTCAGGCATAGGTTACGGCGTAGGTGCGGCTTCAGTTGGACACAGAAGTAACTTAAGACAGAACATTGAAAACAGGCTGCTCAGAGTGGCTAAGTAAATACAGTATCAGGTGAATTAGTTGTAATCAAAAACATCTTTTGTGTCCTTTGTTAACTTATGTAAAGTTTGTCCGAGCATAGATGCTAAAAAGCACCCTCATAACTACATTACAAGGTGGCATCAAGCTGAGGAGAGTTTTTCTGTCCAGAATGTCCTCCACCAAAGATACTTTATTCTCCTTCTGCCAGCTACTTCTTTGCCTGACCAGAATAACAATGACAGAGAAATTCTCGCTGTCTGAAGCAGATGTAGTTCCTCCTGACAGGCTGATTTGACCTCCACCAGCCCTCTATACCACAGGAGAGATGGTGCCACAAACTCAATAACGTCATCTGTGCCCTGGTGTTCCTCTCTGCTCGAGTTTCACACATAGACTGTTAGAGATGCTTGCCTTGCTTTCCTCTCAAACACCAGAGTTTACGCAGCACAGCATTATTTTTGTTTACCATAGGGGAAGCAATGCACTCTCTCAAATACACCACCACTGCTTGCTTATTTCTTAGAGTGGTGACTGTGTTGATATAGCACCACCTGCTGGTGCTTGATGGAAACATTTAAAGGGCAAATCCACACTGTAAGAGGGAAAGTACTGCTGCTTTGTTTTGGTTTGAGCTGAAAAGTTACGGCATGTTGCATTGTGGTAACACCACAACGACCTCAAAAGATGTGTCCTTGTTACGCCCTGTCTAGCGGTGACAGACATAACATGAACTAAGTCCCGATCTTCCCCAAATCCCATGTAGCCACAAGATAACTAGTTGAATGTGCAAACAATTTGACTTACTTGCAATTATATATGAACATACTGGTATTTTAATCAGACTTCAGGGTGGACCAGGGCCAACAAAACAAAATATCTTCAACTTATGGAGCAGTCATATCTAACCGAGAGAAACTAAAAGAAACCAAAACACAGGAGACCCCAAAGTGGTTATACTCCAGCAGAACAACACCTTTAGTGTGGCACCTAGGCTACAAACAATCTGTGTACATGTGCTGCTGTGGAGAGGAGGAGGAGGAGGAAGATGCGCCTCCACTGCTGCAGAGCCAACACCATCTTGGCTCTTCATAGGGAGCTGTCATCAGTGCGCACCATTCACCTGCTAGGACCACCGACTAATGATCTGCTCAGCCTGGCACACCTATTTGCAAACACAGAGACACTTGCACATGCTCACTATCCCAGAATGATAAACAAGAATGCAAAACACGACCACGGTAAAAAAAAAAAAATGTAGAAGCACAATTTTAAAAGAATTGAGCGTCATGGCATCTCCTCCCCCAAAGTTGTGTACGACCTCCCACAAACTCAGTGAAATGTTGTAGGTTGTAGAGGTTTTTCATTAGGTTTGGGTCATAGTTGGGGTTAAGAACCTGAAGTGCTGTCCAACAGGTTGTACTGCAGAAACAAAACCCCCTGGTGCATAAAGTGCTGTGCTTACTGTGGCCTTGCAGTTAGTGTGCGACCAGGAGAACAAAATGTCTGAATTTGAACCTTTACTATTCTACCAATACTTGATTCAGGATGGATTTACTCTCATTTTTATGTGATTTCAATCAATTAAATTAAAATTGAAGCGGCTATTATAATACATGGGTGTTCAAGTGGTGATTTCCAGACATAGTTTTTCATTCAAAACCATTTTATAGTTGGCTACAGAATGTTCCATCCTATCTGCTGAATTCTTATTGAACGTCCTCGCCATACCATTTCTGTAACTCGACAGCTCACACCTCCTAGGTATTCCCGTTTGACTCTAATTGGCCACCCTTTTCCGCTTATGTAACTGATCCTGTCTCCTCTCTGCTTGTCTCTGATTGGCCGGTTCCCTCTCCCAGGGGCTCATGAGCTGGAGCAGATGCAGCTGATTCTCGACACAGTGCCGGTACTGAGGGAGGAGGACAGGCAGGACCTGCTACAGGTGATGCCTCAGTGGCTGCTGCTTGTCATACGTCTGCAAAGTGATTGTTTAAATATGGAACAGGACGTCATGCTATGTTTGCAGCTTTAGACTAGAAAAGATTCAGTCTACAGACAAGATAAATGTGTACACAACTCTTTCCTTCAACGGCTCTCGCTCTGTTTTCTCGCTTTCAGCAAGTCAAGGCCTTGAAATGTACAGAAAGAAATAACCACAGCAAAGTTATGCACATATTTTAAAGCCCACTGTCGTCCTTTCCCAGGTGATGCCTTCATATGTCAGTCATGGATGGAGAGTCAAGAAACCCTTCTCTGAATTGCTGCCTGAAGTGGATGCTCAGGGTGAGCCGAGGGGATTGAGAAGTGGTAAGAAGAGGAAGGTCAAGCAGTATGAAATAGAATGGGAGCAAATAAGAGTAATGGAAGATATGAGGAGTAGAAAACACACAGACGACAGCAGCTTCTCTGAGCTGTGAAGGATGAAGAGATGATGGTGGTCTAACAAATATAATTTTGTCCTGAGAGAGGAAAATTAGTGCTAATATTGTTTCAAGGCGAGCACACCTCATGGACACTACAGCTTATTTCTCCTCCTCTTCCTCCCTCACTGATTCCCTTTTCCTTTCCTCTCAGCTGTGGATTTCCTTGAGCATATCTTGACCTTTAACCCGATGGATCGGCTGACGGCTGAAGCAGCGCTGTCGCACCCCTTCCTCCAGCAGTACTCCTGTCCTGAGGATGAGCCCACCTCGTTGCACCCCTTCCGCATAGAAGACGAACTGGAGGACAACCTTGTTACCGAGCAGAGCCTCAGCAACAGCAACAGTCAGGCCTCCAGCATCCACTGGGAGAGGTGTGTGGGTTTGTGTTTTAAACACTGGTGGGAGAGTTTAGGTCATTTTTTTCATTATTTATTTTACAGTTTTAATCAGATTTTTTTATTGTGTCAGTCTGCCATTGCTACAAGAGTTTGTTTAATTAACAGACCTCCGTATCGTAATGAGATCATCAGCAGACAAAGAGTCTGGTCTGTTTTGTTGATTTATCATTAAATGTACTTGAGACCGCTTGTTTCTTAAAGCAAAACTCTCTGGTTACTAAAGACAAATACTCAGCTAACCTACCAACACTAACATAATTTTGACAGTCTAAAATCTATTTAACCTTCAATTTAACACTGAAGGCTGACTGCTCATGCATTTTGCATGACTACACGCTGGACTTCCAAAATATTTCAATCACTTTACTGTGTAATTTAATGCAGCAACCATTTGGCTACAAGCCTGACTTGGATTTTAATTAGTTCTGAATCTTAGTTCTATGGCAATTTCATGGTTTGACCAAATTTGTTGGAACAGAAAAGTCTGGCAAAGCATAACGAGGCACAAGAAACCTAATGTTCCTACAGTAAGTTTAGCAGACTGAATATACTGCACAGCAAAGTTGTTATAAGACTAATATGAACGCTTTATTTCTGCCCTCCTGCAGGTACGAGACCAGTTTATCAACAGATGTGTCCTGGCAGCAGTCAGGAGGGGGGTGTCGCTGCGTGCCTCCTGGCCACATGACGTCTGACATGGGAGACACCACAGAGGAAGAGGAGGTGCAGAGAGACCCCCGGGCCAGTTCCACCTCACTGTTAGAGGAGGCGCAGGTTGGATGTGCTTTGTCATTTTCCACCATACTCACTGATTTGTTCTTGAGTATATTGTAATTTAGTGAAATAAAATTGTTGTGCATGTTAGTCTTACCTTAAAACCTCTTATTTGCTTCACCACCTGCTATTTGGCAAAATGAAGACTTCATCAATAGAAAATTGTTTCTGATGGAAGAAGCTTCCTTGCATATTTCTTGCAACAGTCAGTCTGGTAGTACACTGTAAATGCACTGTGTCTTTAAAAGGAACAGTGTGTAAGAGTGAGGATTAGGGGGATTTAGTGGCATCTACATGTGAGGATTATAGATTGTAACCAGCTGAAACTTCTCCAGGTTAGATATTCCTTCAGTGTTCATTATTAAGGAGGTTTTTATCTGGAGCCGAATTATCCACAGCGGTCTTATCCTCTCCAAAAAGAACAGACGAAGGGATTAACTCCAGTAAAAACACCAAATAAATCAGTTTCATGTCACAAATCAGTGTTTCTGCTACACTGTTTGGCATCTCAGAGACGTGTGGTCACCTATTGTCTCTGATAACTTATTTTGTGCTCACCTCATTTCTGATCCAGACGTCCAGGAGGTTTTTACCTAAAGCCGAATTATCCACAGAGGTCTCTTCTACTCCAAAACAAATCAACTGGTGATTTAAACCAGTAGAAACACCAAATGTTTCTAAACATTACAAATCAGTGTTTCTACTACACTGTTTGGCATCTCAGAGACGTGTGGTCACCTATTGTCTCTGATAACTTATTTTGTGCTCACCTCATTTCTGATCCAGACGTCCAGGAGGTTTTTACCTAAAGCCGAATTATCCACAGAGGTCTCTTCTACTCCAAAACAAATCAACTGGTGATTTAAACCAGTAGAAACACCAAATGTTTCTAAACATTACAAATCAGTGTTTCTCCTACACTGTTTGGCATGACGGAGTCAGGCCATTAGCTTAGCACCTGCTAATATGTGCTCATCTTTTTTTTCTAATAACTTAAGTTTTAGATGTTCAAGAGGTTTTTACTGGGAGCTGAATTATCTGCAGAGGTCTCTTACCCTCTATAACAACCACACCTGGTGTTTTAAGCCAGTAAAAACACTGAATAAAGTAGTTTCCAATGCCCTCATCATGGAGGCTGCTAACTGCCTATCTAGAGCCAGTGTTTGGTTTGTCCCACTGTAGAAACATGGCAATGCAACATGGTGTTTTTTTGTAGATGAGGACCTGCTCCCTATGTAGATATAAACTCCTCATTCTATGACAAAACCCCCCCACAATAATTCTTATTTTCAAGTGATTATGCACCAGAAAAAACATACTTATTTTATTATATTCCATGTTCTGCCAGTATATCTGCTTAAATCCTACACACAGGACCTTCAAAGGTTGCCAGTATTGTCTTGTCTTAATCTGTACGTGGTTACATTTTATTGCTGCTTCAATTTAACACGTGAATCATACTTAGTCATAAACTATAATGAGTCAAAGCACTTCAACACATAATATAACCGGCATCCTCACTGTACTTTCTTTCTTATTTATCACCTTCTCCTTCCCCACCTGCTCCTCCTCATGATATTTAGGTCGACCCACGCAAGTATTCCCACAGCAGCTCAGCAGAACGCTTCCTGGAGAACTCCCACTCCTCTCTGGAACGAGCCTGTGGTTTGGGGTACGGGGAACTGGACTGTGGCCACTCCTGTGACTACAAAGTGGGATCCCCTTCATATCTCGATAAAATTGCCTGGAGGGAGGGCAAGCCTCAACACTACTCAGAGCCTAAGCTGATCCTGGATCTTTCTCACTGGAAGCGCAACACCACCAGCCTCCCTGTGCCTGCTGAGCCTATTGGGGGCAGCGTGGAGGACTTAGGGGAGATGAAAGAGGAGGAGGCGGAAGAGGAAGAAGAGGAGGAGACGGGAGATTTATTCCAAGAGATCTCTCGCTGGGTAGAGAGCACCCAGTCTCGCTTGCACTCACCCAGTCCCAGTTCTTCTTTGGAGCAACGTTCACCCTCCTGCTACATCTCCTCTCCCCCTCTCCCACTCTCCCCGACTGACCTTCCGACTCCAGTCTTCCACTACACGGAAGTTGTGCAGCACCCATCAGCTGAATTCAATGAAGACAGACTGAGCCCGCTTCAGCCTGTCACATCTTCTTCTAATTCCCTTCCCTCACTCCTCCCCTCATCTCCCACCTCTCCACTTCCTGTTGAGTCACCTCAAACAGCGTCTCCCCCCATCTCGCCACTTTTTCCTCCCACAGAATCTCAACCTCTTTCCTCTACATCCTCCATTTCTCAGCCGGTAAAAGATGAACCTATGGAGTCACTTCCTGTCAAGCAAAAGGAGCGGCTGTTCGACCTGGACGTGTTCATATCCCGAGCACTGAAACTGTGCAGGCAGAATAAGGAGAAAGCAGATGGGAAGAAGGGAAAAGACGGAGGATGGAGGGAAGAAAGCAAACAGCAGAACATTACCCGTAAGGTTCCTAGGCTTCCAGAGCATAGGACTCCACCACCACCACAGACTCCAAACTCTTGATGTTGAATTTCAACTTCAGGTTCACCACAGTATAACACCATAATGGGTAGCACTTCCAAATGCTCATACTGCTTTACGTAGTGAGGGGTGAAGATGCTGCTTAAACATTAGACCTTAGTGTTAGCGGCCTTTTCCCTACTATTGCAATGACACGCTACATGCTGTGACTAAAACCCTCACTTAAACAAGCAATCCTGCAGCTTTGTCAAGAGGTGCTCTCAGGCAATAAGAGGTCGACAAGCATTTGGGTTCGGATATGAATAACCATGCTTAGCATTGCAAAATCAAGGGTTTGTTCTACATGAGAATACTTAGAAATAATTCAGCTAATTGATGATCATGGGGTTTGTGATGCGCTGTCCTTTGTCGAGTTAAAGATGGGTCGAAACTTGACTTGATAGCAACTTATTCTGCGACACAAACATCCGCAAATAACATGAGTTACCCAGACTATTGTGCACTGGTTAACAGTAACCTACTGGAGAGGGATCACTTGTATTGATTCCTTGCTGTGTGTCAGTAAATCTTTTGAAAAGTCAGACAGTCTTCCAGAGGTGATGTTCACCGAATAACGATAACGACACGGGAAATGCTTTTTCCAAGCTTCTCTGAATGTATTAACTGAAAAATAATCAGTCAAATTATGCTACATGGTGAAACGTAGGGATTTTATTTGTCGCTGTTCTAACACTCCGTCACTGCTACATGCCTTGTAAACTTGTATAAATCTGTTGTCATATTTAATTCTACGGTATAATTCTGACGACTGTTGTTAATGATGTTCTCGTGTCTGACGTATTCTTTGCTGAATGCTAGAGCACAGTTTTCTGTTTATTTGGTGTGAGTTGTATTTTGTTTAAATGTGGAATGCTCTATCGTAATAATTTATGCTCTGGTTCAGTCGTGAATAGTTTCATATTCTGTCTGCCTGATGCACCAAACAAGGTCATCTTCTGCTGTACACTCACTGAAAAGATACTGTCTTTATCTGTACATGACAGCCAGATATCTGTCACCATTTTGCTCACTGAAATGTTAGCCACAGAAAGCTATATTGCAAACAACAGTAGCTTATATTTTGGAGAATGTAGATCCTTTACAACCTTTATAGGAAATTATTTGTACTTAAAAACTCCTCAATGCTGCCCAGTAGCCATATTGATATATGGAACAGAAGATAACCAAAACGTATATTTTGAAATACTTTTCTATTCAGCGCGTCACAGTAGACCCTCAGAATGTTCTTTATTCTGGCATCTGATGTCTCCCCTCCAAGGTAACCAAATCAGGTAAAAGATACAGGAAGATGTAAGTTCTGAAGGTTGTTGGCTTGTGCCTCATACTTTGTTAATCATGTACATCTGACATTCACTTTACTCACCAAACTGAGAAGCTCATAGTGAGCACTGGCGCTCCTGCAAATTTTTCATAGGGGTCGCCAGAGGGGGCCATTGAAAATCCAACCAAAAGTCATAACTGAATATCAGGAATTCCATTATGCTGTTTTAGTAGTCTACAGGCTGGTTGAAAACTATGTCAATATGGAGAGTTAAGGAATAGCATGCTAATGCACTTTGGTTTCTAGTTTGACAGTTAATATTACTAATTATCTGATGTTTCATTGTTCATTCATTTCCTGTAACCGCCGATCCTGTTAGGGCTTGTCAGGGGGCTGGAACCTATCCCAGCTGACATTGGGTGAAAGGTAGGGTACACCCTGGACAGGTCACCAGACTATCACAGGGTTAACACATAGAAACAGACAACCATTCACGCTTACATTCACACCTACAGCCAATTTAGAGTCACCAGTTAACCTGACGTGCATGTCTTTGGATTGTGGGAGGAAGCTGGAGAACCCGGGAAAACCCATGCTGACAGGGAGAACATGCAAACTCCACACAGAAGGGCTCCCCCACCCCGAACCCTCTTGGTGTAAGGCAACTATCCTGTTTTGATTTGTTATGAATCTGTACATGTGTTAGGGGATTCATTGTTGGCTATCCTTTTATTTAAAAAGACAAATATACAGATTTATTTTAAGGAGTACATTGATTGTAAGGAGCAAAACATTACCGGAGAAAAGTCCTCTCAAGTTTACTTATGGGTACCCATAGAATATCTTTTTTCATTCAGATATCTTCAAGTGAGAGTTCAACCCCTTTGAAAATGGTCATGCCAGTTTTTCCCCTTGTCAAAATTTTGGCCAAATTTGGAGGGTTATTTAGCCCCCTTCCCGACAAGCTATGCCGGCACAGGTGGTACCAATTGATGCCTTGTTGTCTAGTTTGGCAAGATACCATTACCTTTGTAATAGCTTGAAAAATGAGGGCGCCACAGCCTCTTAAAGATAGTTTGGTCAGGAACACTTTAGTCAAACAAAACTTTATTTTCATTTGCAGTATTATATTTGATGGTATGGCTCTGTCTGGGAGAGCGCACCTCCCTGCCCTTCCATGCGCCTACATGGAAACTCTAAGGCAGTGAGAGCAAACCTTCCTGCCCTTCCATGCGCCTACATGGAAAGCCTAAGGCAGGGAGAGCAGCAGCAAAGACCCCCTGGGAACAGAACAGGGCAGCATCAATGACAAACAGAAGTGATATTGGTAAATCAGACACAGCATGAAAAGGAGGAGCTGGGGTGGAGGCAGGTTGCAAAGCAGCTTGCAGAGGAAGCAGCAACAGTAGGCAGGCCAGAACAGTTTAAATAGAGCAACCTGAATGAGATAAACCAAATGAATGCATAGAAAGGAATCATGTGAACTATCAGATGACTCCCTTTCATCAATCGGCTGCTCCATCAGTTGATTGGGCTGTTTGAGATCAGCTGATGTAGCTTAGATGTGAGCTGAGCTTGACATGTGTCCTGCCTGAACTAACGCTATGCTCAATTAATGTTGGTCTCTAATCATTTTTGCAAGTGGGGCTAGTGGGGGCGCAGCAACTTTACCAGCCCCCTGCCCCCTGTTCCCCCCTTGGGGATGTCACTGATCTTTTTTTTTTTCAATCAAAAAAAAAAAAAAAAAAAAGGATATAGAAATAGCATTAAAATTATTCTGCTGTGCTAGTGCCATAAAAGAAATGTGCTTAAATCCATGTCATTCTGTAACATGGAAACATGGAAGAAATGGGCTTTCACCATCCCTGGTTTCACTGTTTAACATATAGTGCTCAGTTTGGCTGTACTACATGTGTACAGTCTACGTGCTGTACATACCACAAGGGTCCGGCTATTAGTATGCCAGAGGCACAACACTGAGATGCATAAACACACTGCCAGCAGCACAGCTACAGTACAACACCACAGAAGGTACAACACCACAGAAGGTACAACACCACAGAATCTGTTTGGTGTTTTTTTTCAGTCAAGCATCTGATACCTATTCTGACGACACTGACCTCCAGTCAGTGTCGTCAGAAAGCCTTTCATACAGCAATGCAGCAGCTGTGTCCCTTTATCTGCTGTTGTCAGCTGTTAACTGTTAAAGCTCATGTGAAGTAGGTCTAAAAGTGAGCAGATCATCACTTGCACAACATCGTATGAGCCATATGTGAGAGTTGCTGGCAGTACAACCAACCACTCAGCAAAGCCAGGTGTATTATTTCATATTCAAAGTAGACATGAAGCACATTTAGAGTCACTAGCACATTTAGAAACGCAGTTTCTCCTCTGTGAAAACTGAAACTCTGTCACACTGTTGATTTTTATCAGTAACATAGCTCTAAGGTTTTAACCCTGCTTGAGCTGGACTGCTGGACTAACTGACAGAAGTGTTCAAGTAAAGAAAAAGTTTGATCCAGAGCCATTTATCTCTTTGTAGAAATAGATAGAAGCTATGCTGCAGTCAAACTAATGAAAATGAGTCTAGTTTTTACCTACACAGGTCTACTGATCACATTTTGCATTATACAGTTTCCTCTGCAGGTAACCTAAGCCAGCAATAACATCACTGACAAATAACACTAACATACTGTAACACACGTGGTTACTGAGCCGAAGTTAAATCTTTAAAGTGCGTGAAGAAATGTAGAAAATGTGCCTCAGTACACCTCGATGCTTCCAGCTTGCTGAATGTAACATATCCTCTCCCTTCTGCATGGCTTTCACAACTACTCAAAAATAGCTTTGTTGTTTTTACTGTCACTTTTTCAGACGGTCATATTTCTGTGGGCTTTTATTTCTTTTGTACTCGCTTTGAGAGAGACCTCAGCTTTTCATTGGAGAAGAGCTGTGAGGTTTTTAAATGCTCAATATTGATTGATAGTTTCTCTTTTTGCAGTTTCTGTTTTTGCTGAAAAATTAATAAAACTACTTAAACTATTGTTTCATCGTGTATTTTCTTCTGTTGTTGTTGTGTAATGCCAGTTGAGAATATTAAGAGTATTTTGTATTTGATTGATATTTATTTTTGTAGGGGTAAGTAGACCATTTGTGACATTCTTCTTTAGGGGTGCATTAAAACAAACAAACAAACAAAAAAATGATCCATTGTGATATTTGAAGTTAGGTGACTGATTCAAAGCAGATGTATAAGGCCCTCTACTGTTAAACAAGTAATATTAGCATCTTGGTGTTCTCTTTTGTGGTGCACTGCTTATTTTGCACAAACAAAGTAACACAAAGGCACAACATAAATATGGGTTTTTGAGGATAAAAAAGCCCAAAAGGATTTACAGTCTGTCTCATTTGATGATGTGAGATGCTGAAAAATTACATCTCAACCATAAAAAATACAGCTGATTAAATTGTTGCTTCTCTCAGGACCATGATTTAAAAATTAACGAAACATCAGACAAGGATTAAAAATTCAACAAAACAATGTTAATAATTATTAAACATAAAAAACTTTTAGGTACTGTTTGTTACTTATTAGGGGGGAGGGGCGGTGGAGTAAGAGGGAGGCATATCAAATAATTTTTTAAGCACTGGGGAAGGACTTATGTTTTTTATTTTGGCTTAAGGGAAGGGAATACAAATTTAAATGGCTGTATTTTGCATTTATTTTACTGCCCATTTTTGAAGGAAATGTGGGCTTGTTTGGAAGGCATGTTTTCTTTAAAGATTTTTCAACATATATATCACAGTCAGAGACTGTAAAAACAGAAATTATTATTGGATTATCAAATTTCCAACGGTCCTTAGACACATCATGTGTGACAAAAGCTTCCTCAGATTAGTTAGTTAGTTAGCCTTTTGCTTTCTATAGATGGTCAAGTTTGATCATCTTCTCCGCGCTCCGCCAGGGCCATAGGGCTGATCCAAGGACCTCACTAAACCATCCAATCGGTAGTAGCGACTGGCGGTGTGTACAAAGGGCAGGGACTTGAAATCAATATGTTTATGACCTACGCTTCCTGGGAATTCCTCGTTCATGGGAAATAATTGCAGTCCCCAGTCCCTATCAGGATAAGGGTTCAGCGGGTTACCCACTACCTTTAAATAGTGATTTCATCAAAATTATTTCATTTTATGTCTCCTTTAAAATTTGGCCAAAAACAAACTATACTAACTAATCAGCATGCACAATAAAAGTGACAAACCTGAGGCCTTTTTTCTGTTGTAACAGATTACTTTGTCTTTACAATGTATTTCTGTATATTTATAGAGTTGTGTGTATTTATAGAGTTGCCATAGGGCTGTTGTAGGTGGACTTCCGCCATTAGGTGTGGCTGTGCTGCTCTGAATAAAGAGAGAAGCAGTGGCTGCTGAACACCTTATCTCGACTCCTGTCCGTTTATTGCTTTATTAGCTGCTCTCATTTAGGCAAACCCAGGACGCTTGGTTACACTGTCTTTAACTTTTCACTTTCAAACATCAAAGGGTAACTTTTAAAAACCTAATAATCAATTTATAAAGCAGAAGAAGGAGGAAAAAAACGAGGTCACACAACAGCTATACCTCTCTTCTGACAAGTTCAGAACAGTCCCTACATGAGATCTGTCTTTTACAGTAATTACGACTGATGGGATTCCCTCAAAAAAAAATCTTGCGCGTGTTGCATTCTTTATGGTAACCAAGAAGGAAATCCCAACATGTGATTGGCTGAGCGGCCAAGTTCTTCCACACTGCGTGAGAGTCTCCTCACAGCCGCTCTGCCGCATCTGTGCCCACACTTAAAGGACAAGCCAGGCGGTCAGACACCGGCACATACACCGCGAAATACAGGAGAAATATGCTTTATAAACAGTAACCTGTCCAACGGAAATAACCTCAGTATTATAATACGTCAGAGCAGGTAAGCCGAGTCGCTATTGCCTTAAAATGGAAAGTGCGTGTGGGTCACCTAACTTCCCATATCTGAGCCAAGAAGTGAGCGGGGGTCTGAATGAATGACAGCACGTAAACCACCAGGCTATCTGTATCGTGTTGGAGTAACGTTAACGTTACTGTTTCCGTTTTATAAACATTGCTATTGTGGGATGTTTTGTCGCTGAACCGTTTGCTGTCGCAGGTGCTCAAATACCGAGACAGTTTGGTCCGTTATAGTATGGAGCTAGCTTCTTAGCTTGTAGCACTTGTTAGCTGCATTTGGTCAGTTGCTGAGATTGCTAAGCTAACATCAGGTTAGCTTTGCTGCATAGCAACCTGCAGTTACAGGTTTCCTGACATGTCCATCTGATGTGTCTGTGTAAACGTTGCTGGTTGTTACATGCGCACACTTTTCCTACACTTCCGACTCCAAACAAGATGAAGATGGAGGCAGAAACATCTAGGGGTAAATGTCACTGTCATTTTATTAGGTGTGCAAAACTGATAAGACTACAAGTTTTACTGCTCCTACTGTGGTTATTGCTACATTTACATAATATGTTAGCATGCAGCACATCAGTATTTTAACCAACTGAATGCCAGGTTTCACATATCTAACATAGCTATAGATGGGCTTTGATATGAATATGGACACTGTTAGTAATTGAGAAACAAGGTGGACAAGTCTCTGTCAGACAGAGAGAGGATACCTGTCAGCAAAGACACACCCAGCTGTGCAACAACTGGGATTAATGTCTGTTTGTCTAATTGAGGAAACTTGATACTCTGTTTACCATAGACCAGTGTTATACTGCAAAATTTGATGATGTGTTAAAGAAGCCTAATCCTCACACCATTGCTCAGTGGACACAAAAAAGTCAAACACAATGGAGTGTATTACTGCCCATCTACAACTAAAATGGCTATTTTTTAAAGGAGGTGTACATCAGTTATTAACTAGCTCAGTCAGGAATTGTGTACTTAATTATTTATTTCAAGTGAAGCCTAATCTCTAGGTGGTTTTGTTTTATAATATGAATTGCCTGTTAATGTGTTCAAATGGCAATTAAGCTAGAAGTTCGTTAAAAGGACTAGATGTTGCAATCCCTCTTGTAGCACCACTTCTAATTCATGGAAGGTTCTTGAAAGATGGCTGCTATGAGGCTTTACCACCAGGACACATTGTCAGTTGTGTACCTCAGCATCAACGGGTGTTTCGGCCATTTAACACAAGACACCCTCCACTGAGGCAGGCCCACCACAGGTTGATCAAGCCTGGGTGTGTGTCCCAGGGTTAGCTGTTTGCCTTAGCGGCCCAGATGGTGTCGTTTCTCTTCAACCACAACCAATGACTCGTCCTCTCAGCGGTGTTGGCCAGCTCTTTAATGGCCTGTCTGTGAGCCTGTCCCCTGACTCCAACCTCCCTAAGGAGCTTTGCTGTTGTACTGGCTACGAAGCCCCTACACCCCACCTCCACCAGGCGCACCTTTACTTTCCAGCCTCTGTCCTCTGCCTCAGCTGCTAAGATGGAGTACCGCAGCTTCTTGCGCTCATACGCTTCTTCCATGGCATCCTCCCAGGGGACTGTCAGTTCAATGATGTAAACAAGCTGGGAGGAATTAGACCAAAGGACAAGGTCTGGTCGCAGAGTGGTCGTCGCGATCTCCGGTGGGAAAATGAGTCTCTGATCCAAGTCGACTCTAAACTGCCAGTCCCTGGCTGCATTCAGTGGGCCCAGATCAGGGGTTGAGGGGTGGGTCCTCAGCTTGACAAGAATTATACTCTGATCCTGGTAAAAATTAGCCTCTAAGACCACAGAAAGTTGAAAGTATGTGGTTGTGCTTGTTAGACTAACAGATGATGCGTTGTGTATATACCAGAGTGCTGTCTCCTCGTTGTTAACTAATTTCCTGTATGAAACCCTTTGTTATTAAATTATGCCTGCTTCAGTCAATACAGACATTGTTTGCACACATTATTTCCATATTAAGAAGACCTCCAGACACAGTAATGCAAGACTTAATAGTCTGGCTAGATTGTGTCCTGCTGGCTTGAAGTGAAAATTTACTAGTCATACTGGATGTGACACATTAAATGTCTGATTTCAGCTGACGTTGAATTGTACAACTCTAAGTGGTGACCATGAAGCCTACAGTTTATCCACACAGGCGAGGTACTTGTGAGTACTTAGATTAGTCAATTTCCTGCCTTGGCTAGATGCTTTATCGTGTGGAGATATCAGCACAAGCTAAGAATAACCAGTTCACTATATATTGATTGAGATAATAGAAATGTAATTACATAATTCTAGATAGGTTGGTTCAATGCTTTTATTAGCTATGCAAACATTTGCAGTTACAAACAGTCCAGACCAGTTCCTGGCTGTGGACAGTGTCCAAGGAGTGTATTCACACTAGTTGTTCCAACACTGATACAAAGCTGGCTCGTTACTGTTTCTGTGGCAGAGTTTTTGTGACTTGGCAGACACGAAAAGTATCAAACAAGCAGCTCCCACGCTGATTAAGTCACCTCTTGAGGTGTTCAAGCTTTATGTGTTTTTTTTATGTGGGAAAGATAACTGAGATGAAGACACTAGGAATTATTCTTGTTCAGTGTACAACACAAAGACTGGACTTCTCTGAGGCTGCATGGAGGCTGAACATCTAATCAACAGAGAATCAAAATCTCTCATGATTGTTGGTGCTGCTTATTTTGGCCCTGGCTTTGATGCCGCTTTCTAGGCAGTGTTTCCTGGAAGTGTTGTAAGCCAAGGCTTGGCCAGCTGGCTGTGCTCGTAATTTCTTCCATCAGATATTGTGGTCAAAGCAAGGGGCACATGATCAGATCACAGTGCTGCCTCTGATTCTGTTCTTTCTCAAGCACGGCCTAATGGAAAATCGCACCCATTACGAGACATTTTTAAGGTCAGTGGTAATTTGTAAACTGCCTTGCTTGCTTCAGTACAGTGTGATCAAGCACAGGGGTTGGCATAAAAGATAACTGTTGCAGGCACTGTTTGATGTTGCACATGAGTAGCATCCTGTTTGAACACTTTGGTGTTTTTATCTTATCTCCATTTGTATGATCTTGTGGTTTTGTGTGGGTGATTATTACCATGATAACATGGGTGAATAATCAGGAGTAGTGTGGTGAGACAGCACAGATGAGCGCTGTTTGTCACATTAACTGGCCTTTGGTGTGTTCTTGTGCCACCTGAGCTCAGCTGCATGTTGTTCTAGGCCATAATCGGTGAAGGTAGCCCAGATTTCAAGCCATTTTTTTCAGTCTAAAGGTTTTCAGCAGTATTTTATTACAGGAAAGATAGTCTTCTCTGAAAATTAGGCAGTCTATGGAGTAGACAGACAGAAATACTTCTGAAATTGGTGCTATATGACCAGAGAAAACAAAGGAAAAGGGCTGTGGCATTGCTGTTGCTCCAGAGGTAGAAAATTTACAGCTGTCAGAAAGCACTGCATCACACCGGATCAATAAACGCTCCCGCTGGTGATGTAATGCAATCTTGGCCGTTTTGACACAGGAAACAGAATGGCATCCAGGGGGTTACATATGATCTTGAATTGCAACTAAACAGTTAGCTAAAATATGTTTCTGAGAACAGCTTAAGCAAGAAACAGGCAATGCAGTTACAGAATCTTGGTCCATGTTTTTTCAGTGCTGCCTAGTTTTCCTGTTTGATCTCAGTATTGTCAGTCTCCATTCTGACAATACAGAAAACAGCAGGGCGACTGCTTCCTGTTTGCAAACTCTCATATTACACCAAAACAGTGCACTAAAATATGTTTCTGAAGACATTTTAGGCAAGAAATAGGCAATCAAGTGACAGAATCTTGGTTTATATTTGATCAGCGCTGCCTAGTTTTACAGTTTGGTGTGTGTTTGTGAGCAATAGAGAGGGGCAGGTCTCTCTCTCGATCCGTTTCTGTACTCTGTGTCTGTGGTGGTGGGCATATAACTCTAGAGCTTAGAAAATTTAAGATGAGAGATGAACAGGAAGATCTGGCGGCTGATAAAATAAAGGGAAGTTTACCATAGATAATTTACACACACAGCTTTCATCGTGATGATACAAAGTTGGTTGAAAATTGGCAAAGCATCCCTTTAATTAGAATAAAGTCTTTTTTTAAAAGCTGACTTAATGTCCTCATGTATCTTGTATTTCAAAGCATAACTTTGTTTAGCGATCTGCTTGTCTGGGTCACCAAACTACAAGGAACTAAAATAGAAACTGCATGTGATAATGATAACGTTGCTGTTCCCTACATAACTTGCTTAGAAGGTCAGTTTCACTTCCTCTGGGTCAGGTCTTGACATTAAGGGAAGGCCAAAGGGAATTTGGGCTGGATAATGAAATGAATTCAAACCAGAGCCAGAGTAGAAATGAGTGTGTAACAGTTTGATTGAGAAATTATTCTGGCTACATTTCCTTTGTGGTCTGGTTTGCTCTCTTAAAGGTCTTTCAGTACATTGGCTCTGCACGTTTGATGGGAAGGCAGCATTTACTTCCTGGTTACATAGAGCAGGGATGACCTTTTGCTGAAATAATTATCATGAATGGGAAAGCTGCTTTTACTTGTCTATAGCTTACAAAGGTATAACAGAGTAGCTTTCACTGACTTCTTTCTGTACCCACCACAACACAGGACAACACAATATCGCGGCCAATCACAGGTCACATGCATGACATAGCTCTCACAATGATGATACTATTCAAGGCCTTTAACAGCAGCTGGCACTGTGTAGGGGCCCTCGAGTAAAGAAAGTATGCAGTGGAGGTTGTTGGTGTGGCATCATTTTAGGATATTCTGCCATCAGGTACAGTTTTGTATATTTATTTATGAGCTTTTTTAAATCTCCTTCACTCCCAAAATAGGATAAATCAGTTATTCCTTCAGGTATGCTCTGTAGATATCACATATGACTTGTGTGAGTGTTATTCGGAGTCTTGTCTCCAACATGTGATGCACGTTATCTGCCTTTATTCCCATCTTTCTGATCTGTTACCACATCACCACGATTTACTTGTTCTTCATTTGGAGCTCACTGTGGAGGATTATGACAATCTTTCAAAGCTTTGTTTCTCAGAAGCACTAAATCACATCAGTCCACATCCAGATTAATGACTTGCCGTTGTAGTCAGCAGTTGTAATCCTTGAGTGTGGGATTGTCCACACACACCAAGTGCATTCGAAGGCTTCTGTGATTAAGTGTGTGTGTGTCAGCAGGTCAACAGTCTTTGCTGCTGATAGCTTAATGTCACACCAAGGTGTGATAAGGGTCTAATGATGTCATGTTCAAAGGTTGTGGCAGAGGTTCACGTCCTGACTGTCAGAAACAAGAATGGCTCAACCTTTAAGTGATAAATATGAACCTGTTGACACTGAAGAATTGTTTCACATGTGTTTGCACCATAAACATTCAAAATTATGCATGAATTTTTCCAGTTTATTCAATGTTCCAAAACAGCTATGGCCAAATTTTTAATCAATTGTAAATCTCCCAAGCAGGAAGATGAAGATGGAAATAGATGTTGCAGCAAAGCAGTAGGTTATTTGTTAACTTTGTTTCTCTTTCCTGCCTCACCAGCTTTCCACCAGTGGACCTTCCAGACCAGTGACTGTTAGCCATGTTGTCCAGGTTGAGGACGACCTGGTCCTTGAGGCCGTGCGCCTCTGTTTGCAGATGGGCACACACCAAAGAGAAGGGCAAACCTCTGATGCTCAACCCTCGCACCAACAAAGTGAGTGGATCGCTGAAATCATGTCCATGTGTCAGCGTTTAAAAAGACATAGTGGCTAAACAGATGGCAGCTTTATTAACACGTCTCGCTGCATGTCAGCTCATTTGTCCTGGATTTGTGCCAAATATGCCACGTTATAAAGTAGGCTAATTGGCTTTGAGTGTGGAAAATAATTGCAGTGCATGACAGAATATCATGATATTCTTTGGTTACGATAAATAAATGAATACCAAGAAATGTACTCTACGTAAATCATAACAGGAACACAATATAAAATGATGTCTATTTAAAAACTGTCTGCTTTTCCTTTTCCTCATACCCCTTGAGGCCCCATATTCAGGTCTCTTTTTTATCCTTCCAATCCTCCGACACACACACGTCAATATCTCTGTAAAGCCTGGATAAGAACAGCAGAGATCTGCGTTGTAGTGTGAAGGTCAGGATTCCACTTGAAGGTTCTGACATGGTTGACAGACCATGTCTTTTATGGGACTACTATTTCTATACCATTAATGAACACAAAGCACAGTTACACAGAACAGTGTGAACTGTTGGTAGTCCAGAGCTGCATCAGTTAATCTTATCCCTAAACCAGTGATTGCTTCTACTGAAAAACTAGAAAAAAAAACTCGGCTATTGGCTGCTGTTAATTTTCCCCTGCTGGTTAATATGGTCTACCTTGGATGGGATGGTTTGCAGGTATTTAGGAATTTAATTTATCATGTAGTTTTAATCCAGGGGTGGGGGTGGGGGGGCTAGAACCTATCCCAGCTGACATTGGGCGAGAGGCGGGGTACATCCTGGACAGGTCACCAGACTATTGCCGGGCTAACACATAGAGCCATTCACACCTACAGACAATTTACCAATCACCAATAGTCCTAGTCACCAATTAACCTATCCCCAACCTGCATGTCTTTGGACTGTGCCCAGACTGTTCTGGGCAGGAGTGCCCAGAACATGCAAACTTTGCACAGAAGGGCTCCCTCCTGGGATCGTACCAGGAACCCTCTTGCTGTGAGGCGACAGTGCTAACCACCAAACCATTGTGCCACCCGTGAATAAAAATGAAAACATATATTCCTGTTTTTTATAGCTTCCTAACCAATGACATAGTTTTTGACATAAACATGATTTATTTGGTGGTGGATGGTGCAGTGGTTAGCATTGTTGCCTCACAGCAAGAGGGTCCCTTGTTCGAACCCTTGGGTGGGGGAGCCCTTCTGTGCAGAGTTTGCAAGTTCTCCCCATGTCAGCATGGGTTTTCTCTGGGTACTCCGGCTTCCTCCCACAGTCCAAAGACATGCAGGTTAATTGGTGACTCTAAATTGTCCGTAGGTGTGAATGTGAGCGTGAATGGTTGTCTGTCTCTATGTGTCAGCGCTGTGATGTCTGGTGTCCTGTCCAGGGTGTACCCTGCCTCTTGCCCAATGTCAGCTGGGATAGGCTCCAGCCCCCGCGACCCCCAACAGGATAAGCAGTTATGGAAAATGAATGAATGAATAACAAATTCTAACATAATCTGCACACTAAAGCTCAGATGACATCACTGGCATTTTGTGTGCATCAAGAGGATTTGTAATTGAACAGTAGCTGGTCAGAAAGCTGAAAAGCATCGGTTGAATTTCTCGAGTCTGTTGGACTTGATGTTGGGTGTGGTGAGAAATGTCTGTTTATTTCATTCTGCTCTTCATTTTTCTTTTCACTGCCTTTTACATTATGTGTTATTCAGTAAGGGCTTTAAGCCGCCTTTTGTTTATCAGGTGCTATACAAATAAACTTGCCTTGCCTTGTTTTGCACGTGAAAGCACACCCAACAGTGGTGTCACCTCTGCATTCCTGATGCAAGGTGGGGACTTCGGGTGACAACACAAAACAAAAAAACACAATATTTCATCTGGTGTTAGTTGCTCTGTGTATTTAATACCCAGTACAGATTGGTATCACTTTGTCTGGTGTCTTGCATTCAACAATGTTTGGCTTCTAGGAGTCTCTTCTCAGGTTTTTCCGACTTCTGAAGGCTACGAATGGCATTTGAAACACGAGGCTGTAGCTGGTTGAGGCGATAGAATCTAACTCTGTGCAGGTTACGCTAAACTTAGCCTGGACCACACACGTGCTAAATATAGACTTTCCAGCAGACATAAACTGATCACAGGCTCGCTGGCTGACAGTCCTGGGTATACTGTACACACAGCAGCTACACATCACATTGAACTTCTGGCCCAATTCTTCATTGTGTTTATTTCATCTATGTGAGTCTAATTTAAAAACTCATTCACTGATCAAAACCAACTCAAGTGTGAAAAAGCTTTGAGGAGAAGGCCACAGGCTTCTTAATACTCTCCTGCTGTGTGTGAGCAGTGTTGCTGTCTGGTCGTGATCTCTACTGGATGAAAGTTGAACTCTTCCTCAAGCATTAAAAGTCACTGCGTTCATTGTGTATGAATCAAGCATGCCGGTTACTCATAGGAAGTCTGCATTTGCCAGAGCAGATTTGATTTACATCAGACTGAATCGTCATGACTCATCACATTTCAACAGTAAAGGTCATTGGGTTGCAGAAAAAAAATGTTGATTACATTACACTGTTAGCAAGATTAAATCAAATGATTAAAATATGTTTTGTAAGACGATGCTACATGTGCTTAAAGGACTGTGATCCCCCATTCCTCTACCCCACTTGATGTTTTAGTTATATAATACAAATTTTCAACATGTAGACGAGGAGAAGATTCCTGTAGGTAAAATTTGTAAGCAGGATAGATGATGATTTGAAGGATTTTCATAAACACTTAAACAATTAAAAAACTTAAACCAAATCCTGTCCAATGTACAATTAGCAATTTTGAGATAAAGTTTTGAAAAGGCGTGTAACTTTTCAAAACCATGTCAATTTTATGTGATTTTGTTTCAATTCACTTTTAACAGACAATCATAGGATATGCAGATAACTATATTTAAGAAATGCATATACCAACAGTACAAACACGGATACATATGCAGTATTTGTTTTTTATCTTAGTGTTTTTAAACCCTTGTTGTCATACTGGTATACCACACACCGTGTTCTGAGAGAAACAGCATATTGTTCCTCTCCATTACATGTACAAGTTGCAAGATTAACAATAAAGTTGACTTTAAATTTGAAATATCAGCTTTTCAGGAAATAAATTACTTTACATTTTATAGATTAGGCAACTTTTTTCAGCCCTGTTTGTAATCTTCAGTGCATTCAAAATACACACTGAACAGCAGAGACGTTTAAATGTTCAATTCTCGGAAGAAAGCGAAAAAGTAGTTATCAGAGGTTTGCAGCATGTTGCGTTATGTTGAGAGGAACCGAGTGGTATAGCTGAGTGAAGTGAAACGCACCATCAGCATGACTCAGCATTTTGCCAGGGGAGCCCCCGGCATTCATCACTCTCACAGAGTAATGAGCCCCTTCCCCAGCCCCAGACGTTATGGCTTCAGTGTGCTGTGCCCGTATTTCATTCAGAGACGGGCTAATAAACCTACATACACACACGCACACTTATGTACACAGTACACTCCAGAATGTGAAAACACTTTGTACCCCTCCTCCCCCATCCTCCCTTCTATACATGGGGTGTTTCTGCCAAGAGTCCTCCCTATTGGTTTCTTCGACGCTACTCCCCTCTCTTACCTCTTTTCCTTCCTTTCCCCATCTGCAAAATTGCTTTCATGTGTCTCCCCCCTTTCACTTAGAGTCAAAAGGTCAGCCTGGTCTAAGGGTTCATAGATAGTGCAGTGCGCCCTCTGGTGACAGAACTGCATCATAGTACGTGAACATTTCCTGCTGCAAGGGTTCTGAAAATTGGTTCAGTGATTATTTTTTTATTGGTATGAGAGATGATTAACTGATTTTAGATGTGTAACTTAAAGTTGAAACTGTTAGTGTGAAAACAACAACCAGACAGACCCTCTTTACATATTTGCACAACCACAGCACACTATTTTAAAACAATGGCACCTGTAGAACTCAAAAGTTAACCTGTCTTAAAAGTATTTTTTTAACAATAAATAGTTGACACAGCGTAGATGCCTACATTCTTTCTGTCTCACCACTCACTCCTCTCTCTTCCTGTGTGTTTCTCCGCAGGGCATGGCCTTCACTCTGCAGGAGCGACAGATTTTAGGGTTACATGGTCTGTTGCCTCCTAAAGTGGAGACTCAGGACATTCAGGCCATGCGCTTTCAGAATAATCTCAAGAAGATGACTGATCCCCTGGAGAAGTAAGGACATATTTTGCTTAAAAAGCAGTCATAGTCACAGTATGATCTTCTCTGTTCTCTCTTCCCTAATTTTCCTCCTTTTCCATACAGGTACATCTACCTGATGGGCATCCAGGAAAGGAATGAGAGGCTTTTTTACAGGTTGTTGATGGACGACATCGAGGAGCTGATGCCCATTGTTTATACTCCCACTGTAGGCCTGGCCTGCACACAGTATGGACACATCTTTAGAAGACCTAAGTAAGCATGTAGTAAAGCAGGAATTAATATTTAAAACAGAGAAGAAACTTAGGTCTGATGTGTACAAAATTTGGCCTCCTATTCAGGAATTCCATTAAAGTGATAACTGGAAATATTTAAAGGATTTTTTCTGGATAAACTATAGGCTTTGGCTGGCGCTGTTGACATTTTCTTACAGTGGTGATTGGGTGTTAAATTTGTGTCAATAACCTTGACTAAAATAATGTTAAGAATGTTATTGTGGTGGAGATATGCTTTATCTCTCTATTTTGTTGTGGAGAGAATCTTATCATGTTCGTTTCAAGGGTAACGTTGGTATTTCTCAACGTAGACCCTACTTTTCCATGTTTCTGTGTCTGTTATATCATCATAGAATGGAAGTGAATATATATCTTTATTGTCCAACATAGGTGGAACTTTGTCTTCTGCTCTCCAAACATAAAAGACAACATTATATAAAGCAGACAAATATTCAGTAAGACAGGCATGTAAAGTGTTTACAGAACACTTAAACACATTAAATCAGCTCATTGTCTGTCTGTGGTTTAAAACTCGTCACTCAGTCACTTTGCTGAGTTAAGGATACTGATGGCACTTTGGATGAAGGACTTCTTGAATACATTTTTAGGTGCTAGAGACTCTAAAGTGCCTCCCGGAGCTCAAGTGCTCAAACTGGCTAAAGAGAAAATGGGAGCTATCTGCCAAGATACTCCTCGCTTTCCTCCACGTCCTCTCTGTAAAGAGCTTGGGTCAAGGGCTTTTGTGGCTTGCCAACTATTTTACTTGCCATACAATCCTTGAGAGTTTATTCTTGGATGTACAGTTAAGGTGACTGAACCATACAGGAAGATGAAAAGTTAAAACACTCTCAACCCTAGTTTTGTACAATTATTCTAAACTCTGCTGACTAACACCAAGGCCACTGAGTAAAACACGTTCTCAAAAACTATCTTGGTTCCATTATTTTAACAATCACCATCTCTGGTTTGGGTTAAATAAACCTTTAATTGAAGTACATGCTAAAATTACTGTTTATATAAATGGAGTCTGGTAACTTTGGGCACTTTTATGGTTAAACTAAAAGGTTCTTACTCTTTAACAGAAAGGACTGTCTCTGTATGGTCCTTTCCATAAAACAATTTGAGCCCAGCAGTGGCAAAAACAAGCACTTTTAGTGGCCTTAAACTGACTGAGTGGTTACAGCTTCTCAACGCTGGACCAATTTTCAAAACCGTTGTTCCCATCAGTCACTCATACACAAAAACGTGCGAAAATAGGGTCCAGGTAGAAAAATACTCAACTTACCCTTCAAGCACTCAACTGTCATCTTGTTTCTCCCACCAGGGGCTTGTTCATCTCCATCTTGGACAGAGGACACATCCGCTCCATCCTGGATAACTGGCCAGAAACTAATGTTGCAGTAAGTACCTGAACACCTCTTCAAATAATATCAGTGTAATAGAGTCTACGAGGGCAGTTCATCCCTCTCCACACCACAACCTAAGGATTGTTAGATATCAACTGTGACATCCTGGCTGTATAACTATGAATGGATTAGAGCTATAAATATCACAGTAAGTCAAAGGAGGTCTTGTTAATTGATCCATTACTGTCCACATTTTCTTTATTTGCCTGGCCAAGGTCCAGTTAAGTGTTGGTCAGAGTTGTGGGCCTGCGAAGTGTTAATCTGCGATTTTGCTGACTTATGTATTCCTCTTCCACCTCCTCTCTTTCTCTTCCTGTAGGCCGTAGTAGTGACTGACGGAGAGCGTATTTTAGGCTTAGGAGACCTGGGTGTTTATGGAATGGGCATCCCTGTCGGAAAGCTTTGCCTGTACACTGCCTGCGCCGGTATTAGACCTGAGAAATGTCTGCCTGTGGCGATAGATGTCGGCACGAACAATGAGGTAGGAAGGTTACGTGTGTGTTATTTTGTCTACTGTATGCGTGCACATCCGACATCCTTCATATGTTTGTCCTTCCTTGCCCTCCAATCAGACTCTCCTCAAGGATCCGATGTACATGGGCCTGTACCAGAAGCGAGATCGCTCTCAAGCCTACGATGATCTGATTGATGAGTTCATGGAAGCTGTGGTGGACAAATACGGGCAGGACACGCTAATCCAGTTTGAGGACTTTGGAAATCACAACGCCTTCCGCTTCCTCAGGAAGTACAGGGAGAAGTACTGCACCTTCAACGATGATATCCAAGGTTCTTATATAACCCTCCACACAACACATAGAAGTAGTAATCATAATGCCATTACGTTTACCTATTCAGTTAAAGTCATCAGTTTAATTAGGTTTAGTACAGTTTGGTTGGTGTTTTTTTGGATCAGTTTTCTACCCTCCAGCCAAACTGTTGGTTTCTTTCCATTTTAGCATTTAAAAAACGCAGAAACCTGCAATTTGCTTCAGTGAAATAATCCATTACAAGGAACACATATGACCTTTAAGTCACATTACAGCTGCAAGGTGCTGCAAACAGGGAATCTGTGGTGAGTTCAAGGAACCACTGACAGCTTAGAAATAGGTGCTAAACACAAAGCATTAAAGAGCTATGCTGTCTGAAAATCAAATCAAGAAGGCTGAACAACAAGCACAAGAAACTTTAAAAAATCATGAAGTGAACCCCTCTACCTTAAGACAAATAGTGATTAATCATTACTCTTAAAGGCACAAACTTCCTTGTTTACTGTTGTGTTCTTCTGCATGTTTCCAGGCACTGCGTCTGTGGCCCTTGCTGGTCTGTTAGCAGCTCAGAGAGCCATTGGCAAACCCATCACTGAACACCGGGTGCTTTTCCTGGGAGCTGGAGAGGTAAGACAGTATTTATCAATTGATCAGTTTGAGTTATCTTGGTTTTACTTTGTTTATTTTGCCTCTTTCTCTTTTTCTGTGTGCAATTTGTAATGTCAAAGTCCCCAATATCAAGTAATTTGTAAAGGCCATACTGCCCCCTGCTGGCCAGAGCTGGTAATACAGTACAAAAAAAAAAGTCCAACATTGCTTAAGAACTTAAAATAATCAAAACCGTGCCCAACATTGACCAGAATCTTTCTGGTGGGGGGAAGTGGATTTGCTTAGTTATTCTCTTAATAGAAAATAAGGTTTAAAGTTGGATTAAACACACACTGTCTAAGTGCTTTGAATGTTTAACTTGATGCGGTTATTTCCTCCATAGGCTGCCCTCGGTATTGCCAATCTGATTGTCATGGCAATGATGGAGAGTGGGATGACCCAAGCTGAGGCCAGAGAAAAGATCTGGATGTATGATAAATTTGGCTTACTTGTAAAGGTCAGTGTGTGTGTGTGTGTGTGTGTGTGTGTGTGTGTGACACAGACATCAAAAACCAGAACATACATTAAATGTCTGTGTAGCTTCCTGTCTGGCCCACTGTTGATACACTGCATCATTGGTGAGGAGAGGTTTTACTATATTTATACTGATTTACTGTTGCCACCAATGTGCTTTCTGTGACTCCAGGACAGACCGCAGGAAATAGACAGTAACCAGGAGGCATTTGTTCATGACAGTCCGGGGGATGTACAGAGCTTCCTAGATGCAGTCAACACCATCAAACCCACAGCTATCATTGGTAAGGACCTCTTCTTTTTCTGTGTTTGTGTAACTGTAAAGCCTCACAGTATAGTTTGGACTGTGCATTTTTAAGTTAGAGCCATTAATCGAAAACACAGAATCTGAATAAAATAATTAATACGGTCTTGTTTGTAATGCCGTTGACTTATTTAATTTTATCCGAGCAGGAGCTGGATCAGGTCAATTGAATATCTACGCTTTATATTTAGGCCATTTATTATTTATCTGCTCATTAAATCATCCTGTCAGGGCTCAGTGTGCTGTGATTGTGGACTCTGCTTGTGCGATAATGATAGATCTCTTTCTCTCTCTTTCTTCCAGGTGTGTCAGGAGCTGGACGTCTGTTCACCCACGATGTCATCAAGGCCATGGGAACCCTAAACAAACGACCAATCATCTTCGCCCTTAGTAACCCGACCACGAAAGCAGAGTGTACAGCAGAGGATGCCTACACACTCACCGATGTACGCAGTTATTTATTTAGTTTTTACAGAAGGCCATTGCAGACCAAGTCCTAATCCTTCATCTAAAAAAATGCATATTAAAAATACGGATTTAGTGTGCAAAGGCCTTCAATCTGAAATTAGACATTAGAGGTATACTATGCAGGACTTTCCTAAAAAGCAGTATAGAGTCATACAGATGTAATCCCTCCTAATCATCTCTTATGACCCACTATAAGTGTGTGTATTATTCTGCAGATGTTCCTAGGCGCAATGCTCAGGTGAGGTCAGGACTTAATGAAAAGATAGCAAGCAGGTGCCAGTCCCTAAGCAATAGGCATTCAAGAGGTCAAAGCTCCATCGAGTGAATCTGAGATTGGCTTTACCTTTCGCTGGCAATACTGTTTACAAACACTAACCAACAATTCCTGCTTAGAGTTCCTGTGCTGTCAAATCACTCTTCCTGTTATTGTCCTTTTCTTTCCATCATCGCTCTTTTACGCTTCGTTTCTTTGTCCCACAGGGTAGATGTCTTTTTGCCAGTGGCAGTCCATTCGGTCCTGTGACTCTGAAAGATGGCCGCGTCATCATTCCTGGACAGGGGAACAACGCTTACATCTTTCCAGGTTACAGAAAAAAGAAAATGAATATTCATAATTCATACTTCATATTAATAACTACTACTCATATTTGTATAGATTTCCTGGACATAAATAATGAGTATTTGCACAATATTTGCACCGTTTAGAATAATCATTGGATGTCTATTTAAAACATGCTGTATGTGCATTGCAGGCGTGGCCTTGGCTGTGATCCTGAGTGGAGTGAGACACATCAGTGACACAGTGTTATTAGAGGCTGCTAAGGTCTGAATCATCACATATTTCACAATTTTTTATAAGTCCATCTCTTCTTTGAACTTTAAACTAAAGTTCATCTTTACCTTTCCCCCGCCCTGTCCTGTGCTTTCTTGCTGACTTTGTCATATATGCATACGCTTAATATGGTTGTAGAAACTCTCTTTAACTCTTTGATGTCTCCTGTTTCCTCTCTGTCTAGACTAGCACCTAACAGAGGAGGAGTTTTTAAAAGGCTGATCCTGCTTTGCTCTTTTTCATCTGTGTTCTTCCCTCTTTTGCTGGCCTGCATTTGACTTGATAGCATTGATCAATGCTAATGACAGTAATCGCAAAATGATTTATTGCTTTCACCATCTGTACAACATTAAAAAGTTTTGCATGAAGTTGGAACGTGCAGGTCGGTAATATGAGTAGTAGTTTAGTCATTTCTGTCCCTTGACATAACACTTCTTATATTGTCTTATTCAAACACACATATTATATTTATGACTTCACACTTGTGTTGCTGGCAAATAATAGTAGTAGTTTTTATATCTCTGTGTTCTTGGACACCAGAAATTCATCTTCAGCCTAAAAGTATTTTTATACTCCTTCCAGACACTTGCAGAGCAGCTGACAGATAAAGAGCTGGAAGACGGCAGACTCTATCCTCCTCTCTCCAACATCAGAGAGGTCTCCGTCCAGATGGCTGTCAAGGCAAGTCTCCTGAAAATGACAGTTCTATTGCTAACAAAACTAAAGCCCCCAAACTAGTTTGTATGAACATTTCGGCTATTGATAAACCTGTTAGTGTCAGTCCAAACCTTAAAGGGATAGTTCAGACTGTACGTAACTGACCAAATGTTGCGGGAACCACAATGAAATATGAGTGTGAAGCAATGATGTGTCATCAAAATGTCAGCCTCTCCCCCACCCATTCTCCACAGCAGTACATTGCTTAACTTCTGTTTTTGGTACTCCTGTCTGCTTCTCCAAACTGGGGCCGACATCTGTTTTATACAACAGATAGTCATACAACCCCACTTCAAAAGATCTGAACTATCCCTAAATTTAGCCTCTTCTGTCATCAGCTGATTTTTATTTATGACCCTGTTCCACCAAAACCTGACAAGTAACATTAGGTTGCTGTTTAGTTTAGTTTAGTTTAGTTGTTTTAGTTTAGTTTAGTTTAGTTAAGTTTAATTTTTTTAGTTATTTTAGTTCAGTTTAGTTTAGTTGTTTTAGTTGTTGTAGTTTAGTTGTTTTAGTTTAGTTTAGCTTAGTCTAGTTTTGTTTAGTTAAGTTGTTTTAGTTCAGCTTAGTTTAGTTCAGTTTAGTTTAATTTAGTTGTTTTAGTTGTTGTAGTTTAGTTGAGCTTAGTTTAGTTTAGCTTAGTTACGTTGTTTTAGTTAAGCTTAGCTTAGTTTAGTTTAGCTTAATTGAGTGTAGATTGGTTTAGTTACGTTTAGTTCTTTTAGTTGAGTTTTAGTTTAGTTTAGTTTAGTTGTCTAAGTTAAGTTTAGTTTAGTTGTTTTAGTTTAATTTAGTTTAGTTTAGTGTAGCTGTTTAGTTTAGTTTAGTTTAGTTTAGTTTAGTTTAATTAAGAAGGGACAGTGCAAATTAATAAATACACATGGTACAAAAATGCCAGAATTAGCCAAGGGCTATAGTCTTTTGGCCAAGATGTTACACGAAGCTACCTTAAAAAACAACAAAGCACAAAGAAACAAAACAAAAAACAAACAGCCAATCACTTGGTAATATGGCTTTACCACATTTCCTATTATAATACTGGGCATGTAACCTGAGAGCTTTGGCATACTGGCTCCAAACCTACACCAATCATGGTACCCCAGCCTGGGTGCAGATGGAGGCAGATGCCTGTGCACCAACATCCCAGCTGGCCTCGTTGTACTCTGTAGTGCCTATCAAGCCACACTACACTTACATTGCACCTTTACAACATTTTGGCTAGCAGGTTGGTTCGCTCTGTGCCCTGATTGCGGCAAATTATCAGGCCAAAATCAGTGTTTAAGTCAATCCTACAGAACCCCTGGTTTTCTATGAGCCTCTCAATATTCATCAATGCTAATCTTTCCCTGTCTTGCTGTAGGTGGTGGAGTATGTCTATGCTAAAGGCATGGCGTTTCGCTACCCTGAGCCTGTGGACAAGGAGGGCTTTGTACGCGCTACTGTGTGGGACACCAGCTACGACTCCTTCATGCCAGATACCTACGACTGGCCAGGTGTCAGCTTCAGCCCCAAGACTAAATAGAAGTAGACCACACCCTCTCAGTGCTCTTTGTTTTCCACTTAACTCACAGATCACAGGTATTTTGAGACGATCATAATTATGTTAGTGCAAACATTAGCTTATGAAAACAGGCAGCAGAGGTCTCTTACTGCTGCTACATACGTTTGCACAAACCCAGTCATATTGGATCTGTGAAAAGGCAGATTGGAAAGTGGCATTTGAATGATAACAGCCATTTTCACAGTTCTTTATCACCTCTGCATCACATGTAAACCTGCGCAGCACCTGGAGGGCCACCTGGTGGTGGGAAAAGGCAGTGTGGAAATCTGGTTTCATTGTTGAAACCTTGAGATATATTTTAATTATTATCGATTATATTATATCTATCATTATCTATCATCAAGGTTGCATCAGTAAATTTAAGCACTCTATAAATTAGACTATGGTGAATAGTAAACCCAACACTGAACACTGTGCCTCTGCTCGAGGTTGAGACTGGTTTTTACAAGATACTGTACTAGAAATGACTCTATGATGTCAACCTTTTGTTAGGAAATGCAGCATACTATTATCTTTTTGCAACCTGTTTTAAAAGGTAGTCACTCCTCATTTATTGTAACAGTTGTTTGTTGTGTACACTCCTGATGCAGAGGTTAGTCTTTAGTTAGCACTTAATAATATTCTGACTGTATGTAGCTACATAGAGATTACAGAACATAACGCACATTCATTAACATGAAGTACGGACATTGCCTTTTCTCACATCAGGTGGGCCTCTGGTGGCTTCACTGATCTAACCAATGCCTGGTGTAAGACATAAGGTTTAAGAACCTTTTTAAACTATGCTTAAATCAGGCCACATTATCAGAGTCCTAGTAGAGCAGAGGGTTAAAGCACTTGTCCTTTGTGAGCAAACTAAGAGACAAAGAGAGGACAGGATGTTACTCGAGAGAAATGGAGAGAATATATAAAGAGAGACCTCAGAAAACAGTGTGATTTTATGAAGGGAAAGTTATATCTAAAAACACAAGAAGTGAACGTCCACTCAAACATTGTATTTGTTCACATGCTTTTGTCACATTGTATTTATTTCTTTGAATTTATTTAATTTTATTAGGGTGTATTAAGATGTTTTGTCCTTTGGCTTTGTGAGAAAACCTGTTATCAACACTCCTTTAATGAGTTGTGGTAAAATTAATCCATCCCTAAAAATGAACCCTTTTGCTTAACTGTGATTTTAAAAAAAAGCTGAATATAAAATGTAACCTAAATATTTAAGAAAACTATGCGCAGTATCAAATGATTATTTTCTATTTGGATTATATTTTGTGTACTGTACATAGGCTTTTGTGGAAACTGAGACTGTCTATGGAAAGAGTGTTTATAAAGTTGTGTCAAGTACATCCACGTGTGTTTCGGCAGGTTGGTGTGTGGGTTTTACTCCTGGGAACAGACTTCCAGGCTACGCTCTTACAGTTCTGGTCTGATATGATCATTAACAATAATTTATAACACAGACACAGTCACGTTGGCTCAGATTAACACAAGCTAGAGAGATGGCAACTCTGCCTTTGGCAAGTTTATATGTACTGCATCTTTCAACAGAGATATTCAAAATGCTGTACATAAGACATTAAAAGCATAAAGAAAAACAAGCCAGTATAAAAAGACACATCAGAAAGATTAGCAGAGTAAAATAAAGTAGAAGATACAAAAGAGACAGATTATAGTGCAGTGCAAAATTTGAATAAATAGTACTTCAGTGCTTCCCAACCTTTTTCCTTAAGGGGCCCTTTTCTATCACTAAGTAAACTGGCAACCCCTGACTAAGTGAGATATTGAACTAATAAATAACCCAAATATTGATGCAATAACTGCAGGAAGTTTATGTAAAACCAGCAATTTGAATGAATTTTAAGATTATTTCCTGTGAATATTGCATCAGAGATGAGTTTCCCAGAATTTTTTAACAATCATAACATACCCTAAAACTTCAATTAAAAGTCTAGTCTCAATTAAACACCCAGTCCCTTTTACTAGCCTGCTGTGGCTACACATTTTGACAAATGTAAGCCTGTCTCAAATAGAGCCCTGGTCTGGTTGCGAAGCAGTTCATTTTTTTAATAGAAGTTCTTCAGATGTATAAAAGCAGGTTGTTGGCGAGCTCAAATTATGTGTCCATTCCTCGATTACCCTGTAAGTTTAGTCCATAAGGGTCCCCAGATCAAAAGAATCAAAAGGGTTTTTCATAGAAATGAACAGAATTACAGGCCTGTTCCAAAAAAGACATCTGTCCCAAATATAGGCCTGTTGATTTCAGTGATTTAAGCAAACAATAGCCCGGGCTATTAATTCAAGTTTTAATGGTACTTACCAGGCTTCTTTTTTGACAAATTCTGTGTTTTCTTCTCCCTGGCGCTTTGCCATGTTCTATTAGCTTTTTGGTTGTTTCAGCTGTGTAGTTTTCTAATACAGGACAAGGCTGTTTAGCAGAGAGTGAAGGCTCTGTGAATATAGCTTGTGTTCAGGTCTTCATCGTGCCCTTATCCTTTATATCTTGAAGAATGATCTTGACTTCAAAAATAATAATTTTATTTAGTTTTACTCACAGATATGAATACTGAGATATAGGCCAACTGTATTATTTTTTAAATATTCTTACACCCCTTAAAATCTTAAAATCAGGAACGCTTCACATGACGCCCTGTGAAGCTTTTGGTGACCTCTCGTGTGGGTTGGGCCCCTAGGTTGGGAACCAGTGTAGTATTTGATGCTGAAGGGTAATGGTGCCTGCAAGATTATTATTGGCAATATATATTTGTTATAAAGAAACTGAGCAATGCCAGGGCATTTATTTGTGGCAGGTTGTTTACATTAACAGGAGGATGCAGTACCTTCCAGTTATACTTTCTGAACACTTTCCATCTGTATGTCAGTTCGAAGCTTATCTTGGTCTCTGTTAGATCTTTATATTTTGCTCTGTGCTCTGACAAACTGCTGCAGTCTATTGTAGCGACTTATCCAAGGATCTTTAATGATATGGTGTAAAATGTGAGACTTAGACCATACACACTGGACACAAACACACACACACACACACACACACACACACACACACACACACACACACACACACACACCGTTGCAGCTAAAATGTGTTAAAGTCTGAAAACTGTACAAGTTACATTAAAACTTCCAGTGAGCCTATTTTATTCATAGTATTGCCTTAGTCACATGTCAAGAGCATTGACAGTATCATGTATTAGTTCTCAAGTATGTTAAATATAGGCCACTGTAAATTTTAGTCTCAGGATATTGTATTAGGACCTTCTAACCGCTTACATTGAAGTGCCTGCGCAATGTTAAGTGTCTGTCCACAATCATGTCATGTTCCATGATGCAGACCTCTCAACATGCTGCAGGCAGAGCTGAGAAACAACAGCACTACCAAAATTATACACTGTTTTGGGGTGCCCACAAGCTCACCTGGTAGAGTAGGCACCCCCTTGCCGCAGCGGTCATGGGCTCGATTCCAACCCACAGCCCTTTGCTGCATGTCATCCCCCTTTCATGCTGTAGCTGTCCTATCAAATAAAGGCAAAAAAATAATTGTGTTGAATTCAATGTGCAGCTTCGTCTCTGATAGACTGTGCAGCTTCAGGTTGTGAACAATCAAAGTTTTCTGCTTATACATAATGAAAGTTTTATTTAAAAGGACCTATTTAAATCAATCTCACCTCGGTAAGTGCTGGCTTGTGTGTCTGTCCGGTTGTTGTTACTGACTGTAATTGTCCGGTGTGAGTTTTTACTGTGTTGTGTAAGAAAGTGGTGACTGGCTTGCTCATATGATTCTTTTCATACCCATGAGGAAAATTAAGTCTGTATGTCATTTAAGTGTGCATCCATATAGCGCTGTGTTCTTCCAGTCTGTGTTCCTGAGGTATATTTTTGTTACACAGTATATTGCCTTAGCGTTTGTGCGCAGAGAGAATACCTATGTGCAGAATAAAAACAGTTTTACACTGGCTTCACTGGCTGCTTATTTTAACATTGTAAATGTTTTCTGTGAGTGAGCAACTTCAGGTTTGTTTGCCCTGCTGTTAAAAATGTAGGCACTGTTTAATTTCACTGCAGGAAAGAGGGAAACAGGTCTGAAAATGTAAGTTATTCTTATACAGGGTGTCTACAGGTATCCGACAGTAGAATTTAATGCTTTTTAAGACCTGTTCAAGACACTTTTTAACCAAATTAGGATAGGAAGCCATGTTTTACCTATTTAATAAAATAAAAATAAAATTTACCTATTTAAGCATCTCAGGTTAGCACTGCAGTCAAGTAGTATGAGTGGTCTTGTGCAGAGTTATTATGAAGTTTTTAATATATAAATGTATAGCACATTTGTAACTGAAAAAAAACCTTTCCCAATAACAAGATAATATTTAGAGCAATGTCCACGTTCTTGTTTTCAATACGATTACATGGTTTTTATTTGTGTATTATAGTTATTACCAGTACACTGGAGCCAGTGGTAATAATTATAACGTCTCACTAAACTCCTCATGATGTAACAAATTTCTGTTACCATCTAAAAACTGAGCAACAGCCCAAATATCTTTGGAACTACATTCCTCTATGTACGCAGATTTTCTACTCAGCAATATCCCCCTGAGACCCTGTGTCCTCATATGAGGACACCACATTTTGGGTTTACTGCACCTCATACTTCATTCTTAACTTAGACCTGTTGTCCTCATTCGTGGACACTTTTTTTGTGCCATCTAGACGCAGTAAGAGCAAGATGGCAGCCATCTCTGCCAAGTCATTCTGCAGCGGATCCCAACACAAAAGTGGAAAAGTTACAAAACCTGATCACATTTTATGACTTGTTTATTTGTGATAAATAATGTTTGTAGTTTAATATGGTAACAAATTTCACCAATTTTAGCAACTGTAACAAGCTAAGACGCTGTTATTTAGAAAGTACTTGTTTGGGACTTTATTGTCATTTTAGGATCTTGGGACTTTATTATTGTTGACAATATTTAGTTTTTTATACTTATCGTGTACTGAGGTAAGGTATCTTCAAATAAACATACTAACACACTGTATTGTCTGTACTGTATTGTACACACTTATAGTACATCTCAGATTTACGAGCAGCCCGACTTGTCCTGAACGCCGCACCGTCGCTCGTCCTACGTCATCACTAAGTGACTGTTTACAGTGAGCATGGCAGACATGCCGCTTCAGTTCTAGTTGTAGACAGTTGTCACCTGTTGTCCTGTAACTTTTAGGAGTATGGCCATGGATATGACTTTCCTCGGGACGGGCTCGGCCTACCCGTCTCCTCACCGCGGTGCCTCGGCTCTGGTGCTGCGGACACAGGGGGAGTGTTGGCTGTTTGACTGCGGGGAGGGGACCCAGACCCAGCTGATGAGGAGCCAGCTCAGAGCCGGTGAGTCACTGCTGCTCATCTTCCTGCCTCGCCTTTAAATGTTTCTGAGAAACTAAAATAAGTTCCTGAAAACCAGCGGTGAATAACCAAAATGATATATTAATGCTCCTACCTCCCTCACGCCAACTCTCCATGCTGTCATCTTCACTTTGGAGCTGAAGAGGTTTCTCAGTAAAGTTAATTACTCCCTTCCAGAAGTAGAGTACAGTGTTAATCACAGGTCCTCTAAATTTTAGCACAATTATAGGGTGTCCTTAAAAGTACTTGCAGTGGTGCCCCCAGAAATTTTTCATAGGGGTGGCCAGATGGGGGCCACTGAAAATCTTGGGGTGGTACACCAAAACCAAAGCCATTATGAATTTCAGGAATTCAACTAACTTTATGCTGCTGTAGTATAGAAGCTAGTTGAAATTTATATAAATATGGAGAGTTAACGAACTGCATACTGCATTTAATCCACCTCTTACAATCGAATTTACTTTGGACAAACTGCTCCCTGTTCTCTCTATAATCCCGTTACATCACCGGTGATATGTAATGATACGTCATGTTTCCTTCTCAGGTCGAATCACCAAGGTTTTCATCTCCCACTTACATGGAGATCACCTGTTTGGGCTGCCTGGTCTTCTCTGCACTGTGAGCCTCAACACCAACCCTGAGCAGCAGAACATGAACTGTGTGGACATTTATGGGCCCCGGGGCCTCCGGCACTTTCTGAGGGTGACACTTGGCCTCACAGGATCACAGCTGCTCTTCCCTTATGCAGGCAGGTCCAACATGTACCACCTGAGCTCTAATGTGGCCACAGTATTACAGTAAATACAGCACTGGTGATCTGTTTGTTTTAGCACAAACATCCAATATAAACTATGGGTTGCACATAGATTTTTTTTTATGTCAGAATGAGTTTATCCAGAAACATCAAAAGCTGACTTTAGGTAGCAAACATGTGTATAGTACAGAGTATATAGGAAGTTTATCAGGACATTATGAGCTGCAGAGCAAACCTCCCCTGCAGGTTGAGTGTGTATCTTACACTACAGACTGTGATCCATACCACCTCAGCCTAATTTACTGTATTCATTCTCATCTTTGTTGTTTTATTGTACTTATTGCTCATGTACTCTGCTCTCATCTCATCTATATTCTGTATGTTGCTGTAGTGCATGAGCTGGAGCCCACAACTGACCAGAGTCCAGAAGAGGGACAGCTCAGTCTGGAGGTATGTGACTGAGTTTGGTGTTATTCCAGCATGGTGATAAATCAGAGTGTAACTGTGCTTTGAAAACATTTCTTTTTGTGAGGTCAGTAACAGTTTGCATTTTTTTAGTGTGTGTAATTTCAATCTTCTGTGCCCAAATGTTAACAGAGATAGTCTGCTTGACATCCATTCATTTAAACTTCTGTGAAAATATATCCTCAGCCCAAGAGACAGCAGTGACAGTGTTCTCCACCCACACAGGAGCATGCAGTCTTTAATGATGTGTGTTGTGTCTGCAGATCACAACAGAGCACGGTCCTCTGCACCCACAGGAGCAGCCTGGCAGGACGATCCCCCTGGATGTCTCAAGTGACTGTTATCCCCTCTTTGAGGATAAGACGTTTGTGGTGAAGGCCTTCAGGTTGTTTCACCGCATCCCCTCCTTTGGTTTTTGCATTCAGGAGCATGATCGACCTGGAAGACTGAAGACTGAAATCCTGAAGGAACTAGGTAAATGCACTTTGTGTCTCTCTTTATTTCTTTTTCTTTCTTTTCTTGAATTGTATGACTTGTATAAAAATGCACGTGTGCCTGGTTCTGTTTTACATAGTTCAGTCATTGTTCAATCATCGTTTCCACTGCCACAGGTAGCTATGAATAGATGTAGAAACGCCCTGAAACATTTGCATATCAATAGTCATGCCTGCTCCACCGCTCATTAGATCTGTCAGTGACAATAACAGCTGATAGAAGAAGGGCAGTTTCTGACTGTGTTGCATCAGTGACGGTTTTCAACGCCACCAGCAAGGCTGTCATTACGTGTGACTGCTACAAAGAATGTAGCTATTAATAGTGACCACACCACTGATTAATCACATGTACCTGTAAAGTGTACTGTGACTATATTTTTTATAACAGACTATACCATGACTTTTATCTGACATTTTAAGTGGCATACTATCCTATGATGTTTTTATGACATTTTTTTAGATCATACTATACTGTAACGTTTTTATGACATTTTTTAAGGTCATACTATACTATGATGTTTTTATGACATTTTTTTATGTCATATTATACTGTGACATTTTTATGACATTTTTTTAAGGTCATACTATACTATGACGTTTTTATGACTTTTTTAGGTCGTACTATACTGTGATGTTTTTATGACATTTTTTAGGTCGTACTATACTGTGACGTTTTTATGACATTTTTTTAGGTCATACTATACTATGACGTTTTTATGACATTTTTTGGGTCATACTATAATATGACATTTTTATGACATTTTTTTAGATCATACTATACTATGATGTTTTTATGACATTTTTTTAGGTCATAATATACTGTGTCGTTTTTATGACTTTTTTTTATGTCATACTGTATTGTGATATTTTTATGACATTTTTAATGGCTTACTTTATGACGTGATAATTTTTTTTGTTCAAAATCTTTTTATTCAGTTTTTTCAGACAGCACAGGGTAGTGAAAACAAATCATTTACAACATGGTATCTGCTCGTGGAAGGAAGGATAACCAAGAAAGAAAATAAAACCCCAACAAAATCCCACTAACCCTCCTAGCTCCCAGCCTCCCAACTTCCTGTTGAGGTTGTGGCCAAATAACACTGCTGTTGGTGGATAATCTTGCAAGTATCAAATGGCATATGTACATACACATACCACATTTATACATACAGTACATACACAAATCAGAAAAACAAACACTATTCAACATTTTTTAGGTCATATTATACTATGTCATTTTTGTGAGATTTGTAGGTCATACTATCCTATGGTATACAATACTGTGATGTTTTTGTGACTTTTTTATGTAATACTATAATATGACTATGCCATACTTTACTATGATTGTGAATGGTCTAATTTGATCTCATTTTTGCTGCCTAGGCCTGAAACCAGGGCCGCTTTATGGGAGGTTGAAAACTGGTGAGCCTGTAACTCTGGAGAGTGGGCGTGTCATTCTACCGAGTGAAGTGCTGGAAGAAGCCATTCCTGGGAGGAAAGTTTGCATATTAGGAGACTGTAGCTCAGTTCTTGGGGAAGGACCACTGAGGCTGTGCAATGCAGCAGACATTCTGGTTCACGAGGCCACCCTTGGGGACGAGCACCGGGAGAAAGCAGTGGACCATGGACACAGTACACCTGAAATGGCGGCAACATTGGCTAGGGCTTGCTGTGCACGGAGGCTGGTGCTGCACCATTTCAGCCAGAGATACAAACCTTGCTCTCTGCAGAAGGAAGGTGACGAGGAAGATGTCTCAGAGCTCAAGAGACAGGCAGAAGATGCCCTAAAGGACAGTGGTATAGAAGTGACTCTAGCTGAGGACTTTCTTACTCTACCCATTCCTCTTAGAAGACCAAGGTAATGAATTATTAATTGCTTTTAACCATGTCACATGGCCTTCATCATGTCAAAGCTCAAGGGTTATTGAGAAAATTGGAAAGTTTGAACATCTATGTATGATTAAAATTGTAAATTGAAATTTGACCTGAGATTGTTTCTTTTCAACTGCGATTTCCAAAGGCAGTAGTACAAAGTTAACATTTCAAATTGAAAGAAAGCACCAGTAAAACTGAAACCCAACAAGCAATTATTAGGATTGGTAATAGTAAGACCTAAAAAAAGTCATAAAAACGTCATAGTATAGTATGACCAAAAAATGTCATAAAAACGTCATAGTATAATATGACCTTAAAAATGTCATAAAAACAGCATAGTATAGTATGACTTCAAAAATGTCATAAAAACATCAAAGTATAGTATGACCTTAAAAATGTCATAAAAACGTCATAGTATAGTATGACCTAAAAAATGTCATAAAAACGTCATAGTATAGTATGACCTAAAAAATGTCATAAAAACATCAAAGTATAGTATGACCTTAAAAAAAAGTCATAAAAACGTCATAGTATAGTATGACCTAAAAAATGTCATAAAAACGTCAAAGTATAGTATGACCTTAAAAAAAAGTCATAAAAACGTCATAGTATAGTATGACCTAAAAATGTCATAAAAACGTCATCGTATAGTATGACTTAAAAAATGTCATAAAAACATCAAAGTACAGTATGACCTTAAAAATGTCATAAAAACGTCACAGTATAGTATGACCTAAAAAAGTCATAAAAACGTCATAGTATAGTATGACCTTAAAAATGTCATAAAAACATCAAAGTATAGTATGACCTTAAAAATGTCATAAAAACGTCATAGTATAGTATGACCTTAAAAATGTCATAAAAACGTCATAGTATAGTATGACCTAAAAAATGTCATAAAAACGTCAAAGTATAGTATGACCTTAAAAAAAACGTCATAAAAACGTCATAGTATAGTATGTCCTAAAAAAGTCATAAAAATGTCATCGTATAGTATGACTTAAAAAATGTCATAAAAACATCAAAGTACAGTATGACCTTAAAAATGTCATAAAAACGTCACAGTATAGTATGACCTAAAAAAGTCATAAAAACGTCATAGTATAGTATGACCTTAAAAATGTCATAAAAACATCAAAGTATAGTATGACCTTAAAAATGTCATAAAAACGTCATAGTATAGTATGACCTTAAAAATGTCATAAAAACGTCATAGTATAGTATGACCTAAAAAATGTCATAAAAACGTCAAAGTATAGTATGACCTTAAAAAAAACGTCATAAAAACGTCATAGTATAGTATGTCCTAAAAAAGTCATAAAAATGTCATCGTATAGTATGACTTAAAAAATGTCATAAAAACATCAAAGTACAGTATGACCTTAAAAATTTCATAAAAACGTCACAGTATAGTATGACCTAAAAAAGTCATAAAAACGTCATAGTATAGTATGACCTTAAAAATGTCATAAAAACGTCATAGTATAGTATGACCTTAAAAATATCATAAAAACGTCATAGTATAGTATGACCTTAAAAAAATGTCATAAAAACGTCATAGTATAGTGTGTCGTTTCAAAAATCATCAAAAATGTCATAGTATAGTATGTCGTTTTAAAAATTATAACAATGTCATAGTATAGTATGTCGTTCCAAAAATGATAAAAATGTCATAGAATAGTATGTATTTTTAAAATCCTAAAAATGTCATAGTATAGTATGTCGTTCCAAAAATGATAAAAATGTCATAGTATAGTGTGTCTTTTTTAAAATCCTAAAAATGTCATAGTATAGTATGTCGTTTTTAAAATCCTGAAAATGTCATAGTATAGTATGTTGTTTCAAAAATCATAAAAATGTCATAGTATAGTATGTCGTTTTAAAAATGATAAAAATGTCATGGTATAACATGTCGTTTTAAAAATGATAAAAATGACTTAGTATAGTATGTTGTTTGAAAAATGATAAAAATGTCATAGTATAGTATGTCATTTTAAAAATGAGAAAAATGTCATAGTATTTAATTTCAAAAATCATGAAAATGTCATAGTATAGTATGTCGTTTCAAAAATGATAAAAATATAGTATTGTATGTCGTTTCAAAAATCATAAAAATGTCATAGTATAGTATGTCGTTTCAAAAATCATAAAAATGTCATAGTATAGCATATCGTTTGAAAAATGATAAAACTGTCATAGTATAGCATGTCGTTTCAAAAATGATAAAAATGTCATAGTATAGCATGTCGTTTCAAAAATCATGAAAATGTCATAGTATAGCATGTCGTTTTAAAAAATGATAAAAATGTCAGTGTAGTATATCGTTTTAAAAATGATAAAAATGTCATAGTATAGCATGTCGTTTCAAAGATCATAAAAATGACTTAGTATAGTATGTTGTTTGAAAAATCATAAAAATGTCATAGTATAGCATGTTGTTTTAAAAATGATAAAAATGTCATAGTATAGTATGTCGTTTCAAAAATGATAAAAATGTCATAGTATAGCATGTCGTTTCAAAAATGACAAAAATGTCATAGTATAGCATGTCGTTTCAAAAATCATAAAAATGTCATAGTATAGCATGTCATTTCAAAGATCAAAAATGTCATAGTATGTCGTTTTAAAAATCATAAAAATGCCATAGCATAGCATGTCGTTTCAAAAATGATGTCATAGTATGTTGTTTTAAAAATGATAAAAATGTCATAGCGTAGCATGTTTTTTTTAGAAATGATAAAAATGTTATAGCATAGCATGTTTTTTTAGAAATGATAAAAATGTCATAGTATAGTATGTTGTTTCAAAAATTATAAAATTGTCATAGTATAGCATGTCATTTTAAAGATCAAAAATGTCATAGTATGTCATTTTAAAAATCATAAAAATGCCATAGCATAGCATGTCGTTTCAAAAATGATGTCATAGTATGTCGTTTTAAAAATCATAAAAATGTCATAGCATAGCATGTTTTTTTAGAAATGATAAAAATGTCATAGTATAGTATGTCGTTTCAAAAATCATAAAATTGTCATAGTATAGAGGAAGAAGGAAGGTGTTTTCTCTCAGTTTGTAATGTTAACTCTGTACTAAAACCACAATCTTTCTGTATCAATATGCAACATTTCAACGATAAAGAACGTGAAATCATGTCTGAACCTTTTCCAGAGCTTTATTTCTGGATCTGTACACAAGGTATTAAAGTACAACAGAAAATACAAAATAATGTTTAACAAAAGAAAAAAAACAACTCAATGTTTATGTACAATTCTTATAAACAATAAAGATAGCTTCTTGAACATTTCTCATAGTGAAGTTTTTGATTGTCTATATTTCTGGATATACATTTTTAAGTTTTGTAGGTTTTTATTCACAAAGGTGTTTTTGTTTTTCATCAAAGGACTTGAGTTTTCTTTTTCAAAACCACAACTGCTATAATTTTTTTTTTCCTTTTTAAACTTCAAAACACAATACAAAATATAAAATAAATTTGTTTAGTGCTTTCTTGCACACACAAGTCTCATACCAGAGATATCAATAAAATATCACATTTTCGAGAGTTCACAGGGTGGTGAAAAACCTACTTCTACTACTTAATGGCCTTTACATTCTGACAGTTTTTCTGAGTCTTTGTACAAACCACAGGTGAAATAAATATCACTGCACTGCTAAAGCTAGAAGAGCTTGGAGGACCTACTGCATTATGCACATTGCATTAAAAGATAAACTAGCTCTCCACATACTTAGAGCAGCAGCCATCCCTTTACCATCGAGACAAATATAGACGACAACATGGAAAAAAAAAGAAAGAAAAAAATTGAAGAAAGAAATATGAGCGTCTTTTACACATGGCTGCAAGTTTTGAAGGCAAAATTGCAACATTGAGTAATATCAATACGTCTTCAGGTAAAGCCGTTGTCAGTGGTACACTTGAGAAATTAGACACAGCTGGCATGCGTGGTTTCAGCCGTGTCCTGGGGATCATGACTTTCCAAAGAGAGAAACAAAATTCAAACACCAAGTCAACTGGTAAAATGCAAAACCCAAAATATCTGTACATATCTACAAATTATTGCCTTTTGACAAGGAATCAAATTAAAACCTTTGTATCAACATAGATTCACAAGTGTAAGAGGTCAGTTAATAGACTTTTTAAAGGCTATTTGCTAATTATTTACATGAAACGCAGAAGTGAATATCTCCTCTGATGCTGGGCTTGGAAAAACTTAATTACTTGATCAAACTTAATAATGGTTTATAAGCATGAATCCTGTCTGTACATACATAACGGTGAATTACTAGATCTATGGACATGACGAACATGATGTACCCCTGAAACAAACTAATTATTCATAGCACAATGCATAGATAAATTAAGTAAACACTACTACTGCATCCAATCAACTGACGATGACCCACTAAACATTTTACAATTCACAATTATAGACTTCAGTCAAGAGACAACAGCTCCATTTCTGCTACGAGACTCCAAGAAACTGTCGACTAGGTCGCACAGGGCATTCTCTCGTCCGTACAGGTTAGGCAGAGGTTGAATACAAAATCTGAGTGGCTTTAAATAAAGATATAATACTGCTAGCAGGTTTACCCAAGCTCACTAAGTGGTCTAAAAATGGCATTACTTGATTTGGGAGCGCATTCTAACATTTGTACTACTAACTAAAGGACACGTAAAGCTAAACCTGCCTCAGAGTCGCATGAGTGAAAGAATTAAAAAAAATCTCACAAAGGTAAAAGTATATGTAATAAATACACACTTGACAGTGCCTGATGATTATCTTTAAAGGACTCGTTACCTAAACAATATCTTTGCATGGCAATATTGCTGATATGGTTTGTTGGTCTGACTGATTTCCGAGAAAGAAGCAGAAAAAATAAAAAACCCTCGATTTCAACTGTAAAACAAAGTGACTCCCATTATGTTCCTCTGCACAGGTATTCTTCAGCTGATTAAAAATGTGATGGAAAAACTTTAATCAAGGGGACTGTAATGTTTGACTACATTGGATAAAGAAAAATAAACTGCAGCAAACACTCACGTTCCAGTTTGGCCATTTTGAACAGTTGAAAACGTAAACCAGCAGAC